TTAGATAACTCATATTAGGAAAATTTACTTGACTTGGACAGTGGAAGGAATAGTAGCTACGATGAGACTCGTGCTAGTGTGAATGACGGTGACAGGGACGCCGGAGATTGTCGAGACCACTGTAACTGGGCATAATGTGGTTGAGGTAGAATATACCCAGGTTTCGAGAGACTTAGTCACCGGTGCAGGTGTAACACTAAGGTTGTCTGTCAGTATAATATCCCTTTGATAACCAGCTCAGGTAAATTCACTTGACTTGGACGGTTGTTGGTACTGCTGTTACCACGACTGAGGTGGTGGTGAAGACTTGGGTATAAGTTGTGCCAGCGGCGGTACTGAAAGAGAGTTAGATCAGAACGAGCAAATCGCCTTTGGTAGCAAGGCAAGGGAAGCCCACCTTGTGACAGTAACAGGACAGATTGTTGTATAGGTCACCAGAACTTCAGTTGTAGTACTGGCTACGGCAGTTGGTCCAGGAACGGTGACACCGCCGCCACATCCACCAACACAGCTAGTGATTGTCAAAGTTGAGGTGGTCATTTTTGTGACAATTGCTGTGGTGCCACCCTGCTGAATTGTTAGATATACCCTGAGCGTGACTATACCCCTATTGCAGTTGGATGGATTAGTCGCCTACCTGAACCTCTGTTGTAGTCACTGGGCAGTATGTTGTTGTTATGTACGTTGTTAGGGTGGTAGTATCATGTTCCCACCGAGGAACAAAATCTTGGGCAAAGGCTGCAGTGGCCAAGGCTAACACGGCGAAAAGTCCCTTCATGTTGATGTGCGGAAGGCAGTGAGGCCAAGAGCGAGATTGCTGGTCAAATTTGAAAACGAGTAGAGAGTTGAGCGAATGAGTTAAGTAAAAGTCCAACGAATGAACACCTCTGGATTGAGGCTGGAGTTGGGGAGACTGCTTTAATAGAGGCTATTTGAGTTGGTAAAGCAAGCGGCTCCTGACTGACTTTGTGTGCAGGAAGGAGGGAGACAAACGAAGTGGGAAACTTGTTTCTTATATGATAGGAAGAGGAGGCATCCTACCTAGGAGTCTGCGCCGGACAATGCGAGGTACACACGTTGCTCGGCATACAAGATGGTCCTTGCTAGGAGACCGCATCGAAGCTTCGTGTAGTGCCCATTATGTTGCATCGACGTTGGCGATCGTATTGACTGTCTGACGTTGTTGGCATATATTGGGCAAGGAAACACCATTCTAAGTGGCTGGGGGATGCAGTTGGGGCAAGGATGAGTTCCGAGTATCTATTGTTATTGGCAGCCGCTTGCTAGAACAAACAAGCAGTAGGGCAAGAGGACACAGCTTCCGACCTGGGTTATGGAAAAGCTCATCAACCCGGCAGGATCGTGGCTGGGTGGCTGCTGGTTGGGGCCGACCCCCTGGCGATGGTGTCTGGATCACAACTTCTCACAGGGTCGAGAATATCGGCGGTGCAGAGGGGTACGGAAGTACGCAGGTTCAGTACCTGCGAGATGTAAGAGGATATGAAATATTTTTGCTAGCATTGCATATCGTATGTCAGCATAGGATAGCGGAAGTCAGCTACCTGAGGTCCAGTGGAGTAATAAAGGAGAAAGGCAACTTTGGGAAAGAATATGTATATCTTTACTTAGTACTTAGAAACCGGATAACTCGACGCTTCCAGAAATACCAAAAGTACCGCACTCTGGAGTTAACTTTGACTCCCGCCGCCTACTACAGCTAGTAGCCATATATCACCTAGGCGACCCAACTCAACAATTGATACTGATCAAGATATAGTGATGAGCCAACCTTGCAGCTCGACTTGCAGCGGAGAAACCCCGCCACCCCACTGAGAACCTTGAGCCGAGCCGCATAGCAACGCCCCTCCTTAAATATGCTTGTCATGTACATGTACCTGGGCGCTGGCGTCTGCAAGGTCGGTTGGTGGTGGCGTCATGTCAATTGACGAGGTTTGGCTCGTTGGTCCACGCACCGGTCGGCGGCAGGAGTTGATAGATGGGAGGCTTCCGTGGTGACACAACCACGAAAAAGGTTGGTTCTCGGCAACCGGCCAAACCAAGGAAACAGAGAGGGAGACAGAGATATAGAGAGAAGGTCCGAACAGTGTATGTAGTACTGCGTGCTTCTTGCATGCGTATGATACAATCTAGTACGAAGTAATGAGCCCACTGTTTGACAACTGGCGGTCCATCACAGGATAATCCTCATAAGAGTCTCAGGTTTTCTGTCTTCTGGGATTTCCGTCGATGTAGTCTCGGCAGTCGCCAGGTAAGTGTAATGACATCGCATCTTTTCGTCGGGCCCTATACGGAGATTCCCGCCCCCCACGAATTTAAGCGCTGCTGTTGTCGGTAACATGTTAGTACTATATATACATCATCGATTGATTAGTCTCCGATTAAAAATAGGTGTCGTCATCGCTGGAAAGGAACGCCCAAGCGCTGCTATTTACACACCAAAAAAATAACATCGTAGAAGGATGTCTGTGAACTACGGGAATAAGCGTCGAAATTCCGAGTGGGATCGTAGAGGACCCGGGGAAACAGTTCCAGAGGTGCTGTACCTTGCGTTATTTTCATTTCCATGTGTAATCGCAGTGAACTTTCGATTTGCTTTTCTCTTCGTACGTAGGAGCAGCGAGCATATACGAAGCACATGAACGGAGTGTGTCTTCAAGAAGTTTGGGTGTGACACATACGTTGTACCTGTAACACGCAGAGGTGTTTTTTCGACAGCGGACCAATCGAAGCTCTGATTTCGATTAACATTGCCAAGGCCAGTGCTATCTAGATGCAACAATAACATGGCCTTTCACTTTGGCTTTGCCCCACACAGCCACCATTAACCTTCCAAGCAGCTCGGCCTCGTTAGTAACTGCCCGGATCCAACCGTACCTGAATCATGATCCATGTTTGTACTATTAGTCTCGTATTGGTAAACTCATCATCCGAACTAGGTAGGTTGGTAGCTCTGTATGGCCCGAGACCAAACATCCGTTCTCTGTTTCCATTGCTATTCGGCAGTACATCCATTAGACTCCGCAACGGAAAGTCTATCATAGCTCAGAATCCGTCATTGCGGGGCCTTGTCTTCGTTACTCTGTACTCTGCGGAGAAGCTGTCGGGAACTCACGTCCATTGTGGTGGGCATCGACTTCGCAGAGTGTTGCCGGGTCACGCGAGCACCGCATGATAATTTGTTTAAATGATTCCGAAATTTGTGTTTGTAACTCAATGCTGTTACGGCAGAGACAATTCGTATCCACCTGACCAGAAAGCCCCCAGGTATATTTGTGGTGTGAGCTATAGTCTGACGAACTGATAAGTGGCAATGTTTCTTTTGGGCAAGCCAGAGATACGCGGCAATATCGCACCGCAGCTTTTTAAGCCATCGGACATCAGTCATCAGTCATCAGTCATCGTCTTCGTCGGTTCCACTGTCCCAGCCATCCTCATAAGCTTCAGCAATCTGGCCCAGCGAATTGCTGAGCGCCTCACGCTCGTCAATACCAATCGCCCGGTTGACAATGTGCTGGAGGCTTTTGACTCTCGAGGCTACCGCAGTGTCAGTCGACACCGATGTGCTTACCTCTAGAGGCATCGGGGATTGGCTGGTTCGAGAAAAAATATCGGGGAAGCTGTCAAGTAGGGGGAAAGGAATAGGTACTGTTGCTCTATGACACCATTAGGTTAGTACATAATGTCCCGAGAAGCCTATGGCGGGCATTTTAGCAGTTCTAGTAGGAAGAGGGAAGTAAAATGAAGGAATGTGGTCAAAGTATTAAGTAGTGCGAAAATTTCTCTCGAAAAGTAAAGGTATTGTACTGACTTTTGTATAATTGGAAGCCCCACCGCCCGCCGCCGTGCTCGTTCGAATCCTTCGTCCTCCCCAAACGTATCTGACTGCTTCACATCCTCAGTTGTCCTTGAAATCTTAGTTTGTCCAAATACATGGAATCGCTTGTTGCGTCTTCCTCGCAGCTCTTGCCCCGATTCCGTCGGGAAGAAGTCCATGTCCAAATCTTTGATATCATCCACGTCCTTAAAGCTTAAATCCGCATCTTGGTTCTCCCGTGATGGGATTCTCAAGTCGCCATCTGATGCCTGTTCATGGGGAAGCACTGGCAAATGGTGCCCGTTTGTCGTTGACTTTTGATCAATACTCAGGCTTAATTTTGCTATTGTCTGATTGCCATTCACATTTATCGAGTTTGCAAGCTGATCCAACGTTGCACGGTTGCTGTTATGAATCTTTAATCTCGAAGGTAGAGCTATGCTCTCCATGGCTACAGAGAGCAGGCCAGAGATTTGCCACTGTGATTGTTGGCTGAGCCTAACATATTGTGGCAGAGAAGCTGAAGGCATTGATATGGGGACGAATATTGAAGACTGTGGTGAAATATCCGAGATGGATCGAGCGGTATTCGACAACTTCATAAACCGCTTCTCCTATGAACAGTGAGTAAAAGTGCTGGACCAGGATCCGGGGGGTCATTATACTCTGGGAATAGCCGTGACATTCTCTTCTAGACCCCAGAATAAGACCGAAGCTTTTCCATACTCATCTCTAATTCGGTCTAGGTATCTTGCTGCAAACCCGCCCCATGCATCGTCGACTGCCGCCATTATCTGAATTCCTTGCATCTGATCAGCCTCTTCGGCGAAATATCTTAAGTCGCGGTCCAGTAGATCATGTTCTTTGTCCAGAGAGTTGAAGAGCTCTTCTCCAGCACTCCAGTTATCGAAAGGCGTAAGAGAAGAGTTTAGTTCATACTCATTGAGTTGAATTACTGACTTAGGGTGGAAGTAGATTTTGTTAAAATCAGACCAGTATTTCACCGACTCAGGTGTGAGATGGGCGGGTTCAATGCCTTCCTGTAGGCTTCTCTGATATTCATTCTGTTGGATCGGGTCCTGTCGCTGGACCACTGTGGGTCCATTCCTGGATCAAATAAGCCTCGGAAAAGATAACTAAGAAAACACAGAACTCTTACCACAAGCCTTGGGGAACAGCAGGCTCTTCGACTTCATATAAAGCATTTATCTTCCTCATCGAGCCAAACCCACCCTTAAGATCATAAATCAGAGTCCTCGGAGTAAACGTCTCCGCTCCATCAGCACCAATTCCCTGTCGGAAATGGATATCATGATCAACCAAAGATTCTTGGTCAGGGGAGTATGTGAAATATGATTCCTGTAGGTGGTTAGTCTCAACCGAGGCATATAGTGGATGTCTTACCTGGGCGTTCCAGAAATGGGTCGCGAGGTAGTTGCTCCTCTGCCCGAGCTGGAGGGTGAGGATCTCATGCATGGCTAGTAAATTGTATACGCGGTTCCAAATCACACGACTAAATGTATAAGGTCAATGTCTGGTCATCTTCAAACTCTAGCCAAACCCCCACGGAGGCTTTCCGTCATAGCCTTGCTTACCATGCACTGAGAATTCGAGAGTCCAGAATTCAAAGTCCAGCAAAAGGCAGATTTTTGGATCCTCAAGTTCAAACGACACGCTCCCAGGATATGAATTATAAGATCTGATAGCATCAAATTCATATCACTGTTCCAAAGTGCGAATGTATTCTGGGTGCAGGTATCATAGAATGCAAGGCATTTGATGAGGTTTGACATCTCATCCGTTACCGAGTACCAGAATCCATGACAGTTGAGCTAGTCTTGATACGGGTTAATTGCCCGGCACTGGTCGCCCCACATTGACATCAACCTTCATCTTCTTCCAACGTTATCAAACTTCTTCGAACATTCAAGAACAAAACAAAATGACATTTCAGCAAGAAATAGGGTCTTGGAAGACTCCCAAAGAGCTGACCACCTTTCCAGTTCCGGAAGTTGGTGAAAGGGCACCAACTTCCTCGATTCTCCAGACACCCAGCACGAATGGAAAACCGACGATAATTACCTTTCTGCGGCATTGTGGATGCCCTTGTATGCTTTTATATCCGCATGTTCTTCTTAATCATGATTCGTTTGCTAATCCGGTTTTAGTTGCCGAGAAGACATTCCAACGATTTCGCAAATTCGCTGGCAAACATACTGATATCAATTTCGTCGCCGTGTCGCACTCCGATGATGAGGCAACAGAGAAGTGGCTCATATCCATCGGCGGATGTTGGGAAGTTCAGGTAGTAGTCGATGCGGGAAGAGAAACCTACGCACAATGGGGGTTGGGGGTTGCGAACACCTGGCATGTCCTCAACCCTTGGTCGCTCTACTCCGTTTACAAGTTGGGGAAGCAAGAGAGCATAGTAAGGATAACTGAGCTCCTTGAATCTTCGTTTATTTCTGTCCTTAGTCGCTGTTATGACTTACCATATACCCAAAGACATATGCTAGAAGAAGCAATATTGACTTCTAGGTTACCTAGTGGAACAAACCTACCGAAAGTGGCAACCGCTGGCAGATGTCAGGTAGCTTCGCAGTTGACGAACAAGGAGTTGTCAAATGGGTTAGAGTGGCAAAATCTGCTGATGATATCCCTGATTTCAAAGATGGCCTCAAAGCATTGGGTAGGGAAGTGTAATCCCATTTGAGAGCTTGGGTATATGTAATACTCGTGATTGGCAGTTCCACCGATAGTCATGTTTTGGTCAGCGTACGCTCCAGGAATTTGGTCACAACTCTTGATCGAGTTTATCCACACGAACGTATCCCATCAATCCCGGAATTATTTGCAAGGCTTTCAACATTAGGAGCGTTAAGTGGCTGTACGGTGTGTGGACCAAGCTAGAGGGTTCTATATCTTCCTATCACCTATTTCTAAGGAAGACGGGTTTTTTCTTGGGCGGCGGCCTAATGTATTCAATCTCCGCCATGGATCTACTCCGGTTTACGAGAGGTTGTATTTCCAAGGCAATGAAAGGACGATAACGGTGCGTTGCTATCGCGCAAATCGTTCCCGGTCCATCCTGTTAGGGTTCTCCAGCTCGTCTTATGGCGTTGTATTCAGTAAGTTGGATATTGGCATCATGAACTAAGAAATTGATATCGACCAAGCCTCCCGATACTACCTAGTTTATGTCTATGGATCGGACCTGTGGTGGGGCTTCTGAACCCCCTAAAATCATATAAACGATTTGCCTTCACAGTGTCGAAGCTACTGTTTCTTCTACGTCATTTATTTCCTTCAAGAGCAGGTTCTCTCCCAAAATACGATATGTTTGTGCCTCAGTCAGGTTGAGTCATATCTTGTTGCTCATAAAGATCTGATTGTGACTCCTTCCCAATTTGAACACCCCCAGCACCCTGCGCTTGCCCTCTCCTTGCCTCCTCATAACTTCGTTATGGACCAAAGTCTCGCCAACAACTTCTGTACCTTTCGACTCTCGACTCCGATCTTTGTTTCTGATAGCGACCCGGATCACTCCTTTGTCCCGATGGATTCCAAAGAAACCCCAGCTGCCATGGCTAACCCTTCCTCGCCATCTACAATCGACGCGCCAGGAAACCCAAACGCGAGGATCAATAAGAATGGCCCGCAAGACCAATTTCAAATTACTCGGCATCTACTTTACGAGCGCGACTTTGGCGGCGATGCTTATGTCTCCGCACATCTCCAACGTCTTCAAAACGGATGCTTCACAGATAAGAATATGCACGAACCGGATATGCTTCATGTTACCTTCGCGGCGATTACCTTCACATTCCACCCAAGTTTGTCTGACGTGCATCGCTTTAGGTCTGCTGTAATCACGATCACGGCCAATTCGTCGCCGGATGGCAACCCCATTAAATTTCTCAAGTTTGCTCCACATCTAGCGTTCGGTAGGATTAGCAGTGCCTCATTGAAATGGTACTTCCAGCTTGCTGCTACCGTTGGTGTTACAAGAGGTCTCTCAGAAGCGTCGTTGAAACCTTCGCTAGGATACGAGAAGGATATGGTAGTCGGATCTATGGTAAAAATGTGCGTCCATGAGACCGTCGTTGATGTCCAACCAGTTGCTAATTAATTGAGCAGTCAGGGATCAACACGAAGTACGACTCCATATGAGCCTTTTATATCCATCTCTTCTTCCAGCCAGTCGCCTTCGAAAGCACGAAAGAAGCTTCCGGATACAAGATTAGTGTGGTCATTGGAGGAGAATCCTCAGCAAGAAAGTGGCCTACCAAGAGAATTCACATTCGTATTTTTGATGGAGAGGCTTCACTCTGACCAAAAAGAAACCATAAAAAGGTCGTTTGCGGGAAATGTTGATGGGAGCTGTTTAAGCGCACCGCCAGCAGTTATCAAGAAGAAACAGTTATCGACATCAACTAAGCCAGTCACGGAGGCCGAACATAAATCAAATACTCGTCCAACAATGTGCCAGAAAGCGGCTGCCCCGGTGCCTGTTCTAGCAGCAAACATCGTGGTACAGGAGGAACAGGAAGTATTATTTGATGGCCACGGTAAACCGTACTTGCCTCCTACATCTGTGCAATATACAGCTGTCATAGAAAGCTCAGGAGAACAAAGTTTCGATGGAATTAAAGAGACTATCGCCAGGGTTCCCCATGTCCGACTCCGCTCGAGTGAAGAAGAGACGCCAATCTATTTCAAAAAGGCGGACCCCAAGACCAAAGAACTCGATGGTGATTATGATGACGTCTTCACTCCCATTCATTTCAACATCGCCATACAACCACGAATCAATGGTAGCCTCGAGAGTAAAATTTTTGGCTATGATAGTCAACGGTCGATAGTATCAGGAGAAGTGGGCCAGGTGTTTCCTACATCCCTTGCTGGGGAGGGCGCATCGGCGGAGGAGCACCACCACTGTCTGATCAATGGACTGTATAATTTTGCCAAACTTCCGGGCAGCTTTGAGGATCTTGTCGGATTGCCTGGCAATTCGTTTAGCACTGTGGTAAGTATGAAGCGAACAAAATGAAGGACTGCGACTGACTATATTTAGGAACCCTCGCTGTAATGCTACCTCCCTAAGTACCCGAAATTTGGGTGTGATTGCAACCTTGTGCCGCTGCAGGAGGGCTTTGCCGAGATTATGTCCTAGCCAGCAATCTGCACCTCAAGATTGGGAAAGAATTGTGGATCTTTGCATTTGATTAGGGAACGCATTGCAAAGTACGGAGTAAGCTTTTACCATTAAGAATGGTTCTTGGGAATTGCAGGAGAGTTGCTTTGCGCTAGTTGACAACTACGCTGCATATGTTAGAGCTTGTGATTGCTACTCAACGTCCTTTGAATTCATGCTTATTCCTTGACGATTTTCAATGCCACGGAACTGGGCTGTGCAGTGATATTCGTTTTACTTTGACCTGAAATGGGTCCTCCCCTCAGTATGTAAATTGTTTCACCACGAATTTAAATATAGATCACGGATTTGACTTCAGCTGCCCATGGAAAAAAGCCTTTCCACGCAACTTCTAGTAATTTCTCTTTAACGTGCTAGGCTAGGAAACTAGACGGATGGAAAGCATTGCAGGGATGGAATGATATAAGATAGTTTCGTTCACGGTCTTGAAAGGGTTTGATGTCGGTATATGTTTTTATTCCAAACAGCACACGGGGCGCGGAGTCAAGTTTGGTATAAATGAGACTAGAGCGAGTCACACCACTATTAGGCATCGCAAAACTCCAGTTTATCGTTCCTCCAGTCAAAATCCCACGTTACCGTTCCGGCCATCGCGTGGCTGGCCCAGCCCTCATCCGTATCCACGAGCATTGGATTGTCATTAGTAGAGAACATAATGTCCAGGCACCAATGCCGATTTGATCTCTGAAAACGTTTGTAATGCATTTGAGATGGTCTGGATATCGACGTAGTTTGGACGTCTGGAAGACCGACACGCCGTTGGCCAAGGGTTTCTTCCCGTCCGTCGGCATGCTTTACCAGGATTCCACTACACTTGGCGCCTTCTTCTAATGTGTGTGTGTAAACTTCAACATAAACAACGTCTTTTAGAGAGGCGTGGGAACGATATGGCGTTAGGGGGTCTCCTGTATCAGGAATTATAGATGATTTTAGGGTTGACTCCAGATTTGGGAACTTTGATGCTGCTCCAAAGACTGAAATAGGAGCTTCCCTATCCGGGATGTGGTATAGTAGAGACGTTACTAAACCAGAAGCAAGCAAGAAATAATGATAGCTTCGGTCATGGCCGCTAAGTCCAAAGATCTGGGTCCGGTGAGTTGTGCGTATCTATTTTATATTAGACTCTAAATTCTAAATTCCAAGTATAATTTGAGCTTATTACTATTATTGTACGGTTTTGATCAGGAAAGGTTAGAGTCTCACGAACCCATACTTCGTTAATAGTTTCGTGCCCTGTATTTAAGGGGAGGTATATTAGAAGGGCGACTTTCTTGGCTGACGGAGTTAGATTTAAATATATATTAGCAGCAGAAGAATGTGTATCTTGGTGCGAATGAATGCCATATACTACTCTTCCAGCACAGACAAAGGTTAATCCTACACAGTCGGCTAAATTAACACATCGTATCTGTTGTGGGCTGGACTTGTTCTCATTTATGGCGTGAAACCGGTAATCCGTAGGTCGTTTTGAAACATCCCATAATTGGAGCGGTCGGTCTAAAGAGGGCCGAAGAAAGGGATGCTATGGGAGGTTAGGGTGTGAAGGTATTTAAAGGGTAGACTCGGCGACTCGCCTTGAAACACAACTCCAAATTTTCGTTTTGCAAGTACCATGGACAATGGGCAGAGGTGGACAGGACCCCGAGATGGTCCACGCCAAAAAGTTTAGCGCCGGCATCTTCTTTGAAAATTACGTAGCGATTGCCGAGAAACTCCAGAGTCGGCTTGGAGGCCTGGGTACAGCTGCCCTGTGAATCCTGACCGAGATTGGTCTGCCTGGATATCGGAATTAAAGAGTTCTTATGTTAGGAAGTGCCGCAAGGGCTTGCTGCATATCGCACTCATACGTGAGATATTGTATTATAGCTCAGGATAAATTGATTTTGAATTATGGAGTAGTACTTCCCTACCTAGGTAGGTACTCTAGCTCTAGATACCTAATGACCCCATGACTAATAAACGACGATATCCCCTTCGCTATTGATCTACAATCCATGTACAAGTCGACATAATAGATGATCACTCAAATCCTCTACTTAGGGGGAAAGCCACGGTTATAACTTGGGTATCCTATGTAGACGATTCCCTATTTCATATTCGCAAAGAATGCCCCTAAGGACACAGCCAAATCTAGATGAAAGGGAAGCGCTTCTTGACTAACGTAGTAGCTTGCTTGGGATAAGAGGAAATAGAGGGCTGGATATCATTTGCCTTGTACATGGCCTTGTAAAAAGAAATATCGGGTAGCTTATCAAAGCATTATAGAACGGATGAAGTAACAAACTCGTTTGAAATCAGAAGAATATCTGCCCATTCTGTCAAGGAGGACTGGCCACAGATTTTCGAGTTCTGGTTTCTTTCGATAGGCACAAACGCGATCGCACTTTGCCGACGGAGGGAAGATACATTTGAGGCTCTCTCTTAAATATGAGGTTGCCGTCAAGGAATCCGACGCTCACATGAACGCCCCCCACAAGTCCCCCACGAGGCAGTAAAAATATTCGACCACGAAGCGCACACAACTTGGAACAGTTTTAGCCACTCTCACAGAGTCACAAATGAGGTACAATCGTAGGACCGATAACAGAATGCCAGCTCGTGCACCTCAGCTTAAAATGATATGACCATCTCCCAACACCTAGATGCGTCTCGAATCGGATGAGCTACGTATCTAACACACTGTTCAAGCCCATCAAGACTTCCTCTCCGCCACTAAGCGTCTCCTTATCTCTTCGTTTTGTGACACTTTGCTGTTTTGGGTTGGATTTATGCTTCTTAGGTAAACTTTAAAGACAGAAAGTAGAGGTGCTGATCCTGGATCTCTGCCGTGAATTGGAGAGTAGGTGGAATAGAAGCTATCCTTAAATCACTTTCGGTCACAAAATAACAGAATGGAGCTGGGTGCTCAATTGACTAGAGTATTTTATTGTCATGAGGTAACTAGGCATATCAAGAGAACTCCTGGGTTCCTCGACATAGCTGCTAAAGAAAAAGACGATATTAAGTACCAACCTAACTTTGGACCCAGGGGTCAAGCGCATATGAGCTGCACGGAAATAATGCATCGCTTGCGGTAAACCCACCGATCAGGTGTATACGTTGGCTTTAAGTCTGGTCGAGGGAGACTTGGCCTAGAAGCATTGCACAATACTCATTTCCGAGATCGGCTTGTGTCGCGTAATTAGTGAGGTAACGAACTGTTAGCAAAGGGGTAATATGACATTCTAGAGTATTGAGGCACCGGGAATTATATAACCTGCCACATCAATGTTATCAGCCACAAAATCGGGGTACTACCTTTCTCCCTTGGAGGGAAGTATAAATGTAAGCGAGCCCTAGGAATCCCATACGTTATAGGCGGGATTGAAGATGATGGGTGCAGAGATGGAAATTTACGATTAGTCGCCTCATTATTGGGTTACGGCGCAGCGCAATTCATGTTGTGTTTGTGATAGGACGTGCGGAAGAGTATTGGCAAGTATCAAAGACATTGATTATCGAAGTTCGACATTACCGAGCACGTTGGGAAGAAGCTGTTGGGCCTCAATGTACTGACTGCGCAATGGTTGGTCACGGAATTAGGTTGGAGGTTTTGCTTTCGATTTCTGTTCTGGCGACTAAAGAAGACCGAAGTCGAGACAGATCCAAGCGTGATGGCCGAAATACGGGTGTGATAATAGCTCAGCCAAGCTGAATAGTGGTACAAGGGTACATGAGGTGCTGAATCTGAGTGCTGAGCGCGAAAGAACCAGATAACTGTTCCAGGGATGACACGAACCAACCCATTGAAGGGCTTATTGAGTGTTGACCCGCCTGACTGACTGAATGTCGTTCCGAAGAGACCCGATGAAAGCATAAAGGAAATCCTAGCATCCGTAGCGTCATCAAGTGACCCGAAAGCGCGCTCGATCCGAAAGTGTTACAGCCGATTTTTGCATTTTCCGCCGCTCGAAGCTTTGGACCATGATGAAAACAAAAGAGAATGAAGTACACAAGTGGAAGTGCACCTGCATCAATGAAAGCCGCCGACCCAAAGCTGTTGTTGTGCGTCGAGATCGTGCGATTTTAACGAGCAGGGCGCTCACCACCTATGGAGGTCAGCATTAATATTCACGACGGGAGAATCTCTCAGCATCGTAGTTTCTACCTCCGTATGGCTCCCGACCTTCTCCACGAGGGGCTGGGTCGCCATAGGCGGCTGCTGGCGGGCCATCGCGAGCTGAGCCGCGATCACCTCTATCATAACGGTCAGAGTATCCTCCACCACCTCCACGTCGGTCATCGCCACCACGGCTGCTGTATCGGTCGTCACGGGCATAGCGATCGACTCCACGAGGAGCGTAATCATCACGATCACGGCCGTAACCCCGGTCGCGGCGGTCGTCACGGCGATAGTCGTCGTGGCGTCCATAGCCACCTCCCCGGCGGCGGTCATCATAACGATCGTTATACCGTCCACCGGGCCCAGATCGCGGGTCCTCTTCTGGTCGGTTAGTATCAATGATTGCGAGAGAAGGGTGCAATGGGATACATACCACGCTTGGGTGGGCCGAAGTACTTGCCAGGAGTTGGGGTACGGGGACGGGAACGACGAGCCTTCTCAATGCTCAAAGTTCGGCCCTCAATAACCTCGCCCTGGAGTCCTTCCTTCGCTGCATCGGCCTGCTCGGCGGTGTCCATCTTGACGAAGCCGAAGCCACGAGACTCCTTGGTGTGAGGATCAAGCATGATCTGGCATTTCTCGACTTCACCATATTTCTGGAAAAGACGAGTGACCTCGGGCTCAGAAAGACGAGGATGGATACCAGTAACAAACAGGTTGGAGCCTGGGTTCACGGCACCATCATCCTGGGGAGCACCACGGTCGTTCTTTGGAGGGCCACTGGTAGTTGTTAGATGGTGAATGACTCAGAAGGTGGAAGAATGCCTACCGGCTGTCCATATGATCATTGCCATTGGGTGAGGCGGATCGGCGAGGACCACCTCGTGGGCTGTCGTTGCGGCGTGTCGGGCGAGGAGATGCACTGCGATCGCGCTCGTAACGAGGAGCTTCGTCTACGCGTCGCAAGTCTAGTAAGCAGCGATTCTTTGGAGTCTAAAACAATTGCGCAAGATATTGAGAGGTGAAATTGTGCAGCATACCCTCAAACCGAGTGCCGTTCTCGTTCTCGTAATCCATGGAAGCCATGGTGAAAGAGTTCTTGATTAAGGAGGCGTAAGCCGCAAGGTGTCAGATGGCGAATACGATGACTTGCGCTGAGTCGGTCGTAACACAACGGCAGATATCAACCTGCTCTATTGGAAAGGGGTATTAAAGGTATGGAGTATCTTAGTGAAGATACAGAAGGTGTGGAAGATGAAAAGATCGATGGCGATCTCTTTGTGAGTTGACGTTTCGTGTTTGGAAGAGGAAGGGCGAGCAAAGGGGAGCGTCGAAATTATCGACGCGCTCGTGCGCTAACACAAATACAGACATCTAAGCGACTACTAGCGCCTCCAGCAGAAACTCGCCGCCCAACAAGTCAGCCTCACGAGCGCTCGGTACTTTCGTACACGTATGCTTGTTGCTCGAAAAACAACTTACCGGGAAGATACTACGACGTAGGTGTATCCGTATATCCAGCATTTATTGCATTGAGGGCAGCATGAGCGGGCAGTTTTCATTGAGACTGGGTTTGTCTCGAAATGACTACTGCCGCTACGATTGAAGCTCATTCTCAGCCTTGTCGCGAAGTGGCGGTTGTGCACAAGGGATCCACTCCACTAAGAAAGCAAAGGAAGCTTAGGGCGGATTAGCCACCGAGTAGCAATACAGCTCTGATTATACAGTAGGTAGGCATGAAGCACCGCGCCATTAATTTACAATTCACCATTCAAGATCCTGCTGGGGAGTTCCAGGGGCATCTCTTCGTCCAAAAAGCTCAAAGCTTCCATAGCCTTCCCATCACAAACTCTCTCCAACGCGAGGAAAGCAAAATGACCACCAACAACCGGGCGCGCCTTGAAAGAAATTCCAGGGAACCCACCGGTTCCTTCGGTGTCATACAAATCCGTGAGTGGAAGATCTACATTGACAATTAGCGGTGCACAGTATAATGCAATTGGAAGGGAGGGGAAGGAACACATACCAGTCGATGTTTCATTTACCCACAATGCGATTGATTCAACAACTTCTTCTCGGACACTCTTACTTGCAACTGCTACAGCGAAGAATTCCCAGTCGCTTTTTGCGTACAGATGTCTGCTATCGAGGGGCAGGCCATATCTCTGGCGAACGTTATGATACCAGTCGCTCTGGATTTTGTAGATCCTTTCATCTACAAATGCGGTTTTCGACCGCTTTGCTTCAACCAGAGGTTTCTGTCCATCAGCAGAATCTAGAGAATTTCTCGAGGGTAAGTGGAAGCATAGTATAGAATCTGCAAATAAGTTGTACAGCGTTGTCCAACTACCATACCAGGTGTAGGCCAACTTCGCATGTGTCCCATCTCTCGAGATAGCAAATTCGTCTTGCCATTTCTTGATGTAAACTTCGGAAGTTTTCCGATAAAACTTCGCATCCTCAGTCTCCCCAACTAGTTCAGAAATCTCGGACATGGCCCGGATTCCAAGAATGCCTTTAAGGGCCAGATTTGTTTGGTTCGCTAGCCAGCCAGCAAAATCATCTGTTGACAGTTGATTGCTTGGGATGAGGGCCTCTCGAACGAGGTAACCTGTCCACTGCTTCCATAATTTATAGGATTTCTTGATCCATTTTGTTGCTTGCTTTTCACCTTTGGACGAAATTGGCCCGCCGAATGTATCGTCCATCCCATCGACATCAACCTGGAGTGGAAATACTGACTTTCCAAACTCGTTGTATTGGGTGGAACCAGCTGCAGACCATATGCTCGCTGGCTCGGCATCGTATTTCAGAGAATTAATAAGCGCCAGGCCCATTATAAGCATATTTCCGCATTCTTCCACGGGCATGTATTCATCTTTACCATCTGGATGACCGGTGGCATTTGGGAAGCTCGACCCAATATCATGCATGCTGTAATCGTTCGGGTACTGTCCACTAAGCTGATGCTCAATAAGGGGTTCCAAGACGTAAGCCAGCCACCTTGGATTCGTATATAAGAAGAATGGAAAAGCTGGGTAAATGACGTCAACGGTGTTCATGTTGCCATCAGATGATATTTCCTTAAAGAAGATGACGGGGTTATCTTCGGTGCCAGAGAAGCTACAAGCTCCAAGGACCTGGCGAGCACTCAAAGCAAGAATATCCTTGTAGTCTTCCGAACCTGACTTCAGCGCGTCAATTTCTAGTTGCGTCGAGTAGTTGCTAGCAAGTTCGAAACTCGTATTAAAGTCATGGTAATGGAAATTGAGAAGCTCGTCTGCCGTAGCGTAGTAAGCTTTCCATAAGGGCCGCATAAGAGTCATCCCTCTGGCGGATGCAAACTGAACAACCGGGTCCTGGATATGACCTATCGTGAAGAGGACACTATCTTGACTCTTGCAACCTGCTGCAGAGGTGCCATTAAGGACGAATGCTTTGGAAAATGCGAAAACGGGCTCTTCATCCATGATTCCGCGGAAACGGTCATCCACAATATTTTGCAGCGTCCCCGTGCGTGCGAAACGCTGTCGAAGAAGGCCAGAAGTTCCAGCTTCATGACGAACATCAGGAGGGCCGGTAAAATGCAATGTGCCCCATTCAGCTCGATCAGCATCTTCCGTTAACAGTTGCTCTGTCGTCCGATTAACCTTCCATGTTTTAAGGGGTCGCTCCTTTGTGCCCGGAATTTCTGACTGGCTAAGCTCCCAGCGAATTGTGTTTCCGCGGTTTGCACTGACCCATAACCCATTAAGATCAATATATATATTGATGTCGAATTTGCCATCGACATGAACTGTCAAATAAGACGCTGGGATGGCTTGTCGTAGGGTTGATGTTGGGGTTATAGGAGAGAGGAACGACAGAATCACCCGTAGTGAGTCCTGGGCGGATGCTGGAGAGGGGATACTATATGTAAGATTCGTAGTGGAGGCATCGAAGGTTGCACCAAGGTAGGTCGGAAACGATATGTTAAAGCTATCGGGTTATTAGACTTCGGGATAATTGATGTATGGAAAGGTTCGGCCTACCTCTCTCCAACTTTGGGGAGAGAATCATGAGGTCTGCCGAGGAGGGGGAACACAGTATTGGATTTTGGCACTGCAGCGAGAACAGATAATCCCACCTACAGACATGATTTAGTCCAGCTCCCGCAACCCTCGCAGAAGTACTGGGGAAACGCTGACCTCTTGACCAGTCCAGAAAATGGGCCAATGCTCCCATGGTAGGCCTCGAGCACTACCTAACCAAGTGCTTAAATATGGACTCCGGACAGTCAAAGGGAGGACAGGCGGGGTTAATGTCGAGCCCTCGCTCACGATGGCCACAGCCAAAACCGCAGCAGAGACGCAAGTCGTCCAGCGCATGGTCATTGCTGTGTATCGTTGCCCAGCAGGCTAGTGCACGAGCTACGATCGGTATGAGCTGTTACGAGTGGAATGCGGATACAGCGGTGGATACCATGAATGAGGCAGCCAGTGCAACTTGAAAGTATCGTCAACTCAAGGAAGCATTAATCGTAAAGTTAACAGGCAGAAAGAACTGAATAAAGTCGAAGAGACAACTGATAAACAGACAAAGGCGTCCTTCGTAGTTAGTTGGCGCAGGACTCCTCGGAGTGTTGTAACTTGTTGTTGATGCAGTGACGAAGGTGCCAGGTGCGAGTAGTGAAACGTGGGGTAGCTGACGGCACCACTTGATACACCGGGAACTACGGAGCAGGAACTAGGAACACCCCTCCTCCCCACAAGAGAAGCTTGTGTACGACCGCGCCTACGGAAGGAACCTACCTAAGGGTACCCTACATGTACCTACCTTACCTTACGTACCTACCTATTTAAGCCGTGACTCCTTACTTCGTAGGGACAGGAAATGGCGTGTAGAGCTGTCCTAACTTGGGTTCACTAATATACTACCTGCTTCATATCTTCCTCGCTGTGTCAAATCAATGTCTCTCCAAGGAAAAATAATCGCTATTACGGGTGGCGCAAGTGGAATCGGCCTCGCAACGGCGCAGCTAGCTGCTAGCCGCGGAGCCATCGTCTGTATCGGCGACGTTGACCCCGCCGCCCTGCAAAGCACCACAGCCCACCTCACGGCCCTTTTAGCCACCTTCACCGTAACAAAACTTGATGTGTCGAAACGTTCCGAAGTGGATGGGTGGATTGATACCATAGTCGAGAAGTATGGGAGGTTGGACGGGGCTGTAAATTGCGCTGGGATAGTCGGGAAACACCACGGAATTAGGGCCATCGCAGAACTGGAGGATGAGGAATGGAACAAGATCATTGCGGTTAATTTGACGGGCATGATGTATTGCTTGAGAGCCGAGTTGAGGAAGATTTCCGAAGGGGGATCAATTGTTAACATCACATCAATCCAAGGAGTCATGGGTATGTCCTTCGCTCTCTTGACTAGGGAGACTTGCTGATTGTGAAAATAGGATTTGCTGGCAGCGGAGCTTATGTTGCGAGCAAGCACGGGGTTATAGGCCTCACAAGATCGGCAGCCAAGGAGAGCGGTGATCGCAATGTGAGAGTAAATGCGGTCGCTCCTGGGGCTATTGAGACGCCTTTGCTGCAGAAGGCACGGGAGGCCAATCCCAACGAGGGGAAGGATAATCCTACCGCCATTAAACGATCAGGGACTGCCGAAGAAATGGCGAATATCATTGTATTCCTGTTAGGGCCTGAGAGTTCCTATGTAACTGGCTCTGTATACGGTGGGGACGGAGGATGGGATTGTTGAAATAGCTCTTAACGGTACTCGTATATCAATAATAGGAAGTTAATCAAACCCAAATCTCCTGCTTATGGAAGTTCTAAGTTGCGAAGCCAATCCGCATCATGTATATAGGGGCGTTATAATTCGATGTTATACCATATATAGCATCTCAATAATATCAAAATTTCCCCGTACAACGTGATTACCGACCATAACTGTACATATAATACAACGTCTATATAGGCATCCATGTGGGATGTTCGGACATTATTCGTATACTATTTTCGCCCGTTATGACAATCGCATCCCATTCCCATTATTAGATGGAGTCATCATCCCCTCAGTAGCCGTATATGCCGCTGGCATATTCTTCGCAATCGTTTCCTTGGCCCTTCTAAACCTAGCATAGCAGTATTCCACCACCTCATCTCTCGACATCGACTTCATAACAATTCCCGTATCCATCAATTCCCTCAAGAATGATTCCACTCGATCGTACTCGTCCCAATCCTTCTGGTACCTATCTGGCAGGCCGGAATTGTGGAGCAAGGCCAGTAACCCCGCATTGACAGTATTGAGTGCCGCTAGTACCGTGATGAGAACATCTTTACCTGTGGCTTGAGAAGATGCCAGGGCCGTCAACAATGCTCCAAAGACAAGTTGTAGAACCAAGCTGGTGTTGAAAAATATAGAGCAGAGGTGGTAGAAAAACTGAGCATGGACTCGTTTGCGAATGACGTCCTTATAGAGGCCATCTGGTAATCCTTTTGGGGGGTATATCCATGACGTGGGATGAAGGACGGCTTGGCTTTCGACGCTCGTTGATCCACCGATGCTGTGGCATACAATGGCAAGATCCTGGCCGGAAAGCCTCGTAATGAGATGAGGATGATTTGGCCCCGTTAGCATCTCAACCGTCGGTTCGGCGGAGATAGAAGGGGCTGCGGATGCAAATTCAGATGCTGGCTGTTTGGAATCTGGTAGGGTCGACATCCTTCCTACGTAGAATTTCTATATAATTGAATATGGGGCGAGGATGATAGGAAAAGTCTTAGGAGGAGTAGATAATTCCGGATTTGTAGGAACAAACATAAGATTAACGCAAAGGGAAATATTAAATTAAGGGCACTTCTAGCAGGTTGTATATAAGTTCCCAAGTGGGCTCACTGAGCCAGACCTGGACACCATAACGGCTGCGTTTGGTTTCAACACTGCATCAGACTGTGTCAGCTGTTCCAGGAATAATACTGCACAGGAATAAGGCGACTTGCTGAAAATAGGGTTGAACTCAAAAAGACTGGTATCCAGGCGGTAATCCCAGGAGACTGTTGGAGACAAGGATCATAGGATGGTCGCAAGCGCCAATTCGTAACATAGAACCAACAAAACGCAGCCCTATTTAAGACCAAGGAGGCTAAGTCGACATCGCAATCCTTTGAGGCTGTATGCTGACTAATATCCCAACCTTTACTTAAAGGATTCCAACAGTTGAGGCCATCTGAAACGACGGGACCAATAAGATCATTGGTACCCCATCCAATAGAAAACCGGCGACTGCCGCAACACCAACACAACACAGCCCTATCTGTGGGCGCGCAGTAAGGCTCACTCAGCCAGTAAGCTAATTTGGATACTGGCATGGATTGAAAATCGCAAAAAAAAATAACATATCGAGAAAGCGAAAGAACGAATCACATAAAATAGTTAAAATTACTCGAGTACAAGGAAACGAAAATGCTAACGGAAGGGGGGGGACGGGGGGGGAATCGCCGAGCTCGTCTCGAGAGTCTTCTTTATAACCTCTACTTTTAACGAGATTCGCAATGTTAACCCGAACCTTGGAGTCATTCATCAGGTCAGGCTGAGGCGCTCATACTTCTTACACTACATACAAGGTTCTTGATGACAAGCCGATAATTGGAGCAAGGAGAGAATATTGATATCGCAACGGAGGAAAGTGGAAAGATATAGATAGAATTCCCTATGTAGATGTCGGAAAGGTGACGATTCGCAGTGGATTTTGATTGTTAAATTCGAAGTTCATTGCACGTGCAATAGAATACACGTGACCTGCCAAGATTTTGATGACCAAGGGCATCTTATATCTAGCCATGAACTTTCCTAAAGTCAACTATTATCTCATCATCATCATGGCGACATTGAAGGCGCTGCCAGCTCTTATTCGAGAATCCTTCAAAAGAGCTCAAGATTCGGGCGATCTGACGTTTTATCCAACCCAGGTGGCTATTCTCACATGTAGTGGTTTTCCTGTGAGCCGCTGAAATGCGATTGTATACCGAGCTCGAGCTTGCTGACATTAAGGCAGTTTCAGTTACGATTCTCTCCTGCCCTTGCGAACAAACCAAAATCAAATAAACCAAAGGGCTCAAAGCCAGTGGATCCATTTGAGAATCCCGCAAAAGGTCTCTTTATTTCAGATCTACAACCTTCGCATTATCTTGTCCTAAACAAGTTTCCGGTTACCCATGACCATTTTATACTTGCGACAAGAGAATTTAAAGAGCAAACAGATCTTCTTGAGAAAGATGACCTTGCGGCTGCTTACCAGTGCCTGAAAAATTACCGGGAAAACGGAGAAGAATTGTTTGGTTTCTTCAATTCCGGTGAACATTCTGGAGCTTCACAGCCCCACAGACACATACAATTTTTGCCTGTCGACTCGATGCGCACGGGCATTCAAGGAGGACCTACCTGGAGTATTTTGGCAGACAAACTCATAGACAGTAATGGTATGATAGACATTATTGTTACTTCTTTAACATGGCTGACATTTTAGACTTCCCTTTCACGTATTTTGCCTCCCAAGTCCCAAATAATGCAACGCCCAGCCAGCTTCATAGTCTATATCTAGAAATGCACGCAAAAGCTTGTCAGATTGGAAGGCTTAACCATACGACTTTGCATAAAACTACCAGGAAAGAAGAATCACCGATCAGCTACAATCTTGGGCTCACCAACCATGTAATGGTACTATGTCCCCGAACATCGGAAGGCCCAAAAATAAGTAGTGCTACCGGCGAAATAATTGGGCCTATTGCACTCAATGGTACTATCCTTGGTGGCACACTCCTGGTGAAAAATGAAGAGGAATGGCAGGCTTTGCGGAACGACGAATCGAAACTCATGGATATATTGGATACTATTGGAATCCCTTCAGCTAAAAACGAAACATGATGAGCGATTATAATTCGAGCCACGCTCAGAGGTAGCGATCTATAAATGGATCATAGATATAGCGCCTAGGTAATGATGACGGTGTACATAACACGGCAAAAAACACACCTTCACATACTCACACCCATGCGGCCTTCGATTATTTGTTTTAACATTGCCCGACCAGAGTGGTAGTCAAGATTGGTCTTGAAGCTCATCCCAACGCTTCCGGCAGGTGGCATTCCCAAAGTGATACGACCCTCCATTGTTGGCGATGTACTCGGCGACTAGTTTCCAGGGAATTTTGCGTCGCAAAGGATCAGAATCTTGGGCAAATTTGCGGACTGCCTTTCTCAACAGCCGAATCTACACGGAGCTTAGCCATGTCGGATAATAAGAACAGAGAAGCCCTTACATCATTTTCATTCCATTCCGGTTTTCTTACCCGAGCGGTTTTGTGCTTCGTCAAAGTGCGGAATCTCCCTCTTAATGTTGATTCTGCTTCAGTGAATTTTCCTAGCCGGCGTATCTCTTTATATGACATTCCAGCTAGTTTGGACCTGACAAGGAAATCGTCCTTGGCTTCTCGATGGTGCGTGGCTTGAGCCATCATCGCCGACTGTGGGGATTCAGTCCAGGTTTGGGAAACTACTGATGAAGAGGATATCGGCTCAATCCTCTTAGCAAGCGATAGCTTCTGTTTGCCTGATTGTCCCTTTGGAGGATGTTTCTTGTTGGCTTTGGCTGAAGTCAGGCCATCATTGGGCAGTGTCGAGGTCGCTTTGTGGGAGTCTGGCCTGGTGTTTGGGAGCTTCTGACGAACAGGACGAATAGCCGTTGGCCGTTGGTTAACATCCAAAATCTCCGAATCCGAGCTCTCTGATTCATTCTCTGCAGTACTAGCGGCACTCGAGTCCGTCATTGTACCTTGACTCGATCCTGCTGAGGATAGTGCGGCAGAGGAGACCCCCAAAGTCAACAACTTTGGCGAGATAGTGCTTGGGCTAATACCTTGAGACATCCACTTGTCTGATGAATTAGTGCCAGCATGCCAAACATCCGAATAACTTCGGACATCCGGTAGGCCATTGTGATTTGGCTGGAGTCCATATATGTTCTGATATTGGTCACCTGAGCTGTGAGAGGTCTCTGGCCACCATGCGCACTTTGCTGAGCTGCCGGAATTAGTCGACATATTGAAGCTAACTGGAGGCTGTGTGTCAATAGACCCATTTGGCGCGTAGCTACTGTATCCATATCCCATTCCATCCCAAGAATTTAGGGAGGTGGTGTCGTCGGGATAAGATGCTCGCTGGTGCGCCAGGGACGGAGCTGTTATATATCTGGTGTACTCGCCGTCCGAAGTTTTGGGTGAAGGGCCGTCCAGACCTTGTGCATTTGGCAGTGTTGCAAAATTATCTCGTCCATTTCCTATCCCCCATTGGAAATATGATTCTCCAACAACTCCACTGCATTTCTCGAAGCAATTCATGCCCGGATCTAGCTCTTGATGCCTCTGCTGAGATACCGACGGTCTTTTGTGAGACACGGCCTCATTTCGGCATGAAGCTGTGTAGGCGGTGCCTTTTGTTAAGGAGACGACTTCAGAGCGAATAACAGAAGACGTATCTTGAAAATAGTGACCATTCAAGTTGTGTCCCTTTATTTTTGTTAATATTCACTACATCTTCTCTATCTTGAAAACAACTTACTGGGAAATTTTCGTTACCGAAGCCGTCGATTTGTTGATCCCAGTTGTCATTTGCTGGTGTGGCCACAGGCCTGAATGTATTCCAAGCGTTCACTTCGTTGTTCGACATCTCAACAAGCCTTTGATGCATCGGCTCCGCTTTCTGGTGCGGGACAAAGGTTTCGAAGGTATTCGAGACAAATCGGGGCCTCGCTGTAATAAACATTGTCGTAAGGTCTCACCGCTCTCCGGTCTCAATATATGTAGCTTTGCGAAAGTTCTGCTTCTAGTATGCCGCTAGATGCACATCGAAAGCGGGAATCCTAAGGCTCTTACAATCAGCCAATGTAATGCAGCACATACCTTCAAACAGCACAAGTTGTGCAGGCGGTCAAGCTATGAATATTCCCCTCCAAATGGAGGTCGAGTTTCCAGAACTGACTGGTATTTGAAGGGGTTACGTTACTGATTGGATAAGAGGGGATTACTAGCTACTCTCAGTCTCCTCGAGGCGGGCGATGTTCACACTTGTTGAATCGAGATCCCCTTAAAACCTTGTTGCAGTAAGTTAGTCTTCTAATCGTCGTGTTACATTGCCATACGGCTAGTAGAGCAGGTAGGGCAGTTATTCTTACTTTTTAATGCAAACTGTTTCCATTGGTATAGCCAAACTTTTCGAGATACTCGCAAAATCTACTCTTCCTTATCCACAGAAGCTTGCAAAAATATATAATTATGATGTAGAAACCTCGAAATAAAGGAACCGGCCTTGCTATGTAACGGAGGGGTTGCTATTATACACTTATATGATTGTCCGCTAGAAAGGAGTGTTCCGCATATGGCAGAGCCGTCCGTGTGATACTTTGGATGAGAAGCTCAAACCATGGGTCTTCTAGAGGCCGAAGAAGGAAGCACTGCCGAGAAAGCTCGTGCTCGCCTCCGCATTTGCTATCTGCTTGTCATTACACTGTGTTTTTAATCTATAGCCTGGCAAGACAACGGCACCACCAAGCCTCCCTCCCGTCGCTGTTGAGCATGGTCAAGGCTCCCTAGGGAGCCGCAAAAGTATATCAGTCATCTTTCAACTTTTCCACGACGCTCGATACGAACTTTCAAGCGTCTGGACTTACTTGCCCGGTATAGCACTGTGTGACATCAGGCCCCAGCGCCTGCCGCTGTGGCTAAGGCGGCTATACCGTCTCACCAGTTCCGCTGCACATGGCCGCGGCCACGGACCTTGTCGAGATGATGCGAATGAACGCGTTCGTGTGCCTCATCATTACATCCAGAGCTGAGCGTCCTGTCCTCATCCCCCAGCATGGCTAGGTACGAACCAGACGTTGCTGAAAATCTGGCAGAGCAAACTGACGGTTGCTTGCAGAAAAATATCCGAGCTCGGACTGGAGGACAGCTTTCCGGGCAAACGACCTGGCCTATTGGAGGGGTTATTCCATTTCCTGCAGTGTTTGTTGACCGCTTGGATCAGGGCGTGGAATTGTCTTACTATGCAAGTCTGGCTGCAAAACATCTTTTGATGGTGCCCCGGCATAAGTTGTGATCTGAGCTCTCCTGGCAACCACGTGCTCTTAGGCACAGCATGTTCCTGAACATACGGCTCAAAGTCCTCAAAGTCCTCCGCGGTTAGAACTCAACTAAATCCGCAACGGCGTGGCTCTTATCCTTACCGTATGCCTCCCGTCTCCGATGTTTCATGTCTCCAGGGCCGATTTGTCGGCTCTGAGCCATCGATCACCTGCAAGCAATCGCCTCCTCAAACGTCCTCACAATTCGCCCCCACTCTCTCCTTCCACAAGATCATCCGGCAAGTTGCACAAGCGGCAATCACCAACATTAACACAGACCAAGATCAGATACGGTCTACCCAGTAGCGACAGCCGAGCAATCCGGATTGTTGCACGTACCTAACTTTGTGATGTCACAACATCACAAATCACATTCTTCGTCATCTCTCTGAAGGATGAAGGGGAAGCTCCGACAATTCTAGCCTCCTGCCTACGCCTCTCCCTTTCTGTTTCTCTACTTTTTGGATGAAATCTTGGCTAACGGGAAGTAGTTGATATTTGATGAAATGAGCAATTCAGTTGTGGTAGGTAAGAAACGATAACGGGATGAGATACCATCAATGCAGACCTGACTAGATAGGGATTACTCATCTTTCACCCTCATGGGTTTATTGGCCTAGATGGTTGCTATTAACTCGGTGAGAAAATGAGCCCACTGCTCATTTTGCCAGATGGGGATATACCCACCGCTCCCCTCCCGTTTGCGTTAAATGATATGATCTAGTCAGACATCCCACAAGCACCGCCAAGGGGGCTCAGAAACAAGACTTTCTACTTGGTCCCCACGCCTCAAGTTCAAGCTGGGGAAAGGAAAATTTGGCGGTAAACATCTGTGTCTTGCCTGCACCCTGCACAACTCCTTAGCTTACCAGTTCTATATAGACTTTGGTACATGTCTTCCACGTGAGGTAGAGTGAGGAACACTTAACACGTGTACTCAGTATGTCTTACATACAGGGACTTCCCTCGTAGCCTTGCTGTGCTCTGTATGTCTGATGGGGGCGGTGTGGTCTCTGCCCTTTACTTGGTTTGGTTGTTTGAGGCTTTCAGCGGGCGTGGGGGTCATCATTGGACAGCAGTTGGAGGGGCACATGGGTTGAAATTCTCCAGGTGGAGGGGGTCAGGAAGCTTCGGCTGTCCAAGGTCGCCGCCCAGGAAATCTGGGAGAGTGTGGGCTTTGTGCTGTGTATAGTGGAATAGGAGGGTGTAAGCGAACAAGGTGAACGAGATAAATATGGTGCGCACTATAGCTAGCGCTCTACCTCTCACCCGGAGAGATGGAGATGCAATATCTCCCCATCTCGCCATCTTAAAAGGGGGCAGGAGGGCAAACAAACTGCCTTGGGCTGAGAAAAGGGGCGAAACGTCACGTGACTCAACCGCAGCCATCCCTTCCTTCTACTTAGTAACTCTGATACGTCGAAGTAGTAAAGGCTCTCCAAAGCAGCGCAACGAAGCACAATCCACCGAAAAGAGGGACGGTTGTTGTCGCTTAAGTAGTAAACGAAGCGGCCTACGGAGTAGAGAGAAGCAGCCAAAACGAAGTGAATAGTCAAATTCCATGCTATTAAAACCCAATATATGGTAATAATCTAAAGCGAAAGGAACGCCCCTAGTCTATAATCAAGGCATTGGTATCATGCACCGAACTCCGTCCCAAAATCCAATTTCAAAATTATCATACCTTCATTTTGGCCGCCATAGCAATCTCCAAAGCCTCCCCTTTCACATCTTCATCCTCATCGCCCGTAGTGCCCAGGTCAGTATCTTCCTCTGTCGCGCTTGGATTCTCCGTCTCCTCGCCGTTTTTCTTTAGGAGCTTCTTAAGATCGTCTGCGCTCAGGATACTCTCAATCGACCCTCTGCGGAAACCAAGACGGTTTTCGTTGCGACCTTGGTCAACCAGCCGCTCGATTTTCATCCGATGCGCGATGAATTGCAGTTTGGGGAACGCGCTTTGTTGGCCGACGTGGAGCATCCGGGCGAGCTGTTTCGGTGCGGGATCGCTGAGGATACGCCAGAAATCGGAGATGATGACCCGGGGCCAGATGGTGATGGTGCCTGAGAATTGTTGCAGCCATATCTCGCTCCAGTCTTGACCGAGTGGGCGAGGAAGTAGTTCTAGATGCCGGAGGACTTTAAGCCATTTGTTGAGATCGAGTTTAAGGTATTGTTCTGTCGCACTTCCTAGGAAGCCACCGCGCCAGCCTCGGCCCCTTCGGTGGGTGACGGGTTGTCCGACGGCACCGCGGGATGAGAAGAAGAAGAGATTGATATGAGGATTTACTTGGCTCACGATGCTGAAGTTGACGTTGAAGTGGAGGTTGAGAGCTTTTAGAGGGATATCGGTTCGGAGACTGCCATCCTTCCATTTGTGACCGAAGGAATAGGGGGCCAAGGTGCCGTCTCTCGTCTTCATCATGAGAACAACGGGATTCATGATGCCTGGAACGGCAGCTGATGCAAGAACTGCTGACCAGATGACACAGTCTGGACTAGTCAAGTAGTTGCAAAGGATTCTACATTATGAAATGTTAGCACGGGGTTTGGACATCTTAACGGCAGACCTACGTAGGAGAGTGGGGATCCGCAGGGACGCAGGATACATTGAGAATCCTTCCCGTCCGTTCATAAGCTTCACGGAAGGTCATGCTTCCCCTCGTGAACCAGCTACACTTCTTAGCCCACTCGAGAGTATCGAATCGAGCACCGGTTTTCCACCAACGAGGCCCCCATACTGTGATACTCTCCGAGCAGGCGTCTATTCGGCCGGCCAGCGCTGGGACAAGAAGCTTCTTCAGCTCTTCATTTGTGCGTGTGGCTATGAGCCCTGCCACAAGCGCGCCCCCAGAAGTACCAGTAATCACATCTGGTAGCAGGTCTGCGTCTAGTAGGGCTTTTACTACACCGAAGTGGTAGTATGCAAAGGTGGCGCCTCCTGACAAGCACAAGGCAGTCCGACCAAAATTAGTATGTAGTCGTTTAAATAGGGTTCGTTTCTCCTCTGGTCCAAGTTCGTTCGTGTCTATCAAAATTTTGACTCCCCTCTCGACTTGTAATTGTTAGTCACTGGTCAATACGAAGAGGCGAGCAACTTACCCTCTTCAATGAATTGCTGAACAAGATTCTTTGTCCCATAATATGTCTGAGAATATAATCTAGAATTCTCGACGCCAACAAAGTTGCTCTTCACACAACCTTCGACGAGGGCTTTCAATTCCTGAATCGCCCTTCTCTTCCCTCCAGTCCCATTCAATATCCCCCTCTCCTCAGCCTCAACCTTCCTCCTAGACCGCTTCATCTGGTCCAGCACTCTCCTCACAGTCTTATAATCATAATACGCAAAGGCGTCATCCTCCTTCCACTTATCATTTCCCAGAAACCGATCTAGCTCTTTCGCAGCGCGCACCCAGTCGGCATAGGTCTCCGCACCCTGCAGTTTCCTCCTCAGACGTTCCCTCTTCCCCCTCCATGCCACAAAATTCTCATAAAGCCAGATATATAACCTGGTAAACAGATAACTGATCCCCAGGCCAAAAACCCACGCTCCCACCACACCAAGCAACGGCCATTTGAGCAGCGAGTATAGATACCCCTCCCTCGTCTCATCCCGACTCCTGCGCGGCTTCCGAGTCCCTTTCTTCTTGCGCGACGTCTTTCGGGGTGGGTGAATGGGCGCCCAGTCATTTTGTGCGGTTATGAAAAGACTCTCTCTGCTTTTGGATCTTTCGCCGCTGAAAGAATTCGTGCCATCGTTGCCACTAAGAGCTGTAGGGGACGTCAAATCATCTGTACTCGGACTGTGTTCTGGCGCCGAGAGCGCATTGGCAAAAGCGATCAAATCCTCGTAGGACAGGAATTCATGATCGAAATCTGGGAGGAGTGAGGAATCGTAGCCCTCTGGGCTGTTGGGCGCAGGGCCACTCGTGGAGGTCCGCTGGTCCGCCATGGTGTCGATTTCGTGTACCCGTTAGGAGGAAGCAGACTCGAACTTTGATGGGGGGGAGAACTGAGACAACATTTTATGAGAAAGATGGAGCGGATTATTAGTGTTTTGAAGTTGGAGGCGAAGAATGTGAGTGAAAGTCATAGGAATGGAATGTGGTGGTCTTCCGTGTATTTGTTTGTGGATATTCATGAGACAGATCGGAGCCGCGTTCCTCGGTATCGGATGACGTAGAATCGGTGGTAGTTCATCCGCCCCCCCTAGTCAGCAGGTTCGTTGAGAAGTCACCAGCAAAATATGTTAAATTATTGTCTTATGATAAGTCTCAAGCCACATTATTGCTATCTGTCTTGTAGTAATTTTCGAGTTCTGTCTAGGATAATTTCCATTAGTCGAAGAAGCTCCCAGGACGATGGAGTGGCAATTAGCACCGGACACATCAATACGTATAGCAGAGCTTAAGTTCAAAGAAAGTTCGAGTGGAAGTTCTTGAGAGTTTTTGAAAGACAGAAAATTCTTGATCGCAATACTATGCAAGGTACAAACATGCCGGCTGATTGAGGTTCAGGTAACTATCGGAACGCCCTGTACGACCTCACAAGCAGGCCAAAAGCATCACAAAACGACCTGTGTAATGTAAAACTCCATCCATCGTGACACCCTCTGCGAAGAGGCTTCAACTCCCACCATCCACCGGCTCCCCTGTCATCCCCTGTCCCAGCTTCGTCCACGTCTGGGTCCATATCTAAACATATTGTGACAACCATCTGATACCGTCGCCATAGCCTACTACAGTTAGCCTTTGTCACTCACGGTACGTCCAACCATATCACTTACCCTGTCGCATAACGACTGAGCACATAAAGACCTCAATAGGCCTGATACCCTCAAGAGGAACCTTGCCCTTGCCAGTAGTCTGGTACAGGCCTAATTGATGTCTTAACTCATCCTCACTGACCGCATCCGGATGGTCAATCTTGTTACCCAGGACGACGAACGGGACCTTCGAGAGCTCCTCCATGCTCAAAAGGGCATCGAGTTCGGCTTTCGATTCGGAGAGACGCTCGTGGTCCTTCGCGTCGACGAGGAAAACGATACCTGAGACTTCCGGGAAATAGTCCTTCCAGAGACGGCGAGCTAACGGGTTATAAGTATAAGCCTAGGTCCTAACATGCCAGTGTAAAAGGGTGTTGGGCATTCGTACCTTGTTGATGTCCACCCAGATCGAAAGTAGTGAATTTAACGTTGCCAATGGCGAGTTCCTCGGAAGCTGTCCAGTCGTCAGTACCAACGCACGTGCTTGCTCCTACAGCGCAGATGAATCAAGGCAAACTCACTTGGATGGAGAGTAGGTTGTAAGATGGCGACTCGGTCATTCTATCCATAAGTGAATGTTAGTAACGGTATCTGTATCCTGAGCTTGTCAAAGGCATCCGTCATTGACGAAGCATAGGACATCTCCAGGTCCTTCCCGATCTACGCACCTTTAACATATGCAACAGCGTGGTCTTTCCCGCATTATCCAGACCCAGGAATAGGAGCTTCGCATGTTTATTCAGGAGCCCGAGTGACGCGAGCGTATCCCAGACTAGATCGGAGCAGAACAGGCGTCAGTTTAGCTATCGCCGAGCCGGATTGAATCCCACATCCTTGGGGGCTTTGTCGCATGGGGAATACCTACACCAGTTGACAATCCACATCTTGAATGTCTCTTAATATCAAATCGTTCCTTGGTGTCTGCGTGCGTGTGCGAGAGCTTGGGGTGTGATGGGGTGGATTTCTGGGTGAGGGATAGCCAAAGCTTAGTTACGGACAGTTGATCGCCAACTTGGCAAGAAAACCTACGCTAAATTAATCATCGCCTTATATTTCAGGAACCACGAACCTTCAATGCCCAAACGCCACGTCTACTTGAATGTCACCGCGGTCGTGTCTTTATCTTGAACATACATTCACAAAGGAGGAATCAATACAAGCCAGGATCTTTTAGCATTCTATTTATGCAGTTTTGGTACATCTTGTTGTCAGGATTGTGAGTCACGAATAAGCCAAATTGGTAACTAATAATCCAGGTACGAGGGACTCAAAGTATGGATAAGGACGACTAATCCAATTACAAGAGTATAGGCCACTGTAGCCAGTTATATAGGACGTGTGTAAGCCAAGCCCGACTCAGGAATACCCATACAGGTATTACCACGAATCCGTACACCTATTTGACAACTTGAATGTCACCGCAGTCGTGTCTTTATCTTAAACATACATCCACAAAGGCGGGAATGGCAGACTTTGTGATAATGTCCGATTTTAAGAATCCTAATTTTACTAAAAGAAAGAATCAATACAAGCCCTGATATTTTAGCATTCTATTTATGTAGTCTTGCTACAACTTGTTAATAATACTAGTACTCACGACACCAATGTATCTGCAATATCCCCTTGAACTTGATTTATATTCAAGCCCATGGATGCAAGACCTCACACATCGTTATCTATCACCCATATACGTTATGCGGCTACAGAGCGCCAACCAAAACTCAATTCTCACAATCTCACGGAAGGAGAACTCGGTTGAAAATAATGGGTTCATCATTCGATTAAAATCACAATATGCGAGTTATCCTAAACTCTTAACAAAAGGAAGGGCTGCATGAAAACACAGCCCCCAAGCCGACTGCTCCTTTCCATGACTGGTGCAACGATCGTTAATTGAACTCCCATGCTGCCCGCTGTCCAAGCTATGCAATGATATATGCCTCCGAAGGGTCCAAACGATGACCTCTTCCAAGTGGCGCTCTGGCCTAATGTGATGCAATGAGATGACGTGCTTGCACGCGGTAAGGTAATATCTCGATAGTGATCTGGATAATGTAGGGAAAAAGTGGTATATACAAATCCCTCAGTCTACACAAATAGTGGATGTGGACGGTGGATGGGTAGTAGAAGAGAAAGATGTACAAAAGAGTAAAATATTTTGAATAGAAAGGTAGATGAAAGTACCGCTGACGTTGCTGTGAGCCTAAGCAGACATCATGTAATGGCCTTGAACTCCAGTCTTGCCAGCCATGACGAGCCCAAGCTCACGCATCCGTTCTGCGCCTTTCCCAGGCTGAGGCTTACGCTCAGCGTTCTGTTTCCGGCCGCGGTTGTTGTACTGCTTCTGGAAGAACTTCTCTTTGCGCCGTTGCCGTTTCCTCTCTAGACCCTTGACGATATCAATAGCACCACGAACAACACAGTCACCTGTGTCATTGCCGGAAGCAGCAGCTATGCGAGAGGCCCGATATTGCCGACCAAACGCATTAGGAGCACGGGGAAGTGACTTCGTATGAGTGAGGCCCGGGCGTGACGCGAGCGGCGCGAAATTGATAGCTTTACTGTCACCTTGAGCCGTTGGAGAGGTTGCTGGCGAACGGACGGCCCGCGGTGGCGGTGGAGAGCGCATCCGCTTCGGGGAGTGACCAAATAGCTTACGAGGCGGAGGGGATCGAAGCCGTTGCTTCGGAGGGGGTGAACGGGGTCGTCGGGGCGAAAGAATTGGAGACTTGCGGCGGGCTGTGGTGGAACGACGTCGGCCATGGTGTTCCTGGTCCGACTCTTCAAATTTCCCATGGAGCCATACATGCTCCTCGCTGTCATTGCCGTCCCGCACGTCGTCGTCATCATCCTCCTCGTTTTCTAGATCGGAAGTAGGAAAGCTAGGATCTATATCTTGTGGAGTTTGGATACGCTTAGCATTCTTCCGGGCCTCCATACAAGATATGTATGCATTTTCAATCGGTCTATCCTCGTCCAAAGTACCGCAGACAAAATCGGTACTGTCAGGCAACTCGGGAGTACCAGGTCGAATTTTAATCGGGCGACGGCGTAAATAACGATTGCCTTGTGGGCCCACGACAGACTCCATGTGACCAACAGATTCTATTGACGAAGCAGAGGCGGCCCGATGAGCAGATGGACGGTAGGTTAGAGAGCCTCCAGGTCCAGTATTGGGAAGATTATATCCTGGGGACCAGAAGGCGAATTCCCCTTCAGGATCGCTCTCGTCGTCCGAGTCAGCAAATCCAGCCTCGTTATCGGTCTCATTGCCATCAGACTCCTCATCGTCATCATCGTCGTCGTCCTCATCGTCATCGTCGTCATCGTCGTCATCCTCAGCGGCATCGTCATCGTCATCATCGTCGTCTTCCTCTAATGCTTCTTCTTCAGCCTCATTACCGAGTTGGCGAATGGCATTCTCCATCTTTAGGGTATCATTGATGGTCAGCCTGGCTTTTGGAGCTTCATCCTCTTCCCGAATCCAGTCATCTTCTTGTAGTCCCTCACTGGCAAATTCATGGAATCGAGTGGCCTCCGAGCATTCCAAGGACATTTCATCAGCAATGATATATTTCGGTTTGGTCCTTGTTGCGACAGGACTGCCTGAGGATCGGTGAGCAGTGGAAGCGACGTCTCGGTGAGGCCGCGGCGATGATTGGGATGTAGTTCTAGGGGACTTTTTGGGAATTGGAGCGTTCTGTGCTTCAGATGGCTGCGACTCGAACTTGTCATCGGCCGGAGACTTGGTCCTCTTGTCGGATGGTTTTGGGCCCGAGCAGGCGAATTTAATCTTGCAGACGCGCTGTTGTGGCTGCGCGTTTGCTGCAACGGGAGCTGGTTCTGGAGCCGGTCGTGCGGCTGGCTTAGGAGCCATGTGTTTCCCTCCACCACAAGCAAATGTGATCGTGCGTTTCTTCGGTGGAACGACCATCTCAGGCTGGGCCGACTTAGGAGAAACGGCAATCAATTCGGCAACAGGTAAGGAATCGTTCATGCCGGTATTAACCGCGATGGGCATTGGTGGCGATATCGATTCTCCAGCTAGAGAATATGGAGCAAAGCTGGTAAATGTAGCACTAGGAGGAGGGCTAGGTGTACTCGTGCGTGCAGGACTTGTGAGGCCACCATCACTTGTCAATTCCGCCGTCGAGGTCATGCTAGCGTTGCTCATCATCGATCTTCGACGGGACGAGTCTGGGTTGACTTGTATTTCGTGCTTGGAAGCTTGGTTGTCGGGATTCTTCATGAGTGCTTTTGTAAGCAGCGATTCCTTGCGCTGGGCTTGGGATCGGACTGCGGATTTGTGAAAATCGGTTTGCAACTTCTCCAGGCGTCGATGATCCGGGGGCTCATCCACGTCGGCAACAAGATCTTCTTCTGCCACGGGATCTGTGTTGCTGGCAGCGGTGGAAGACCGCCAGTTGAAGAAGCTCTGGAGACCCATTTTGTAATTTCAAGGGGGCGCAAACCATTAGAGAGGATTGTAAGATGGAATCGGCGGTAATTGGGGGGGAGTCCGTGAGCGGTACCCCTCGGGAGGTATTAAAATATTTTGTGTATTTGTATTGAATGTTGTCGACTTTCGCGATGGGTGGCGGCTCCAACAAGTAGAGCAATCACTAGGCGACAATGAAAGTCGATCCAAGGCAACAAGGTGTGCGGGATTCTCGTATGGATATAATCGGACGGAATAACCTTAGCAGGATCGGCAGAAATCAGATGCAGCGTTGACTGTCGTCAGATAACTCGAAGCAAGTTCAAGAACCGGATTGGTTATGGCGTCCCTAGGGGACCGTTGTGCTATAATTGATAAGGCATCATGTATTGTGAAAAGGGATCCAGGTGGATTTTGCAGAAGCAGAGACGGCGGGATTTAGGGTTTTTGGTTGTTCTCGTGAGATTGAATGTTCCAGGCGGGAAGAATTTGTGCTGGAGATCTTGACCTGATTTTGCGAGTGACGTTGGAACCAGCAGGGCTGAAGGGCCGCAAGCAACACAGGGACGGATCTCGCGTCAGACAGCCTGGCTGAGCGACGGAAGCTTAGGGCTTGGCTGTGCAAGACGGTGGCCAACACAAGTTTGGCCACGCCCTACAGTCGAGGAACTTTCTTTTGAGGGGGGATACGCGTTGGTTTCGGGCGATATGTGAGGGTGCGGGTGAGGGCGAAGAGAATGGAGGGGGGAAAGGCAAATATGAAGGTGGGAGGAGGATGGGAGGACAGGATGGAGGGGAGGGAGAAGGGGAAAAATAGAAAAGGTACTGGGCACTGGCACTGGCACTGGCGGGTAGGGCAATAAAGGGAAAAAGCCTGTGGCGGTCGCAAATGTTGGGTTTGCGGTGAGCGCGGTGCGGTGCGGTGGTGTGGCTAGCCCAGAGGGTACGTAACCACAGGCTACAGTGCCCCCTCGCTACCCTGCCACGGCCGTCGACCTGACTCCTGGCGGCGAGCGTGCGAGTTTAGGGGCTTTCTATAGGGGGGTTGTCAATCCCTCGGGGCCCATTTGTCCTTGGAGACCCCCCCGGGTGCGCTGGGCCAAGCTGGGCACTGGAAATTTTCATCTTGGTACAGTACTTTGTACGTAGTACGTACGAGGTAGCACCGCCACCAGCCGATACTATCCCTTTTATCTCTGATTTTACTTTACAGTATTGTCTTTATTTTACAGTATTCTCTTTGTTTTATTCTCGTTATTGTCTCTCTCCCAAATTCAAAAGAACGCCCGGTTCTCCTGGGCCCCCAATTCCGCGCTGCTTTGTTTTGCTTTTGGGGGGGGTGCTAGCAAGCCGTGGCGCCCCAGGACGGGTATATTGAATATCGAATGCCTGGATTTCAGGAGCAAGGCGCGGCAACGCGAATAACGATCTGCGTGCATCATCAATTATTATTATTGCGCTGTCAAATCCTAAATACCGGCACGCCAAGATACCGGCCAGTCGATCTACAAGTAGCACCTCGGCGCTCGTGCGGGTCCTGTCCTGTGCTGTGCTGTCCTGCTCATCGATGTTGAAACATCCATCCATCCACCCATCTTCGGCCGTGGGGGCACGCTGTTGTGTGGTCTTCTGACAAACGCCGTGAACAACTTCCCACTGCTTTCGCGTGGACGCGGGTACTCGAGACTTGAGCCCTGCTGCTACTGAGCTGGCATGTGGAGGTACTTGGTACTTGGTACTTCGTGGTCTTTATTTTTATTACTCAATCCTCCCTTCTGCATCCCCAAGTTCCCAACCCACGCTGCTGGATTTAGCCACAATCCCCAGAGTTGAAGGTCTGAAAGCCTTGCCCTAATCTGCGATAACGGCTCTCCTCCTCTTCTACTGTAGTGGTGCTTTCTACGTGGGATGCTGCAAAACGAACTGCCGTACCTTGGTGCCCCTCACAGAGAATCCATCCCTTATGACAATCGGAATATCAATCCAGAGCCCAATTACAGAACGGGGAAAACTGGATAGGGCAGTGGGAATCTACCGAGTAACACGCAACACGACTTCCTACTGCTCTGATCTCTGACCGCAACTTACCCCACATTCGCTGCATCTACGCTACGTTGCTACCGTACGCTACGGTCTCTGATCCTGTCCCATCCAGCTGCTGGAGCTTGACTAAACTGGTCCAAATATTGCCCAACCTGACACGTCCATCTGCATGTGCGGGTGCCTCTCGCAGGTTGCGATGCAATCCTCGGGATTCGGGAAAGATAGGGCAGACCATCAACTCGGTGGGTGCTCATGTTCCGATGGTCCAATAGCAACACCACATCCCGCGACCTGAAGATGGTGTTGGTGTCGTGGGACGCGTGACGCGTGACGCTTTTCAAGAAACGCCATGATCCCGCAAACCCTGGAAATGGAAAGATGAGCTGAGCTGACTGAGAGGACGAGTGAGACTGAGAACTGAGAAACTCGGATTCCTCACCGCAGCTGGGCTGTGTGACACTCCTCTTTAACAACTACCCCGACCCCGACCTCGACCGCAAATATTCAGACAAAGCTTGTTGTAATCCTGTTGGATGCAACGGAGTACTACTACCTAGGAGCCTACTCGGAAGCTTGTACTGTACTGTACTGTACTTCCGCATTTCCAGGGTTCGCGGGCACATCCGCCCTAAGGCAACGGCTCTGATACCTGTGAGAAGGCTGCATATGCACAGCACTTTCCTGTACTTCACCTGCACGCTGTTCGACAGCATTTCGGCTGCATACTATGGCGTAACGACACGCAGGATCTTGAACATTATGAGGGATTAATGACCTCCAGTCGATTTTCTCCCCTCTTAAAAGCGCGAATGGAATGTTCGCATTGGTGGTTGGATGATCAGTGACTTGTCCGAGTAACTTGTAACTTGCAACTCTGCTCCTTAATATCGCCATGATAACCCTTAAATGCGGGGTACATCCCCATCAACTTATATAGAATTAGGGACGACAAATAACGGTTATTGGTTTAACATTCTTTTTATGTAATGTCCCTCTGTCGATCACGACCATCAACACATGTAACTGGAACCCCTTGATACATACCTCTAGGTATCTAGGTACATACCACATAACCCGATGGCAGCCTCTAAGAGGTCTTCGGTTACTAAGCAAGTACTTCGTATTTATTATTAGCAATTGCTTGTGATGAACGCATCTTGCATATCTTTACGAGAAATCCTATATTCCTCCTCCGCTGAAGGGGTCAGGTTAGATGCTGCTCCTCCTGTTAGTTTCCGTTGCCATCTTTAACCGCAATCGGATTTGTCAGCATTGCCACTCACGGTCGTGGAAAGTTTTCAAGTCAGAACCTCGGGATGAAGTAAGGCAAGCGTCACGTGCAATCTGCCAACTCATGTCACTTGAATGACGGACCTCAATAACGATTCTCACATATTCATAACATGTAAACCAAATCCTTTCTATTTTCAAGCCATTATTCAAAATCACCTGACTTCAGCGTGTTGATACAATCACGTGATATTTGCGCTAAACCATGTTCGAATGAAGGGTAGCCGAGCATCTTGAACTTCAGTGAAAGCTCTCCTCCAGGTCAAACAACGGCAACCTCCAATTGATACCCGAACACACCATGAACTCCCTCCGTATTGCTCGTACGGTTCTGCGGGCGCGCCCTGCAGCTATCAAGGCGCCTCTGCTGCAGCGAAGAGGGTACGCCGAAGCCGTGTCGGATAAGGTCGGTAATCCATCACAGATTTTTGCGATCCGGTTCTAATCGTCCCACAGATCAAGTTGAGTTTGGTCCTACCGCATCAGGTATGTTCGATATCCGATTGAGATGGTATAAGGGTTTAGGGGTGGATGAGGGCTAGGAGTGCGAAGGTTGAGGTGGCAGGAGGATTGGAGATATGGGCCGTGACTCGAGTGTGCAAAACCACTAACCAGTCCGCAACAGTCCATTTATAAATCGCAAGATGTCGTCCAAGTCAACATCCCCGCAGAGTCCGGCGATATGGGTGTGCTGGCAAACCACGTTCCCTCCATTGAGCAGCTGAAGCCCGGCCTCGTCGAGATTATCGAGGAGACCGCTGGAAGCAAGCAATACTTCCGTACGTCCCCTCCACCAGCCCATACCTGTTCCCTAACTAACGCAGGGACTGCATAGTCTCCGGTGGATTTGCCATTGTTCAACCGAACTCGGAATTGAGCATCAATGCCGTCGAGGGTTTCCCGTTGGAGGATTTCAGCATAGATGCTGTGCGATCACAGATCTCCGAGGCGCAGAAGATTGCCGGTGGAAGCGGTAGCGAGCAGGATATTGCTGAGGCGAAGATTGAGCTCGAGGTAAGTTTTCCCGCGGTATATTGATGGGTTCCAAGGCTAATGGAAATATAGGTCCTGGAAGGTCTACAGGCTGTCTTGAAGTGATGGAGTAACTCGGACCCTGGTTGAAGGCGAGAAAACTATAGAAGCTGCAGCCATGTACATCATTGTTTCGTAAATGCATCCTATGAATTAGGGTCTCCCATTGCATAGTGTACACTTTCATGACTACTCTTCCTGTTATGTTCTAATTTAAGCAAAACCGCCATTGACTTCGGATTCTGCTGCATCAATGCCTCTTCCTTTCCACCGGCCATTCCATCCTTCAAATTCTTGGGCAAAGCTGCTGGAGATATTTAATTATAACAGCAAGCAACTTACGAAGCTCCTTTTAGTATTTGACTTCTTCTGTTAAAAGCCGAGGAGCCTACACGTAGTCACAGATATTCAATTTATATCTGAGGGGCCCCCCCCATACGTGGATATTTGGGCTTCGAATTATAAAAGACTACTGCAGATTTTCTTAATGCAAGTTATCGACTAGTCCATTTTACCTTACAATAACATTCATAAAGGAAAGCTTACTCTTCGTCGCTATCTCGAACTTTGCAGTGCATGACTCTTAATAAAACCATTGATTATCTATCTTAGCTGAGAAGTGCTAGACGATATATATTTGAGAATATGAGAGGTTCACGATTCTTTTGTGTTGCAGAGGACAAAACACATGCTGGGCATGTTGGCAGTATGCTACAGGATTTACTTTATTGCCAATTTCTAAATTACCGACAGGTTTTACGCTCTTAACCTACACATATATACCCTCTTCCTTTCTCGTTTTGGTTGCCTTTGGCTATAGATAAACGATACTCTAAAAGTTGAGATTGGGGACTTGAACAGTTGTTGACGGGAGGCTAAAGCTAGGTGAGAGGGAGGTCTCCCGGTATTTGAGAGATTATGCATTAATATCGAGTAATAAATGTAGAAGACGCTATATAGGCAAGTTAAGCTCGGTCAAGCTATATCATCATCAATTGAAACTAGGGTACATCAGGCATTATTACGCGGCTCCTCTTTTCCTACTTCTCTCCATGGATTAAATTGTTAGAGTTACAAGTGCCTAGAAGGCACGCTGCGCAAATACCTCCATAGCTGCATGGAAATGTCCACGCAAAGTGAGACGATATAACGCCCATGACAGGGAGGTGTTATGGCAGGTTCGGAGGTTTAGAAAAGTCAGATCGAGATCGCAGTTAGACGCCATTTAAGGACATTCAGCCTCCAAGTAGAACATATGTGCCCAGTGGCCAAACAATTTGCTGATTCCTAGGCACATACTATGGATTCATGGATTCATGTAGCCCAGCCAAGGGTGTTTCAGGAGATCCTTCGTAACCTTCCTCTCCTCTCTGGCAGTCACTAGAGCATATAACTAACAAAATCGAGGAAGCTTTTCTGGTCTTCTCCCTCATGGGAAAGTAACTGAGCCAGGAAGATTGAGATCGGAGGGGATAGGGGTTTTATAAACGAGGTCGACAAAGCTGAGGCTCACTAGTACGACAAGATTCCAGATGCCTGCACTGTACGACCAACCTGTGCCTAAGATGGCATCTGGAGCCTGGAACAGGGGAGGCTGAATGAGGTGTCACAAAGGTTCGGGGCCATTTGGTACCCGAGCTAAACCGAAGTTCCCCCAATTTGGAAGCATTCTAACAACTGTAATGGGGAAAATCATATTGTGACGGATATATTGACATGATCATTTTCAATCATTTTCAACTTTCCGAGGTGTATCATGGTTGGTTTTGGTTTCAACGAAAGCTTCAATCACGGATGGGTCCTCGACTTCCATTATAGTGTTGTCATGCTTAATATCTGGGAAAGGAACAACATTAGTATGAACTAGCCATTGGATTCTTGTCGAGCTTGGCTCCCTAGAGGCTATATTTCCATAGTGAGGCTATCTAGCCGACCCGCTAAGGAGACTGTTTCCAGCCACGGCTTCAAACGTGAGGGCCCTTTGGCAACATACCATTTGCTATGTCTTTCTCATACGCTGATTTGCGGCAATTGTGCAAAGCTTTCGCTAGGATCAATAGCCATGACCCAACTATTCCACATAAAGGAGCCGCTGTATCTTGTGGTATATTTCTTGGCTACCATTGAAATTCAACAGCATCTCTTCACCAGACATCCTGTGGCTCAACTGCAAAACTTTCCCCATTCTCCCTAACATGCTTCCTATCCTTATCCCTCCTCAAGGGTTTGCGCATATCATACGCATCTTCGCCATCCTTCGTCTTATCCGTTGGATCATCACTATAATAATCCAGCACCCTCCTGTAAACGTTATATCCCATCCCCTGGTACAACTTCTGGGCTATCTGGTTGCTCTTTCGCACAAACAGGTCCACGAACCACGCATCGTACTCGTCACCGCTACGCTCGAGGGATTGGGAGAGTGTGCGCGCCAGACCGAGACGCCGGGCGTGAGGGGCGACGGTCAACGCCGTTATGTGGGCGTGGAATGGAAGATAGTGAGGGGAGAATTTATAGAAGGAGGGGGAGGACTCGAGCTTGCCCATTACTATTTAGTAGACAAGTTGGTTAGTAAAGATAAGGGGATATATAAGGGGAGGAAAACTGTACTGTAGGCGTCGATTGTCCCATCTTGCCCTTCGGCTACATCGAACAGATGTGGCCACCGCGCCGTATATGAAAAGTAGAAGTTGAGGTCGTAGGTCTCGGTCAGAGGATCGAGGTTGGTGGGGTTGAATTTGAAAACATCCATTGCGTGGAATGGACGTAGGGACGTCATTTTGATGGGGGAAAAGAAATTATACGCCACTTGGTGCCCTGCAGGTAGATCGTGGCGTGGAGTTCTATTTTTGTTGCTCGAATGTATAGGTGCTATGTTATGGTACGGTGGAGGTTGTTCTTCGATTTCGAGGCGTCCCTCACTGTACTTCGTGCGGAGTTGAAGAAACGCCCAATGACAATTATGCTACCAAATCCTTTCACGGCCGTATCCCAAAGCCCAAAACGCTTCAGAGACTTTCAATGGACCATTAATAAGTTCGTGTTAACGTACTGTCTTTTTCTTAGAAGGATTTCGCAAAGCGCATTGATATCTTTCTTTGAGTAGTTTGGCTTGACAGGGGTCCACCACCAATCGCGAAATCCACGACCTTGATACGCAGTACAGAGTATAGACCAGGAATTATAATATGGCATCAACCCAATAATCAATAAACCCTGTACCGTCTCCACGTCGATCCGGCAAGCTGTAAGAATAACAAATTCTCCTATCTCCGCTCTGCCAGCGCGCTTTTCGACGTGTCATCCAACTACTTGTGCCATAATTCACGAGATACCTCCATTACGAGCAGTCACTGAGGTACCCAGTACGACGGCGACGACAACGGTGAGCTGTAAACCGTCCGCGGTAACACCTGGGGGCTCATTCTGCTCGGCAGATCATCTCCAAACCGGCCGACTACCTTTCCTTCGAGCTCGATTTCAAAATGCCTTCGTCTCCGCGAACTCCGAGGCATAGTCGGCACCCCTCGAACATCGACCTCTCCTTTGCGACGCCCCTCTCTTATGATAACGACCCCAGCTCCCGAAGACACTCAAAAGCCTCCATACATAGCCCTACTACTCCAAATCACCATAGCCTCGGGCGATCAGATTCTATCGGACGAGATGTATTTAGCAGCGGAGGTCCTGCACAGGCATCAAATGGACTCGGCAACCTAGCTGACGAGTTGGCGGATGCTTGGGACGAGGATGATATAGAGGAGGACGAGGACGAGGATGAGCCTGAGATGAATTTCCAAGAAGAGAGGCAAGTGGAAGAACCAACAAGGGATAGCGGTGTAGATGTTGCGTCTTCGCCAGTTGAAGCTCCGTCAAAACCGACGCAGCTGACACCACCGATCGGCGGGAGAGGTCACCGGAAGCACATGAGCGAGTATGACGGTAGTGATTATGGAGGCGATTCGGATTTGGATTCTCCTGGGATACCACCGGGTCTGGTAGCCAGAATGGATACGGTGGAGGGTCTGGCACGAAGAGGCACGGAAAACAACGGCACTGATAGGGATGGAGTCATTACCAGGGTGGTAGAAGGACTGAAGGATCTTGGTGGACAATCTGGAGTTGAGGGCGGCGCTACAAGGTATACTCCCTGCATGATATTTGTTTGTGTTGCGTATATACTAATGGTTTCCAGACTAATCACAGCACACACCGCATTATCAAGTCACTTATTGCACCAGACTCGGCTTCTACAATCTCTCGCATACCCTTTATTCTCCCCTCTAGTCCAACCGCCAGATGAGGAATTTATCGACGATCTAATTCCCCTTCTCGTCACGCTCAACGAATCCATACCCCGCCCTACAACCGCTGCCTTCACCTCATTGACCCAACTCCACGGTTTAACAGCTGACCTAGTCCAAACTCTCAACTATCTTTCCGACACACTACACATGTCTCGCCAAACCACCACAACAGCCACGCGGCGGCTGCGAAGCGCCCGTGAGCTTGTTGCCGAGATGCGGAAGGAAGAGGAGGCCCGCGAAGAAGGCGAACTCTGGCTCAAGCGAGGGAATTGGTCAGAAAGGCTCGGGGCTAGAGAATGCGCAGGCGTTTGTGGGGATGTAGTTGGGGGATTTGAGCAAGTGTGTAATGACTGGCGGGCCAGACTCCTTGCCCAGGCAGACGGGGTGAGTGCTTGATTTCAAAGGTGTTATGATGGAGCAGGACGGCCATATGATTTATTAACGCATAAACGGAAGCGGATATGAGGCGTTGGTTTGGTCAGGTCGTTGGACTGGTGGACAGGAGGAGCTACCTTGCTTATATAGATGATAAATTATGAAAGCAATGGAAATCGAAAGCTTTGCAGTGCGATTAGCCGGTTATCTGGCAGTTTGGTCCGAATCCTCCTTAGACTACGGATCCCGAAACTGCGGCCCTACAAGTCAGTGTCGTTGCAGTATCATTATATTTGAATTTTTTACTATCGGATCCTCCGCTCTATTTGCCTTGTTTACCCGTCTCTATTCTGTAATTTCACCAGGACACATGTTGATCCCTCTAGGCATTAGAATCAAGCCAGCATCTCGGATCTTATAAGGGTGGTTTCGGAACAACGCTACTAGCCTAGATAGGTGTCTACTTCCATTGTAGGTTTTGATTAGTGAGATGTCGACGAGGAAACCTCAAAATATTGGAAAGTTGGCTTGGTATTTTAGTAATAATCATCTAAATTTCCTCTCGGAGGCTGATGATACATGAGACTAATAAAGGCTTGCAAGTTAGCTGTTTATTATGACTTTCAAAAGGCTCGCTATGAACTTAAAGTAACCAACTTAACTCATTGAAATTGACAGGCGTCCTAAATATTGACAGATATCCTGTAGTTTGCCGACCGTCTATAGGGCACTAATCTACAACTAATTATTTGGTTGTATCGTTGTTCTATTAAAGGGGCAGATGCGTCCTAGGCATGGTGCCTTGATGATTTTAAGAAGCTTTGAAGTACATAAATATTTGGGTACATAACTTGAGATCCGCTTGAATATCAGGGCCGAAACCTCTGTAGTTCAACTCACTTTAACATATTGAGAACCACGAAGCATTTTAATTAAGGAATAAACCTTCTGGCTGTGACTAAGCTTTCACTTTGGGGGTGTTTTGGGAATTTAGAGAGGCGAGTGAGCTCGGTCGGGAGCAACTAGCGATGAAATAAGGATAAGGAGTTGTCTATAACCACAACAGTTTTTAAAAGTGTACTTTTAGTATTTGAGGAAGGCAAATAGACGAAAATGGGGCAACGTTCTGTCTCTTGCTTGAATGCGGTATAGAAATATAATTTAGGGCAGGGACTGATAGAGGCGAATCATAGGTTAGACTATTCTATGCTTCAGCAGTGAGAGGGAATAAATTGAAGGGAACATACTGCTAGACTTGCTGTCATGATTCCCTTATAGGTAAATCTACATGCTATATGCTGCGATTCCGCCCCTTCACTCCCCCCTTTTCCGCCTTGCTAAGCGATATTTCTATCGTTTGCAACCGGAATGTCCTCTAATCTCACATCATCCCTCGATCTAGAAGCGAGGCGCCTTAAAGCGCGACGCATTAAACAATGATTTGCAAAGCAGTATATAAGACCCAAGAGAGCAAATACAACGATTATAATGATAGCGATGATACCGTCGCGTTGATTATAGAGTTCCCCGTCATTATCTTGCATCGTTGGGTTATTTGTATGGTTGCTAACCTGGGTGGCTGCTAATATGGCGGCCACCATGATGATGAGCGAAGTCATATTTGCCTTCTGGTTCAAGGAACCTAATATGGCGAACTAACACCTGAATGTATAACCTAGCTGCTGCCCAGAAATTCAGATAGCACTGGAAGAATGAAAGCAGGTGCGGAGGCGAGTATAATTACTAGTCATCCTAAAGATGTGGGATGGAGTTTGAACTTCCACTTATAAGTAAAAACCGACAGTCGCTGTTTAATAGCTTGTTTATATTCGACATGAGACGACACCCTTTCCCTGTAATATTCTCTAGCTCAAGGTAGAGCATTAACAATGGCATTGTTTTAGGGAGCAACAACCTGCAGGTAGCAGTTTCCTTTCATTTATTTGCTTGTGATATATGTGTAACTAATAATGCGATGTTGTCCTAGGCCCTCCATGAAATTTAAATCAACGGCAAAGAAGGGAAAAGCTATCAGAGGTGTCCTAAACTTAACATAGCAGCCAGTATAACTAGATAAATAATATCTAAAGCTCCTTTAACTACAAACAAAATTCGTCCGTATAATCCAGTAACTAAAGCGCTTTTCGCAAAGCAGAGGAGGAAGCGCTTGCTTAAGTTCAACAGTAAGCCCACCCAACCGACTCTTTGTCCTAGCGTACCTATGTAGGTGCTAATAATACAAATGTCTCTTGAACATTTGGGCTTTTTATTTTTCAGACCAGACCTCGCAATCAGGGGCCCAAATCTCGGTCGCCTTTAATGTCAAAACATACATTCCTTGCAAGTATGTATGCTAGTTCCTATTCGGGGCAAACTTGCAAACCCCGCATTACAACAACAAAGAATGCCTAGCTTATGACATTCGTTTCCTTTGATAGTATAGAGCAGTGGGATGTTTCAGAATTTGCGATGTGCAACAAAATTAATTTTGAGGATATGGGTTGACGTCTGTGGCTGGTCTTTTAGGCCGGTTCCGGCGGCCTTAGTGTGTTTCCCTTCCGGATTTCTCGGACAGACAAAGAAATAAGGGCCTTTGTCTTTCAAAGATGGGAAATGTTTCAGAAATTGCGATGTGCAACAAAAATAATGTTTGACTAGTTGTGGAACTATAGTGGAGGGCTAAATGCCTTCTTTGGACATTAGAATTGGCGGTCACGAGACCGTTAAGTCCTTGGTTATAATCCCGTCCTACGCTATATATATATAAACTTGGGCGTCATGAATTGTTTGAAGGCTCTTTGTCATGGCCATATTCAAGCTTTGGTGTCTGGCCTTTCCCAGTGCCACGAATCGACGCCCATTTATAGCCTGCCGGTAGTGAGAGCATGTGCTTCAACTTGAAGCATGCTGGCAACCTAATATGCCCCCTCGATCTTTTCACTGGACTGTGTCTTATATGCGCTTTGACTTTGCTCTTCTCACCTTATGTTTTTGATTCTACCAAAAAACAGCTACATCATGACATCCAACAAGGATAAAATCCGACCGCTCCGCATTATAATCTCAGGCTCTGTAACAATGCGGAAATTCATGCATCATGTTCAAAGCTCAATCCATAAAGAGCACTCTGGCCTTCTTCTGTGACAGTATCACAGTTATTCTATTTCAAACCCATCACTGAGAAATATTCCGAGCGCAGAATATCATCGAGGCATACGAAAGACATGTCTTCTAGACGTTCGAGATGTTCGCGAAATTTGAGAATACTGTCTCGTCCACCAGCGTACTGAATTGGATTCCAGGCAGGTACGACTGATTTTGCCACAACTTGCGCTCGGGGGTATTTTCATTCCGGGATTTATAAGTAGGAGACAGTACCTCGATCTGAAACATTGATCATGATCGCTTCATAAAGCTTCAAAAGTCCGAGCAGCTTGTCTCATCCAACAAGATAATCGCGTTGAAACCAAAGCGACTAGGAAGGGCTGATGACCTCGTTCCTGGGGGTTTGCTCTCGAAGCACTTTGTCTCCCAGTGGTTTCAAGAAGGGCAAACTTCAGTCTCTATCAGTATAATGAATGCAGCTTAGATAGTACGCGGGAAGCCTCAATTCCGGAGATCTCTAAGGAATCTACTTGGGAGCTTCGGTAAGCTGCTTGAGCACCAACTCTTTTTGGCACCCACCAAGCACCTTATCCAAGCTCCTTCGCAAGTTTCATACTCGTACGTTATGCTCCAAGTCATCCTCTGACCTTTCTGAAATTTGAAACCTCACCCACCAAGACCCTTCTCAGACTTATGCTCCCCAAAACTGTCCGAAGGGAACAGGCTATTGGACAAATTCGTGTCTCGTGGAGCCACACTTTGTAGCTCCGAGACTCCAACGATGCTCAAGTTCCATAATTTGGCCAAGCGAAACAGCACTTGTAACCTTCTGGACTTGCCAGGTAATTTCTCACTGGACTTTCAAAATTCCAACACATATTATTAGAACGTGCGCATACAACATCATATTTAGCTTCTTCAAGTTCTAAATATATCTTTGTTTATCTTGTGGGGGTCGGCACCCATTGTAATAGGAGTCTGTGGGTATCCGCACCTTGAACGGAGTCTCCAATGGGCCTATAGCATTCTTGAAAATATTCGCTATAGGTTGTTACTTGTTACACCAACGTGTGCGATGCTGAAGAGAAACATGACCCCATGCAACGAGAACACTAATCCATGCGCGTAAAAAGGGATCCTAGCCCTACATAATCTTTAAACACAGAAAGGGAGGCTTGCGAGGCAACAGAGCAGTTTTCCGAGCGGCTAGAGGAGAACTACTCCTTCGGATTTCAACCGTTGATATATATAGCACCGCACATAGGCACAGACAATGATCGACAGCACATAGCCCTGAAAAACAATAAACTGCATTCGTTTCTGCAGCATGCCGGATGCAGAGTGCAATATGCAGTAGGTATGTGGGTGCAGCAACTTAAACCCAGTGATTCAAAACAGCGCACAGCAAGACTGCGGCGGATGTTGATACAAAACAATATCGCGATATATGTACGTCCCACTCTATAAATATTACCATCAAACCCGTTCTCCGGAATAGGGAATAACCCGAAAGCTTGGAAACGCAATCGGATCCCAACGATTCCGGCCTCCGCACGGGATGTTCAAACATGTTTGAAGTTTGTATCTGCAACCTCCAGCACTGACCGCTGTGACGGGCTGCTGCAGTACGCACCGACAACAAAACAAAACATGTCAGACGGCTTACCGCTGTGTCCCGACCATCTCAATTTCCACAATAAGTGTTTTGAGTTTCGAGTAAATAGTCATACGAGAGAGAAGCTTCGCAAGTGCGAGCTCGGTAAAGCATGAGCAATCCTTCAGTAGCTATACGGTAGGCCGCCGTCTCTCGGAACTCGGATGCAATTCAATCAGAAAATCTTGACCAAGACGATGGAAACCCTAAGTATTTTGCCCAGGAAAGGGAAAGTGGCGGCATGTCGTAAGGAAGACAATCTAATATCATCAGGATCGAGCTCTCTGCATACCTATATATCACTTTCAAGGGGAGAAACCCCAACACTTTGACTCGGGAAACTCACTCGCCTTTCTGCCTCGCTCGGCTCTCGGTAGGGTAGATAGTGCGGGTAAATCAATATATTGAGGCTTTTGTCTAAGAGCCACCATACGGAGTATGTATGTACAATTTCAATATACAATCTATCATCATACGAAGTGCTTCGGACATATTGTAACTGCTGTGGGGATTTTCTCTTGAAGAAAGAGGGCGGCTGCGTGCTGTGTGGGCGGCGCGAGCGCTCCCCCTGAACTACCCCTAGAAACACCACATGTTGCTAGGCTCCTCGTAGTGCTATTGCTATGAAGTGTTGTTGCCAACTAGTACTTCGTACAACGGCTAATTAACGGTACGACTGGTACTCGTACCGTGGTACTTCCAAAAGCCAGCAATCCGTGGTAGAAGTTAAGTACACTGCTACAAGTATGGTACATCTATTGTAGCACCATGCTGGCTGCAGCGAAATTTGCCCCGACGGGCCAAAACCAAACACCGGGACGTGCCCTGAGCCCAGCCGCGCCCCCACTACTATCTAACCGCCTCAGTAAGTACCTTACCTAGCTACCGCAGTGAGTACTGCCCCGTTCGGCTCTTTGCGAGCAGACGGTCCCAGAGTTTGGGAACTCAATTTCTCGGTTCCAAAGTTGAAGAGTGCGACGAGCAACAAAAGAACTTTATGGACCGGGGAGTGGCGTGGATAGTGGAGACAACTCATAGGAACAGCCCGGTGATCAGAGGAGGCACAGGGAGTGCTACGTGCTTGGGCAGCTCCGTGGGTGCATAGGGTGTGGAGGGGATAGAGAGTGCAGGTTGGAGGGGAGTTAGCCAGGCGTCTGAGTTTGGCCCGGACACATCGCCTGCTCGTTGCCAAATTGGAACAGACATGAGGTCAATGTGGATGGGAGGCGTTTCTCCTGTGTACAAGACGAGAGCGGGCGGACTGTTTTCTCTCTATCAGGACATAGAATGCTTCATGTTATATGTGCCTTATACTTAAAATCTCATCTTTCGTTGTCAGTGCTTGAAAAGAAAGTCGGTCTGTTGAACTGCTGAGAGCGAGTGCGGGAGCAGGTTAAGAAGACATAGCCGGGCATGGGGCCATCCACGGACATCGAGTAATTGGACTGCAGGCTATGTTGTTTCTGCATATTGCTATTGATTCCGTAAATCGTCACCCATTCGCTTCCGGCTTCGCTCTCGCCCTCGACTCTGGCTTCTTCGGCCTCCCCCTCGGCCAAAGTGGGCTTGTCACAACCGCTGGATCTGGTGGCTCTCGAAAATCCCACCCGCAGCCTTTCGATGCTGATTGGACTTCGACACGACTTGATCCCCTCCAGAAGCCCTTACTGAAAGCCGTCTATATCGACTTGTGGGCGAACAAACTTGGAATATTCCCTTTGCATACTCTTTAGCGACATATTTCCCACCCCGTTGCTATTCGTATGTCTCAAAGCAAATAAATCACCATGTTCTTGCTGGGGTTTTCCTCCTCATCATTATGGTCAAGTCTCAACCCCAGCATAAAATGTCGTACTAATTCAGGCTGGCTGTTGCCAATCCAGATTCCACCTTCTTCCTCCCTTCTCCAAAGAGCGGTCAACGCTGCGATCGCATCCATACATCCAGAAATATAGTCCGAAGTAGGGGATGGAGGCATAGCAGGCTCATCTAGCCCACGAATTCTCTATGTTCCCAAGTTGTTCTAGGGATGCGATCCGGCATCTGTTGCCAGGTTGGTTAGCCAGTGCACAGGCTTCGAAAACCAAAGCAACTCGAGAACATAGACGATGTGCTGGCCCTTCACGGTCTGAGCAGGGCCATACACAAGACTCCCAATACTACCGGGACGAGGGCCATCAAGAATCACATGAGGGGATTCGAAGAGCATCTTGAAACCCAGTCGGCCGGGTAGGGACTTAAGACCAAGATCGCAGGCGTGCTTGCTTGCGTTGCTATCGACTTGTAAAAGAGGGACATCCGATATGTTAGGAAAAGCTACTTCGATGACTTGGGCATCATATGCTGTTAAGGTGGATCCGGCGCTAGGCGTGCGATGACAGGACACAGCTCAAGAACATCAGTTGTTGGTAGCACGGCGGGGTTCGATCCGTATTGCGCCCAAGAGGAGGAATTTGTAGGAGGATATTCATCTTCGAGCCTGTGAGTTGCGAGGAAGTAAGGGAAAGGAGAGTTGGTCTCTGAAATATCAGACCGGTATCCTAAGATAGCCTCTGCTAACAGGCTTGGTATGTTTGACATCGTCTTAGTTCAATGCTGTCACACTCACACGCCCTTCCCTTTCACCCACCTCCTCTAATCCCGCCACGTAAATTCCTTAACATGGTGCTCGATAGTATCGATGGATGTTCGATATCCTATTGGGTCTAGGCGATGTGCTTCCAAGCCAGCGAAATTTTGACTCGTTTCTAGCTTCGAGAGAGCTATGAATATGAAGATACTCCTTTAGATCCTTAGTCGCATAACGATTGGCGGCTACTCGAGTAGTTGTCGATAAAAGATACCGTGTGCATGGAGAAAGGCGATGCCTACAGAGCCATTAGTCGGCAGCTCCACAATATCAATTGGACTATTACTTGCCCTTTAAATTGGTAACAATTAGGATACTGCCTCCACAAGCGACCCCCGGCAGCTATGTGGGTCGAGAGCAAAAATGTCGCAATCAACTCGAGTTGATCCTACGCGGTTGGGCGCCTTGCCCAACATCTGCAATTGCAGCGGTTACACTGGTCTTGGTTGACATCGGCGCTACTATGGCCCTCGGTCTCCTGTAAGGAACATGGCGAAGATATTTCGGAACCGTAGGTGAGCGTGGTCAAATGGACAACTCTGAGATGGCTGACGATCTCTGGGGGATCTGATTTCCGACGATGTTATGGAGGATGGTGGTGGCCCTCCGCGCGGGCCCGCAAGGACCAAGTATGTACATGTACGCGTTCCCGGGTTTCGCGCACTTCGGTACCAGTTTTCGTAGCAACCATTGTTTGTACTGCTCGGACCGGCGCTCCTCTTTCTCGAGATGAACGGGTAAAACCATGCTGATGGGCTGTATCTGATTTTATACCATGCTAGACGCGTTGCTCGGAAGGCTTCCTGCGAGCTCATCATGTTGAACGAACGACATTATATTAATGTCTTCATACAAACATCCCAACGTCAATATCGACCCTTGAAACAATCCTAAAGGCGATCAAGAATGCTGACCATCAATCCGGGACGCTCAATGGAACTCTACGCTCTGCAAGGGCGCATTAGCCATGCGGAGCAACGGGTCTTTGCAGCCACATTATCCAGCAGTAATATATTCGCCCTCCATACACGATGTCGTAGTCTTCCGACTCCCGCGTTCTGGTCCTGAATACTACCTCCAGAAGATAACTGCATGGACAAGGACAAGGTAGCCCAATCTATCGGCCGTTCTGGGTGCTTGTATTGGAGCAGCATAGCTGGTAGAGCTACGAGTTCGCCTTGGGCAAATTCTCTAGGTATTTCTAGCTAATAGTTGTGACTGTCTGTTATAAGACGATTGACGCGCCACCTACCAAAACCTATGCCTAGAGCAGCTTTTGTCTACCACCTCCAGTCCGGTACCTCTGTATATCATCAATTGGTACTTTCTGTACCTGGATGCTGGAAGTGTGGTATGCATCAGGATGCCAGACCAGGGTTGTGGTCTGATCCATACCCTGTAGTTATAAGATCTCCTGTTATTACAGATAGCGAATAATATATTCATCTTTCAGCCTCAATAGTGACGACCTACGCAATCCTGGGCTGGCCCGGGACCGACGGGACGACGCTTCAGTGTTTTCTGCTTGCAGCACTGGGCCTTTTTGGATTTAGTCTGCTTCTAAGTAGATATCCCGATTCTTTTTTTCAGTTGGTGATTTATATCAAGACATCTTTGCGTCATTTTGCGAATGTGCTCCTGCGCTACTTCTAGTCTTAGAATAGTCTGCTGTAATAATGGATAAGTAGTTGGCGGCCGATTTTCTTATGCTTCACGCTGGACTAGGAATGAGTCTTACGGCGGCAAAGAATATCTATCGAGTACGGCTTCACTTGAAATGAAGAATAGGCCCGGGTTATGAGAACGCCGTTGTTGCGAAGCAAAGGAAGCTTCAAATGGAAAGCAGCGAAAAGAGAGCAATTTAAAGAAGATGGCGATGGTGAAAAGGATGACGAAGAAGGAAGAAGCTGGAAATGAGGAAAATTAAGGAGTTAACGAAGATGCCAAGGGAGGGAAATTAAGGTGGCGAACTATATGGCGAAGAAGTTGGCCTACAAGATGATGAAGATGGGGATGTGGTGGCAGCGATAACCGCAACGCTAAACATATCATATATGCTTTATTGCTTTCAAATTTGATCCAATAGTTTACAAACATTACAGCTATTAACGAGGCTTAAACCAATTCACAACGAAATCCATATTGAGCGCAAATTCTATAGCAATAGTAGCGAGGTGGTCTAATTTGAATACCAACTCTACGCTGCGTATAGACCCTCCACCACCGGTAATCAACCCGGATATCATCCGGTCTATCGATGTTTTAGGGGAGTTCCCGCACTCCTAAAAGGTATATCCTTCGCCCTTTTGCTAACTTAGCAATTGCACATTAAACGTTAGTGCTGATTTTACTTAGTTCTTTAAGTATCAATTAAAACCTAAGATGCTCCAATATTTTACCTTCAATAGACCCTCTAGAATACGGTGACGATGGCAACTTATGTCTATCTTAATTACTTTAGGACGTCGAAATTTCGAAAGCTACTAATCTAGCAGTAACCCACTCAAACAGTACAGAATAAAGGTTTTGAACGGTCAGCAAGTAGCACTAATTACCAGTGTAATTTTATTTCATTCTGCTGTTGTAACTCAACAAATTTAGTTCCCTCGCTCAATAAGTTCATAATTTAACACTTTCCCACACCATATTCGTCTTTTCCCCTATTCACTGTCTCCTCATGCGTTTATAACCTTCCGTTGGAACCTTTGTATGCTTATACCAGACCTCGTTATTCAGCTGCAAGCGTTCGGCAGAGCCATATTCACCTTTTCCTGTTCCTTTTGGGCTCTGGTGGTGCCCATACTGTGCAGGGCCGGAATCGTAGTGGGTACGATTATTGCAGGCTAAACGAGGGCCATGATGTGGTGCCTGCGGTGTAAATATTGTTGTCGCCGTAGGCTGAATGGTGCGTCTCATCCACTGAGCTTCCTGGATAAATCCAAAGCGGCTGAACACTGATAGCTGGTGGTCGTTTTCTTTCCGTTCACCATCCAGCAATGAATTGCTTTGCACTCCTTGGGTTTTCGGGGATGATTTTCCGTCTAGCCCCATTACTCCTGGAGAGGCAATGCTTTCCTGAGGGCAAGCGCAATCCTTCGTGGCATTAGATAGGGGCGCTGTGTAACTTTCTTGCTTACTCTCGGGAAGATTGAACTTCGAGACCAACGAGGGGCGGCTAGCTGGCCTATATGTAAAATCATCCTTAGCACCTCGGGTGGGGGGTCTGGCATGCTGTGCAACAGTCTTTTGTTCAAGGTGGAACTTAGACATTGGCGGGGATGTTGAATCATCGGAGCCAGCATTGTCGGCTATAGAGTCTTCTAGTTGATTCTCCTGTTGAAGGCTGGCCTTTGAAATCAGGGTAGGTGCAGAATCCTCCTCGGAGTCGGAGTCCTGGCTGCGTATGGTGGGAAGACGTGTTTGTATTTGAGAGGCAGCAAACCCAAGCTTCCCCTTTCCATAACCTGATCGAAACGGACCAGGCAAGGGTCGCGGGCTGCTCAACGACGACTTTCGGGTCGGGATCTGTGGCAGCGGCCTAATATTCTCTAATGCAGGCCCAGAAGTGACCTGTGTCATGGGGTCCTCAGAACCGGTATCGAGTAGTTCTTCAGTCATGGATTTTAGGAGTGCTCGTCGCGAAAATCTCAAATAAGTTGAACTTTCCATAGGACCATAAACAACCAATGGCTTGGATGATTCCTTTGGAGATTTCATGGGACCAGTCTCTGCAATATCGGCGACATGGTTGACAAGCGTTGACTTACCTCTATCCTTCAAAAAATGTCGTTTAAAAAACTTGCGCGCACTCCCTACGGGTGTTGGTTTATTACTGTCTTCCTTATTATCGTTAGCCGGTGTTTGTGTTTGTGGTCTATCTGAAAGTATTGGCAATAGATGCCTAGAACTGTTGATCGGCCAGTTCATCCCACGCTCAAATTCATCGTCATCGGAGTCATCAGAATCATCAGACGAAGAATACTCAGAAGAGCCTGTGCTAAGAGAAGAATCCGAGTGGTATTCCACGATTTTATCACGATGAAACGATAGTCTCTGACGATCAAGCGATAATGAATCACGTAGGTGATAGGCAATATGGTCATGCTGATGTGCATATGGTGCGAAGTTTCGCTCATGCAGTGCCTTCTGCATTTCTTGAGAGAGTCCATAAAGATCCTGCAAGCTAGGTGTCATTGGCAAGAGCCTGCGAGAATGGTTCTCTGGCATGAGGCTCAGACTAGCGAGGCTGTCCCATGTGCGGTAATGGAATTTGAAAGTAATGTACGGCTTGTCTTTTGGGTCGTCAAGATGATAGTCATAAAACTTGGCATCTTGTGGTTCGTCAAGTAGGCCATCACTGTTGAGGCTAAAAAGGCGATCAGCGTTAGTAGGGTACATCGTGTTCAGCACATTCTCTTTTTGAACACGCATATAAGGAGTAGAGGAACAGGGAATATTTGACGTACGCAATTCCATATATCTCTTGGTTCTTGTAAGTCCCTGGTTCCTGGATTCTGCGCTGTCTCCCCTTTGACCGGAAAATACGAATTTGAATCAGACCCCCGTCAGTAGCAGGGGATGCATTCGGGTTGTGCTTCGTGAAGTAGAATGCGCGTGGCTCCAGCCCACATCGTTTATAAACCTGACCATTCTTATCCTCATATGTCCAGTCATCACTTGGATCAAAGAGGGCTCGAGTGATCCGTCCAGTGGTCGCCGTGCGAGCACTACAACCCCAACAAGTGATCTCCCAGCCATTCATGAACAGCTTGAAGTAGTAGAATGGCACATCGTCTGGAGCACCTTCAAGTACGTGATAGCGAATTAGGAAGCGCGTGTCTGCATACAGTCAGCAACTGTTTCTCGGCTGGACAAATCAAGACGCATACCTGGTAGAGAAGGAATATAGACGGAGGTGTTCGTTTCATTGTCAGGCAAACAATCCTCTCGACCGCCAGTTGAAAATAATGCCGCCGGGAATTCTGATTCAGAGCCAAGCGTCCCCTGCGCTGTACCGGTACTGGCCAATCGTGAACTGTCAGTGTGCGTGAACTCTGGGAAAATCTCAAGCGTCACTCTGGAGATTATCTCTAGTTTGATTCCTTGGAGTATGGGCATCTTGCTAGATGGACGGTCTACAGTTTACACTGTAGCCGGGAGAGTTTGTTGTGGAGGTTGGATCAGAAGCAAAGGAAGAAGGTATGGTGTTGATATCTTGTCACCAACCGCGATTTAACTTCACTTTCGAATCTGCTAAGTTTCGCCGCCTTTACCACGCGACACAAAATCATCTGAGCAAATCACAAGGCTGCCCTAAACGGCACCGCGATACAGTACTTGAGAATGACCCAGGCACGGTCTCCAGAAACTTGAGAATTCCTCTTTGCAAGGCTCCAAAGGGTTTCAATAATCAACGTGATCAAAGATATAGACAATTGTTTTTGATGATTCAACTTTGGCAGAAACTGCACGTCGTCTTATGTGGTATTGAGTGATGATTATTCCAATAAATGGAAAGCACTGAATATTTGTTGAAGAACTTACTGTATACTTTCATCTCCAATTACTTGTTTGGATATAAGGAACAGTAACTCTAACAAGCATGGTGGACGCCCTCTACTTAGATGGTGATTTCATGCTCATTAGATCGAGAAGAGACAATCTTCCTTCATAGCATTGACATGTCTGATGTCCCCATGCAGTGCAAACAAGTGTCATTCTTTATGTACAGATCTCCCATCTACCCTCAGCACTTGCTTATTTGCGCAGCACAGCCTTGGTATCTTCTTCCTTATCCAGCAGCCCTAGGTTTCGTATCGCTCCTGCCGGTGGTGCATCATCACGTGGTGATGCTGTTACTGCCTTTCGGTATGCTGCTTGTAATGTTCGTACTCTTGCTGCCTGTGTAAAAGTATGGTCAGCTCGGGTCCCACGGCGAGGTAGATGGAAGCATGCTGCTAGCTCGCATAGCTCTTCCCAGTACCGACCTCCTTCTTGTGATGCAAGCACTCATAGTAATCCTCCAACACTGGTGCGCATTTTTTCTTGCCTGAGTCGTCATCGGTGTTGGTATTCACGACGTAGCAACCTAGGACCTCTTGCCAGAAGGGAAAGCATCGCGATTGGCCTTTGAACAGGAAAGGTTAGCCATTGAGCCACAGATTTTGACAGTAAGTTCCGTTGGAAGGCAGCAGAGTAAGAGATGCGTTACCTCCATTGAGTCCGTAGCCAGAAGACATTTTGCCTGCTCGATTCGATGTATTCACAGACGGGTTTGGATGAGTTGAGGTTGGACGTCGACATTGACGGAGTCGTGCTAGTCATGCATTGGTGCCTTATTGATCGCTGAGTTTAAATTAGGCACACACAAGAGCTCCAAACTGGCGAGCCAGCTATAGGTCTTGGCACGAACACGTCTCATGCGACTCTATCAATAAATGTCCATGTCTACAGGACATCGGAGATGTCGATATCCCAAAGCATGGCAGGATCAGAAGTATCCCCAGCTCAAGTCATACTTTTGGCAGTCCAACTAGCCAGCAAGGCGGATATATCTGCTCTCGAAACCCTCATCTCTCACAATCGGAAGACGCTCCCCTTGGAGCTTACCTTGCGGATTCTTCTAACTCACTTGCCAGAGAGTCTCGAGTCCGTGACCTATGTCCCATTCCTGGAGAGGCTGTACTCTGGGGTCCTTACCTCAGTTCCGGAGTTCCAAATTGATAAATATGTGCTCGATGACCTCACCGACGCAGAGGCAAAGAAGAAAGTTCGAAAGTTACATTTACTTCCCTTGACCTGGCCGTATGATCCGGCCGACGAGCCTCTAGGCCCTCTTGTTCGATTTCTTGTTCTTCGATCGTTAAGGGTTGACGAAAATACTGGTTTGATCACTCAATTGCCTGCGCTGCTTGGTCCCTTTCTTCACCACTCGACGTTCCTTCGTACCTGGCTGATTTCGTCGATCCTCCCGCTCCTCCGATTCAACTATGAATACCATCCCGAAGATACCTTATTTCTCACGATTCCTGCGTTCGAGCAATTAGACGTTGAAAGTGGAGTTAACCTGTTACTCTCGCGGACTGGCATAAATGGAAATGGCAACGGAACAACAGTTGGGCGAGATCTTCGGGGCTTGGTTGGGCCATGGATGTATGGTGGTAATAAACGAAAACGGAAAAACTCCCGAACGAGCTCTCAAGTCGGATTACAACCCATTGCCGCTTTAGACGAGGGCCAACACGCAAACGAGAAGTGCGCGGGATGGGAGGAGGTATTCAAATGGATCATACAGCAGGCAGGTACAGCATGGGAAACAGTCGTGGAGGTCGTTGAACAGTGGGATGGCCCAGGAGATGTAGACCTTGGAGTATATGGAGATGGGACTGTCGGGTTCGAGGAGAGCGAACAGCAACATCTTGAGAGACGATATGGCCGATCAGCAATTGCTGCAGCATACCTCATCTCTGACGAATCCGTGGAAGCGTTGGCAGGTGTTCATCGCATTTTGACCAGAATTACCACCCTCTTGGATCAAGATAGGATCCCGACATTACAGACTGCTATCTCCCTGCTCTCTCCTGTATCGGGTTTAGACGAGAAAATCCTATCTAAAGATAACGTGGTATATCTTCGAAATGGTCTCCTTGATGAACACAACTGCCTGACCCGCCCAGGTGAAACATCCGCCCGGTTACTACACGCATTAATAATATCTGCTTATCTATGTATGAGGGTTGGGTACAACTTCACGGTCAGGAGAGCCGGCGAACTTGTACTCCTCCAAGAGCAGCGCGAACAGAAAGTTGAGTTTAATAAACTAATGCGGCAAGTTTCCAATGGGCCAAAAGGGGATGACAGGTATTGGATAAAGCTGAGGAGCGAGATATTATGGCTGCGCAGCTGGGGTGCCGAGGAACTTCCGGAGGGTGCAGGTGATACTGTGGGAAGGGGCGTTTTTGGGCAACTTTCGAAGGCTTATGTCGAGGCCGAGATTCTTAAACTCTTCCTCTCCAACAACCGTGAGTGTTCTTCCATTGTTTTGAATCACACCATTGACAGGGTTAGGATATACCCTCGCTCGGTCAATTTACGAGACATCCCCAGATCGGCCACTGTCAAACGAGCTCTTAGTGGATACTACTATCGCTGCAGCTATGAATGCCTATGATAATGCAACGAATGCCAACAAAACCCGTGGCGGCGTCAAGAAGTGTAATGATATGTATGTTGCCATCCCTTGGGTTAGACTATAGCTGCTAACCTATTCGCTAGATTAGAAGCATTTCCTGATACGCTTGAGGACTCTCTTGATAAAGATCAAGTTATGAGTCTTATCAACGTTACACATTGGATTGGTGAATATCGACTGGTCTTCAAACAAGGCGAGCCATTCAAGCCTGTTACCCTTCGTGTATATGGTGATCCTATATCGATAATCGGTAAAATCCTCGACCAAAACCCCAAAAGCTACGCGAAAATAAACAATCTGGTTAATATCGGCAAGGAGATGGTCAAGGCAGGCCTGATTCTTAGAGAATCCAATGGCCGTGCTAGAAAGCCTTTTGACTACGAGCGCAAGGAGCAATTGCTAATCGCCGAGAAACGGGTCGTCAGCATGTGTATTGATGCGGCTCTGGCTGATGACGATTTTGAGACGGCTTATTCTTATGTGGTGACTCGTCTGAAAGATATTGCTGGCCCATCACATTCCCGCTCTCCTGCCCTTGAGAAGACACAATCTGGGCTTATGGCGGAAGTGCCACCGAAGGTGGTAGACGACTGGTCCTGGCGTGCAGCTTTGCAAGCTGGTAAGTATCGACGAAATGCAGCCACCACCAAGCCCACCCATTTCGGCAACTCAAGTGGAAATCTCGAAATCCGTCACCTAGAGCAACGGATGGAATGTCTTTCCCAGGCCCTTCGAATTGCTCCGAAGGCCACTCTTCAGGAGATTTTGAATGCATATCGGCGCTGTGAAGAAGAACTAGAGTCACTCGTGCAGCAGGAAGTGGAGCAAGAAGCTGCGTGGGACGCTCAGGGTGACGATCAACAGGTTCCGGGGGGCTTTAAATCTACCCCCATGAAGCAGAACAATACCGTGAGCAGTACTTCTCGGGCTACGGGCGCTGCGGAAGAAGCTCCAATGTCTCTGTTTGATCTTTCGCGAGCAAGCATGGCTCGAGCGCAGAGTGGCTTTTCAGCCTTATCAATGCTGAAGGGAAATGCTACTTTAGATATGAACGAAACGGGGCACACCAACTCTGAGGATGCTGGTGGGCCGACGACACCGAAGCACGCTGTGCGGAAGAGAGATCAACTGAAGAATGTTGCGGTTGGGAGCCTGGCGTCGGGCATTGGTTGGCTCATAAATGCACCACCTGTTAATACAAATAGCGACGAAAGCGAGGGTCATTGACGGAGAAAGGGAATTGCATGCAAGGATTTTACGCATTCAAGCCGGAGTTTTGGACGATCATGAGGATATATTAGACAGGCGTTACGGGCATGTACGAGTACAATACCCCTTATGGAGTGTAGTCTATGATACCGGATAAATCAGTCATAACCTGCAGGAGACTATGTGATCGCAGTTTGGTTCGCTTTTTAAGTATCATCTGGAGCTGAAAATGGGATATTCATCCTATGTACTAATAGTAATCATATTTTCCTTCCCTATTTCAATAACATCTTCTCATTTCTGAGCATCCTCGACCATCCCCTTCTGCACCCAGTTGCGAGTGCTCTCAGCAGCCTTGTTCGCGGCCTGCGGATCCTTCATTAACTCCTTAACCGTATGTGGATCCGGCACATGTCTGCCTTTCTCCACGGCTGGTCGGGCAAGCATTCGCTCTTCCCAGGCCTTCAGCGCTGGGAAATCGTCAATGTTGACGCCGGCCCAGCCAGCACTCGCTATCCAACCCCACTAGGACGATTGTGAGTAAGATTTGGGACAAAAGTGAAGGGAACTTACGTGAGCAAGGTCTGCGATGGTGCATCGGTCGCCGACGAGATAACCTGAAGTGCTTTTCTCAAGATGCGTGTTTAAAACGCCGTAGAGGCGGCGGGTTTCGTTTGTGTAGCGGGTTACCCCGTATTCGACTGTGGCCTGTTAGTGTTTTACCTGACAAAACGAGGAAGCATGTATTTCTCTCTAGACACGAGATTGTAAAGTGGGCTCAGATTGATGACGGCGAAACTTTAGGCTTATAGAAGAAACTTACTATGCACTGGAGCATATCTTGAGAAGTGATTTGCCTGTCCTTGCATAGGGCCAACACCAGCATTAAGGAAGAAGAGCTATAAATATTCATCAGCATCACACCTCGAAGGTTCTTATCTATAAAACTCTATCCACCCACCCAGTTGTTCACTTCATAATATTCTCTCGTTCCTCTCGGATAGGAAATCTTATGGTCCTTGTCATACTGATCGACAAGATATTGCTGAATACTTCCAGACTCAAACAGTCTGATAGTCTTCCCATCAGTAAAAGTATCGGTCAGCGCCGGAATCCTTCCATTAGGATTGATCTCCAAGAACCATGGCTCCTTCTGAGTGCCCTTTGAAATATCAATCTTTGTGACCTTGTAGGGCAACCCCAGTTCCTCGAGGGTTGTTGAGATCTTGATCCCATTGGGAGTCTGGGTTGTGTACAGATGGATGTCTGGACGAGTAGCCATTTTTAGTTGTGTTGATAGTTGTGCAAGGCGGGTGCTCATGAGGATCACGAAAGTGTTATTGACGGACTTTGAGGCGCTTGAGTGCAGATAAGAATGACTTCATACAGTTGTGCGCTGGGAATGATGTGCTTGAACGTCACTGAAGCGTGCTACCCCACTGGTCCTTGAACAACACTACTGCACCGTACTTACTGTACTATGTACTTGTGCATTAACTCCGAGAACCGAGGCAACTTGAGGGGATTGGTTTTCCGGAATAGTAAATATGCAACTGGTATAGATCGCAGTTTCCCGTACTGGACTAGTAACAAATAAGCCTTCTGATTCATCGTATTCTTCTTCGCTTTCCCATCCTTTCTCGCTTTTACATAGCGGGTGCTGCCGGGAGAGCGGGGTTCGGGAGGCAAAGCACTGGGGTAGCGCCGCTACCAACGGTCTCCAAAACGCCCGCGTCAAAGGCTGTTAGTATATTGAACAGCATTAAACGCATGTAACGCCCGTCCCTGGGTGTCGAAAACCCCTCCGTGCCGAAACGACTTCATGGCTTGGGGGTCTCAAATCTCTACCTCGCAAATACATAAAGTTATATTTGAAGGTGTTTTACGATATATAATAATAATATATTTCAAGTGAAAACATTGTACTGTAAATATCGAAGATAACAACCTAACCCTGCCTGCGATAACTTGATTCCGCTGTCACCAAACGTAACAATCTTGCGAACAAGGTGTTATCATATCTCGTCTGAAAACTCTAAACCTACAGCGTACATGCCTATTACAAGAGGCAGTACCATTCTGTCCCGCAGCAGGCTTGGGCTGCTTCGGTTCTTTGTCTCCCGGTCCGTCTCAACCCTCCACTCCCTCGCCAGATCGCGACGTTCCCTCCGTGTATATGTCCGCACATCAGCGCGGTGTAGAGCTGTTTCGTATAGATACAGCCAAGTTGGACTTGCAAGACCAGACGCTCCAGTACTCGGGACCCGTGAGGTCCTTACAGTGCCATACCCATCGACGGTCGCTGCAAAGGTCAGCATTTTCTGTGTCGGTGTCGCTGTTCGTGAGGTAGTCGAAAGAAATAGATAAGACGGGGTCCGTTGACGATATTAGCAGCGTTAAGTGGCTCCGTCGTCAGCATTGCTTGGTAGTTTGGGTCAGATGTGCTAAGTACGGTGCTGAATAGAGTCCCCATTGTAGATTCTAGACTTCTGCAAACTGCTATAAATAAGTACAGCACAGTGGCGTTCGAGATCGGCTTCAGGTTCCACACTCATTGATTTTGCGCCACATTCTAGAGTATCAGTATTGCTAGCTATTTCCCCAGTCAAGCCTTTTTCTTGAGCACGCCCCAAATTCTAGGCAAGCAACTATACGGATCGTCGGCCACCTCAATATCACCGGGGTTCTCCCACTCCCCAGCCGCAAGGATACCCGCCTTGATATCCCGATTCATACAACACCCGACGAATGCGCTCCAAGCAGGATTCAAACAAGCTATGCTCATATTAGCCTCTCCACACGGCTTCCAAAGCACACCTTTAATGTGAGAACCAATACGTACCTTGCGCCATAGCCGTAACAGTATCCTTATTCTTCTCATGCTCCCAAAATACAAAGCTACCCCCAGGCTTTAACAACTTCCACACCTCCCTCATCACACTCTTCACATCCCCCACCGCGCACAACACCTGAATACTCAGCACAGTATCCATACTCCCCTCTGTAATCCCCTCCCTTCTCAAAATCTCGCTTTCTTCAACACCACATGCTAGAAACTTGTACTTATCCTGGAGATCAAGTTTCTTAACCTTTGCGGCAATGGCGTCTCCATAGTGGGGGTTGGGGTCAATGGCGTATATGAACTTTACGAGGGATGGATCGTAGCGCTGGATTTGGTTGCCTGGTCCGGGGCCGAGTTCGAGGATTTTGCCCTGAGCGGAGCGGACAAGGGAGGGGACACAGGTGGTGTCCTCGTAGGCGATAAAGCCGTTGGCTGTGCACGAGATTTAGTATGTTGGGGGTTGGGTTGACGACAGGGAAGTTACAAGTTATGATGAGGAGTTTTGCTATGGCGGCGTCTCGAATTCTTTGGGGATGTGTAAGTGAGGCGAGGCCGTCTTTGCGCAGGGCCTCTTTGAAAGCGTCGTAGTGCACTATTTTAGGGAATTAGTATGTTGGTATAAGTGAGGATGGGGAGGGAGAAAATACATTTGACGGATAACCAGATGAGCTGGAATGGTCTAAAGATGCTACTGAGGCGGCCGTTACCGGCCATGGTGCTTTATTTAATATAGCTTATGTCACGTAGAGATCTGAGCGAGCATTGATTGTGTGTGTGGTGGGAAAGGAGACGAGCTCTTGTTGAATTGTGTGTATGGTCAAAATAAGAAAGGAAGATAAAATAAGCTTGGTGCTCGATGTTCTAATATAGAACGAGCTCTGCTGCAGTGCGCTAAGTGCTCGGAGAACTATTCTACCGATCATCCTACTTCCGAGTGACAACTTGTAAGCATAAAGATGAATAAATATAGTAAGGCACTGGTATATATCCTCACGTAATGTAACCGCGGATCGAGCAAAACAAACAGAAGTAAGTTCTTCCGATATGTAGGTATTTTTCAGTATCATATTAGATGGGTTGAGTTGATGGGAGGTTCCCAAGGCTTACAAACCCTAGGAAGGGCGTGACTGTTGGGTGCTTGTTGACAGGACCACCGCAGTGCTCCAGAGGCGAGAGATGTTTCCTGCTGAGGAGGCCAGGAAAAGTTCGCTGCCACCAGTACGGGTGAGGCTCCCAATTCTGCGGCAAGGCATTGTGATATTCGAGAGTAAAAATCGGTTGATTTTGAGAGGTTGGCAGTGAGCTCCTTCCAAGGAACTGAACTAACTCACGCTCTAAAATCAAGCCCCCCAAATAACAGAAGTTAATATATTCACGTGACACAACAGCACATGCTCCACAATCAGGCTACAGGGTTACCCTAAGGGCTAAGACAAACGGGTACACGCTAAAACGCGGCTAACGAACCGAGAAGGTCTTAACCGTCTACCTTGAAGCTCATCTTTTCGCCATCCCCCGTCCATCATCATCTCCTTCTTTATCCCATATCTCCATCCACAAACCGCAATAATCAATATGGCGTGGCGACAGCAAGGAAGCACGGGTTCGAACAATATCCCTCTGGGGAACCGACGCAGATTTGGCGCAGACGGCTCGGCATCTCACGATGACGGTGGCTATAATCCAGCACAGTCTGCCTCTGCCAGTGGCAACTCTGAGAACGGATTCAAGCGTGGTCGCAGTCCAACAAGAGGTGGGTTCCTCCTTGTAAGCCCTACTATTATGCCTGCTGACTATCTTCTAGCTGATGAGCATCCGTCTGCTGATGGATCAAGACGTCGCAAGAAGAGAAATCGCTGGGGTGATGCTACTGAGAACAAAGCTGCAGGACTCATGGGCCTTCCAACGGCCATCATGGCGAATATGACCAGCGAACAGCTCGAGGCTTACACCCTCCATCTGCGCATTGAAGAGATCAGCCAGAAGCTTAGGATCGACGATGTTGTCCCTGCAGATGGCGACAGGTATGTTGTTCCTTTACCTGTTTCTCGGACTCCAAGCTAACCGCTTCTAGATCCCCATCCCCCCCACCGCAGTACGACAACTTCGGTCGCCGTGTCAATACTCGAGAATATCGTTATCGCAAGCGTCTTGAAGACGAGCGCCACAAGCTAATTGAGAAGGCCATGAAGGTCATCCCTAACTATCACCCACCCCAGGACTATCGACGTCCAACTAAGACACAAGAAAAAGTTTATGTGCCAGTCAATGACTACCCAGAGATTAACTTCAGTATGATTGCTAACCCTCTAACCTTTCTAACCTTTGCTTCAAACCCCCCAATTTCATTACTGTGTGACGCCGTGTGGCATTGGAGAAATGCGGCCGATGTCATCACTAACCTGTCACTCACTATACTTGCTCTTAGCTTTTGATACATATACTAACACTTAGCCTGCGCTTACTAAAGTCGGTTTACTTATCGGACCTCGTGGCAACACTCTAAAGAAGATGGAGACAGAATCCCAGGCCAAAATTGCAATCCGTGGAAAAGGATCCGTCAAGGAAGGCAAAGGCCGTTCTGACGCAGCTCACACCAGCAACCAGGAAGAAGATCTCCATTGCTTGATTATGGCAGACACCGAGGAAAAGGTCAACAAAGCCAAGAAGCTCATTCATAATATCATTGAGACGGTAAGCAACTCCTGAACTTCCCTAGCTGAACAAACTCTAATATTCTCAGGCTGCATCAATTCCTGAAGGCCAGAATGAGCTGAAGCGCAATCAACTTCGTGAGCTCGCCGCTCTTAACGGTACCCTCCGTGACGATGAAAACCAAGCCTGTCAGAATTGCGGTCAAATCGGACACAGAAAATTCGACTGTCCAGAGCAAAGAAACTTCACGGCGAGCATTATCTGTCGCGTTTGCGGTAATGCTGGACATGTGGCCAGAGACTGTCCCGAAAGGTACACTTCACGACATATCTTCCACCGGAATAGAATGCTGACTTCTCGTAGACAACGCGGTGCTAATTGGCGCAATGATGGTCCTGGCGGTCCCCCTGGCCCTGCGGCTGGTCGCATTGGTGCTGGAGATGCTGTTGATCGGGAGTACGAGGTAAGATAAATCGAACCCCTACGTCTTCAGAACTATTCACTAACACCGATCTAGCAACTCATGCAAGAACTTTCAGGCGGCGGGCCTCCTAATGGAGAGGAACCAAGACGTATTGAAGCTGGTCCTGTAGGTGGATATGATCAAGGTCCTCCAGATGGAGATGTCAAACCATGGCAGCGCGGACCTACTGGAGCAGCCGCTCCTTGGCAAAAGCGTGGTGATGACCGGGGTGGCTTTGACGGACGCGACTCAGCTCCTTCTGGCTCTGGTTCTGCTGCACCTTGGGCAAGAGATCGTGCTCGGGGAAGTGACAACCGTGGGGGCGACTCGTACTATGGAGGAGGCCAAAACAATTATAATAACGGCGCTTCTGGCGCGGCCCCTCCATGGCAGCAGCAACAAGCTCCTGCCTACCCACCAGCCCCAACAGCAGCAGCGGGTTATGCTGGATACTCAGCACCCGGGTATACAGGTGGATATCCTCCTCAACAAGCCATGGGCGCTCCACCTGGACTTGCCGCCCCTCCGGGATTGAGCAGTGCTGGAATCAGCGCTCTGCTCCAACAGTTTGCTGGTAGCCCACCACCTCCTCCTCCACCGTCCACCGTCCCTCCTCCACCACCGCCGGGAAATGCGCCGCCTCCACCACCTCCTAGTGACCAGCCACCACCACCACCCCCAGCGTGAGAGGACTCACATCTAACCGCTAATGGAATAATCCAAGTGAAGCAGAACTCGACAGCTTAGGGTTTACCTAGTGCACATTGGTACTAACGTTAATAAGGGCTCTATTCTGTAGATAACCTAGGATGGATTTTTAACTTGCTTCGCGATTTTCTGATCGCTGGTCTTTGATCAGCTTTGTTTTAGTACTCTGCTTATCTGTCTGTAGTCATAGAAATAAAATCGTCGTTCAGAACCATTGCAGTTGCGGGTCTTTTTTGCCTAGTGGCTTCTAATTAGATGAGTCCATACGTGTATTATCCCATCTAAGAGTTTGGCGCCTTAGTTGTCTCGGGATATCCAGGCCCCCTTTAATGCTCCACAATCGGGAATTTTATTATACTATCACAAAAGCCCAAAACTACCTAACTCTCTACCTAACTAAATAATAAGACAACATACATCTAATAGTGATGCTCAGTCTCCGCATCCCAAAGCACCACATATCCAATCCCAATCCAATCCCCTTTTTATAACAAAAGGCCACATCGACATTTTACTTTATGTCAGTTCCGCTCCCTACTTCGTTCGTGGTGGTGGCCTCTTTGGTGGTGGCTTCTCTAGTGGCTACTTTATCTTAACGGTCACCCAGAAGCACAATCGCCAATTTTGAGCGGTTTGTTGATACATTGAGCCTCTTAGCAGGTCACTCCTCATTATCGGCCCCTATGTTACCCGCCTCTCCTCCTATACTAGTTCTTCCGTAGCTAGCTTTTGCTTAACGTCTCCTTCTTTTGCCACTCGTAAGATGCTTATCCAAATCACCATTCTTTTCCCATTCCCTCAAGTCCTTCAAGGCAGGATCCTCCCTTTTCCGCTTCGGTTTACGGGGGGGCTTTTCTGGTTCTGGTTCTGGTTCCGGGTCTGGGTCCGGTCCTGGTCCTGGGGGTGGCCTTGGGTGTTTGGTGCGGTCGCGGCGTTGTTGCCATGTTTCAGCTCGGCCTAAGAGAGTTAGATGTTAGCTTTTACTTACTGTTTTTTCTTCTTTTTTGTTAAAGTTTTAGCTATTGGGAAAGGAGAATAGACCTATAGAAAGGGTTCTATTGGCGGATGGCACGTACAATCTTCTAGCTCTTGCCGCAAATCTACGGCAATCGTGTTTCTCAACTCCCCCACTACTTCAGATTCTTCCCGCGCTCGTCGAAGATCATCGATCTGGGCACTGAGAGCTTGGATCTCGGCGTATAGACGACTTTTTTCTTGCTCACATTCCATATTCTCGCCGTCCCTCTGCTCCAGAAGCTCCCTCTGTTTAGCGCTAAGTTCTCTGACCTCTTGCTCTTTGATTTTTATCTGTTCTGCATGTCGCTCTTGCAGCGCAGCAATTTGTCTCTCGTCTATCTGCCTCCCTGGCCCATATTCATTACCCTTGCGATCCAGTTCTTTCCGAAGATCCTCTAGTTCAGTGGTAAGCCTTTTAATCTCTTCCGCGTGTTCGCCTATCGCTTGTTGAAGTCGAAGTTCCAACTTTCCAGTTTCCTTTTCGAGTCTTTGCTTCTCTTGCTTACATTCCCTATTCTCGCGTTCTCTTTCCTCCTTAAGACTCTCTAGTTTAGTGGTAAGCCTTTTAATTTCTTCGCCACCTTCCCCTATCGGTTGCCGTCGCAACCTGGCGATTTCAGCGTCTAGACTCTTCTTCTCTTGTTTCCACTCCTCTTCTTGTTGATCCATTTGGGCGACAAGAAGATCAAAGCACTTCTCAGTCTCATTCAATTTGGTCTGCTCAGCCTCCTTCTGGCGTTTGAGATGCTTGATAACATTTCCAAGTCTTATATTTTCTTCTGCCAGTGAGCCTTGTTCTTTGGTATTTGAAACCGTATTGTTGTAGTTGAATTCTTTTAACTCCTTAATCTCACTCTTGAGCTTGAAAATTTCAGCTTCTAATGTTTTGTTCTCCTTCATGGCCGCGGTCCACGCGGCCCGCTCATCATGCAGGCCCCACTTCAGTTTTCGCAACTCCTTCCTTCGTTGTTCCGCAACCTCCTGTGCCGTCGTGACGCGCCCCCGAAGGTGTTTAATTATATAGTCTGGGTTATTATTGTTCTGGGGTTGTTGATTATTGTTATGGGCTTCCAAGAGCCTCGCCTTCAACTCCCCGATCTCTTTCTCTAAAATTTTCCCATGCTCCTTGCATGTTTCAAGATCTTTTCTCGCGTCCTTGATTTCGTCCGTGTTCATGCCTATCTCTATTTCTAATTCCGATATCTTATCCTGTAGAGGGGCGATATCTTGTTGGGGTTGCTGACCGGGTGGTCTGGTTGTCAATTTAAAGGTTGTAACTAGTGAGTTTAAATTTCCGAGCAATACTGAGAGCTCTCTTCTCCCTTTTGAAATGGCGATATTCTCAGTATCTTGATCGATATCAACCTGGTCGTCTGTGTCCGCGGGGTCAATTTGATCCGGAAGAGCTTGGAGATTCTGAGCGAGCTTTTCGACTTCGAAGGTGGCATCCGCCATTGAAGCTTCCAATGTCGCGATTATACTGCGTGCCTCTTCTATGCTCATGTTATCGCCGTCCTTAACCATTTCCGCGGCGCCCTCATGGATCTGAGCTAACTCGATTGTAGCACGATTGCGCTCTGCGCGTAAGTTGCGTGCACGATTCCTGTGAAATGCAGTCCGACGTTTTTGATACTCAAGCAGCTCGTTATGCGCATCTCCAACATGTTTGAAGTGGCCAGCAATCGTAGGTCCTTCTTCTAACAGCCTGTGAAGTTTAGCCCTGGCATCTTCCACATTATTTCCCGTCAAATCTGCCAGGATTTGCCGCAGGATGTTATAATCATCGTTACACACTTGGATCGCCAATTCGACACCTTCAGATAACGATCGTGCTGTATCACTTTGAGGTTGGCAGCTGGCTTTGAGTTCTTTTAGTTCCTCCTCTAGTTCACGTATACGGTTCTGTGCCTCCATCTTTTCAGTATTGTCTCCTGTGACTTTGAGTCGCAAGTACCCTGGCCTCGGAGGCCAACCTCTCCAGGTCTATATGCCGTCTTCAATTATTCGACTGCCTCGTCAAGTCACTTTAAAGGTTGTTTTTGCTGTATCCGAACCGGTTTCGCATGCTGAAGCTAAATTTCTTCGTTATATAAATGATACCGACCTTTTGGGAGCAAGACTTATGCCCTTCGAAATTGAATGCGAACGTGGGTGGGCACCAACTCCATTGAGCGCCCAATGTGGCACATGCCTTAGGATAAAGCCTCTCATTATTATTATTTCTTCGCCTTTGTACAAACGTAAACCCTAGATTTAGGTGTTTGTTTCCGGCGATGGTTTCTCGATGCAGAGATATCACATCAGCCTTCCTTTGTTGGGATGGAAGCGCTGGCTCTTGTATCGCACAATCTAGAATTTGGGCTTTTGATTAGAGAGAACAAAGGGAATTTTATGTATAACAGTTTTTATCTTTCTTCGAGGACACAGTGGGATTGATATTTACACAGTTTTCTATGTATATATTTGAATGGCTACTTTATTGGTAGTTGATAAGGGTGTAATTGAAATTGTGGAATTAGCCCGTTCCCCTATAGTTAGTTTACATAACAAATCTAGTAAAACTTATCGATGAGGTATAAATGTAGAGTTCCAGAGGTGTATAGCAGCACAAGAGAACTTCCAATTTCTCTTTCTCCTCGTGCGACATGCCATGTTTAAGCTGAAGAGGACTGTCAGAGGACGAGCACAAAGATAAAGGTCCACCTGAGAGCTTAGATACAGGGCGGCCAACTTTATTGGCACTTCGGGAACCGATACAAAGCCAAATAGGATGCTTCATGGAATGTGCACTACACCATGCGATTACCCCTATAGCGATGGTTCGAGGGTATGTGGAAGCCGTAACAGCCTGCACCAAGCAGGTGATTTGGCAACAGATTCTTACTGCGTCTCAACAGTTATACATCTTCATTGAAGCTAGACTGACATGGACCTTGTTGAATTTGGCACGGTATCAAAATCTCGTGGGACATCGCATGATACTTGGAATATCAGGAGCACTTCGTAAAGTGAGCCGTCATAGCAAGGAGTTTCTAGAGAAAGAGCAAAGGGGTCCCACCTGCCTTTGTGCCACGTCTAATAATGACCACTATTATATCGACCGGCCCGTAGGGGTACTCCAAATTCCATACTACATAAGCGCAGTACGAAAATAGTCAATGATACTCCGAATAGCTTGGCGAGTTCTACGTACGTACGAGGATGTACGAGTTATCATGGATGTAAACTAGTGGGCATGCCGAGGTGCGGGTATCGTGCGGTCGCATGAATATCCCAACAATCAATAGTCTACCAGCCTCAGGTACCTTAAGATCGCCATCAGACGGGGTATATATTATGGCACCAAGCCCCACGATGCCTTCAACCATTATCCGTATCTGACATTTAGGCGGTAGGTCGAAGAAGAACTGAAGACTAGCTGGCCGTGACTTCGAAGTAAACTGAATAAGATGGCGTCGGCCAAAGTTTCAACTGGCCTCGAGCATTTTTCCCGTCTCAACCAAGCCGTATACTTCCACCAACCTCCACCCACAGTCCCCACAGCAAACCAGGAACCAGACCTTATCCTCCTTCTAGGATGGATGGGTGCAAAGCCTCGAGCTCTAGCCAAGTATGCGGCCATTTACGAGAAACTCTACCCATCGTCACGGATACTCATCGTCACGACAGACTACCTTGATGTCACCATACGCACTGCAACCGCCAATGCCAACCGCATCAGACCCGTCCTCGAAATCCTATATTCTCTGGCCGAGCATGCGAATGCGAAACTGCTCCTCCATTTCTTCTCCAACGGTGGAGGTTTCACGAGTATGTTGATCGCACAGAGCTTTCGCGAGAAGACAGGACGGGCACTGCCTGTGAGCGCGATGGTACTTGATAGTTGTCCTGGAAAGGCATCGTACGAAGGCACCCAGCGAGCCTTTGCCATCGGTATGCCCAAGAATGTATTTCTACGAGTGCTTGGGTTATTTTTGGTTGGAATATTCTTGCGTTTGTTGAAAGTGTACTGTACGGTGCTAGGAAAGATGAATATGATAGAAAGGTTGAGAAAGGTGCTTAACGACAAAGCTCTCTTTGATACTGCTGCGCCAAGGACGTATATATACAGTGAGGGAGATGATATGGTTGACTGGAGGGACGTGGATGAACACGCGGAAGAGGCTACGAAGAAGGGATATACTGTTGAGTTGGAGAAATATCATGATAGTGGCCATGCTGCTCATATGGTCAAAGACGGGGAAAGATACTGGACTATCATCCAGAGACTCTGGAATACGGTTCTTTAGATGGCTAGACTATAGAACATTAGACCCCTTAGGCACCTTCTCTTCACTAGGTACTTATCACCCATTTTCGTCTTAAGTTTGTAGATTTGAGGTTGGCTTAGCCAAACTTAAGTGAGCAGGTGCTGTTGTTGCAATGCTACTAGAACATACAACTTCATCTACTTCTATGACCTAGAGAATTTGGCCTCTGCTAATCCCGCTCAACATTCACCTCAAAGCAAGCCAACGCAATAACCGTCAGAGCACTGTCCTGCAGAACCTGTAGTCTATTGCTTCCTCTTTCCAGAAATGATCGGTAACGGAGTAAATTCAGATCCCGTGCTCGGCGGTGAATGGATTCTACACCGTCGGTACGGATGTACGGATATATAGATGAATAGATCGTCCATTAGGAGGGTCCGTTTTATGCGTAGGAAATTAGTATTCTAGTTTTTCAGCGGACTAGAGTATCTAGATAAATAGTGGCAATATGGCATTGTAGATTGGCCATTGCTAAGACAAAGCTCTGTTGATTATCTACGGAGCGGAAATATATGTGGACTTATAAGTGCTGTACTTGGTGAGCGGTCTACTCGAATTACTAAAGAATAAACAAATCCCCAGATCTACAACACGCCATCTCGTCTCGTCACGTCACGTCGTTACTTATCTAGAAACTCACCAAAAACTCACGATGGCATCAATTGGCCCCAACCTCCGTCAGCTGCTCCGTAAGTCTATCGATCTATCGATCTCATAGCGTAACGCTATATATTACAATCTCGTTCCTATACCCACCGTCGCATTGAACTCCAATCCTTCTTTCATACATCTCACTTTTGCCAATTCCAGTTCACAACTGTGCAATTCTCATCGCTTGAAGAAAGGCTTCCCACTAACAATTCCCACAGCTACTGCGGGAACCTGGGCCGCACCGTTCACAATCTACTACGTCCTCCTTTGCGCCCGGGTCGTATACCAACGTATCAAACACCGCGTTCCCCTAGGCCAAAACATTACCTATGTAACCTCACCAATCTCGCTCCTGTACATACCCGTTTACTAACGATCTATCATAGTCCAAGAAAGACAAGCCCTCCGACTCAGCTCCCGCTCACCCAGTTGACGACCCGCTTGAAGTAGCCATCCGGTGCCAAGGAAACTTCCAAGAAAACGTCCCTCTGGCATACGCCTTACTCGTCGTCTGCGAGCTCAACGGTGGAGACAAGAAGTATCTGAACTATGTCGCGGGGTTCTTATTTGCGGCAAGGGTTGCGCATGCGGACTTCGGACTGATGAAGAAGGGGAGGCATGCAGGAAATGGGGTGGGAAGACCACTTGGATTCCTTGGGTCGACGGTGGTGTTGCTCGGCCTGAGTGTTTATAGCGGTTGGCTGATTAAAGGGTATTGGGGATTTTAGAGATGAGGGGTGCTGTGCAAGGCCAAGGGGGATAGGGAGATAGGCATGTACCGTCATCGAGAGCTAAGGTTCACTTTAGAAACGATGCATAAATCCATGGACGCTGAATTTGGCATTTGCTTCCCAAGTAATCAATATAGCATTCCAAAGTGGTATCAAAACAACAAACCGTAACTCTCTGTGGGCTTAACCAAAAGTCATTCAACATCATCAGGATGGAACCATCTCCCGTGTCTATATATAGGAGCGGCCGGCAAGTCCTGACTGTGCATTTCAAACCCAGGACCACAAACCGCCCTCCTCGTCGCAGCAAAATCAGCATAAAGCTTCAGCCAAATTGTCCTATCTCTGCAATCTGTGGCACCAAACCACTCACTCTTCGAACACCTCGGCATGTATTTATTCAACAACTCCCTCCTCGCGCTCATCCAAGGCTTCGGAATCGGCCAGTCTGAAAAATGCAGATATCGCGCTTCGGCGAAAATATCATCTGGGTCCCATTTCGCGGACCGTGACCCAAGATAGGCACGGTGGTTCGCACGTCTGAATTCCCCCGAGAGGAGATTATAGGGTCTTTGGGGGATCTTTAGGACTTTTCCTTTGTAGAGCTTATTGATTATATCCACATCATATTCATCTTCTTTCGCGTCCTTGATTGCGGTTTCCATGGCGGAGAACGTGGTGGAGGAGGGTTCGAGAAGCATCAACTGGCTGGAGAAGGCCCACCCTGACGGTCCGCCCCAGTAGGTATAGGGCATTGCGATTGGAGCTTTGGGGAGGAGGAATAGCTCGTCGAGGTTTTGTAAGACGATCGAGGCCGCATCCAGGGATAAAATTCGGGAGTATGATGTTAGGTTGAAGGAGAGGAGTTTGCTATAGGAACTGGCCCATGTTGATTGCGAAGTATTGTTTTCGTTGAGGACTTCTACGGGGTGGAGGGTCACGTAGTAGTCTTTCTCGGCGGCTTGAAGGAGGCGGGCTGTGTGAGTTAGGCCTCGCTCTGGGTCTAAGTCATCGATTTCGGTGGGGTCCCAGTGGGATGGGTACATCATGAGGCGCTGCGATACCCATATCAGTAAATGGTCAACACTCATAACATCCCCGATAGCTGAGAGAGCATCACGAACCTTGGCGCGACTCCCAATCGTTTCAATCTGGCTCCAGACCATGAGAGCATTACACAGATACTCCGGCGACGTGACATGCTGTACATAAACCAGCTTGGACCAATCGATTTCAGGGTCCTCGACAGACGCAGTAGGCTCGGCAGACGCAGTGAACGTGTTGCCGTACCAACTGTGGCCATAACGGAGGGCGCATTGGAGGGCTGTGAGGAGGCAGAGGCAGATCAATATGCCTAGGAAGGCGGGGGAGGCGGCTAGGTGTTTGAGCCGCCGTATATAATGGCGGTAACCCGCCATAGGGACTGAATAGTGACAGTAACAGCCAAAGGCATAATTGTAGTTGTCGTTGTATGGACGAGGATATTGATAAAGACTTATGGCCGCGATGCCAAGATTGCTATATCGGCGGTGTCCCGGCAGGGTAAACGCAGCGTGCCGGTAGTGCTCGAGGCCGGTCCATCAGCAATATTTCCTCCATCGCCGCTTAATATTGGATTTTCTGTAGTTCTAAAATCCATAGTTGTCTTTGGACGAAGTCGCGATGTTGATAAATGGTGTGGTTGTCGTTACTTGTGCTGCTAGGAAGTAAGAAACCAGAGGATCTGCACTCTATAGTGGAGCAAAGTGATCGGATCTACATAGGTACATGTACTGTACATGTACATGTATCACAACGCTAACTCGAGGCAGGGGCACTGTACGATCTGTACCCTGATATCGATATCTTCTAGCTGGCAATCTGGCAATGTCGTGTGCAACGATACCAAGCTAAGGAGAAGGCAAGAGAAGAAAGTAAGGGCTACTGAATCCTGGATATCTATACACAATTACGAGATATATGGCCAAGACTAATAAAGAAGTGCAATAACACATTGTGCGGAGAATTCCAAGGAAATGGCGGGTGTTGCACTATACGGAGTATTTAGTTCTGTGCAGGTACCCGTTGTGGCGGAGCCGAAGCAGATGGATTACCTAACAAGCCCCTGAATCCCTTCAACTCTATTCCGAAGGCTGGACGTGTAATCGCGTCCTCCCTTTACGATAATCTTCATTAATTCACAATATTCGTCTCCGTCCCATACTTCGCTCATTTTACTAAACTTTACCAAAGCACCTTCTATAACTGGATTGCGGGAGCTAAGCTATCTTTACTACCAGATGCCACCATATCCATCTCCTGCAATCCTCGATCCCAACAGCTTATATTCAACACACCAAAACCTTTATTCAATTAACCGATTGATCTCTTCGCCACATACGAATAGCTAGTCGTCAAATGCAAAAAGCTCGTCGTAGTCACCGTTCTTGTCTCCGTGGTTTGTGTCTATCAGTTCAATAACATTAGCAACTATGCTCCTGCTAATACCCCATATCTCTCCTGCCAACGCGAATCCGAGGGAAAGAAAACATACCGTCGTCTGTGGACCTTGATTTATTTCCAACGTCTGGCTAATTGTATATAGCGGTGACGCACTAGTAATCAAACACGAACAGCCTATCCACACATCGATCTCATTGCCGAGGTATGGTATCTCCTCTACTGGAAAATAATCATCGCGTTTCGCAAGGGCAGGGCCCTTGGTAGGCCTTGGTGGGGTAGTGAGACAATCATGCTTTCCCCATCATTAGTTTCTCTCTGAAAACCCATCCAAGGGAGGTTTGGAGCCACAGGATATCAACAGGGACTTACAGGAAGCAGCTCGGGGCATCCACGATCGTAATAACTCCCAGTAGTCAAGAGGTCATCAACACCGTCGGCTACCGGCAAACTATAGAACGTACAACCAGTCCCAGACGGCGTATTCACATACAAAAAGCTCTTACACTTGCTGTCAGCCAAACATTTCTGCATACATGTCTCTGCATTCGGAATATCAGTCACACGGTTCAAAAACGCCGTTTCCGAGTATTTTCTGTTCATGACTGCCCAGACTCCGCAGAGTCTCGAGGGCGGAGGGGATGCCAAGGGAGTTGGGCAGAGAAGTGTGGAGGTGCGGGAGAGGCCGTCGGTAGTTGTGATAACTTTTGCGGTGGAGATTATATGTGTGCTGGTTTTGGAGAGGGTGGTGTACGTTGCATAAACGGTATAGGGGCGGAGGAGGTTAGAGCACCAGGATGTGTAGTTGAGAGGTCCGTAGGTGGCAGGTCTAGGTTGAGTTAGGAGATTAGGAGTTTGGTTGCGTGAGATGGCCGGGAATTTTACGGATGTTCCATCTTTGATATTGCAGTAACAACATAATTCAGTTCACATACTAATCGAGCTGTTAGCATTAAGGACTATGTGGATATCGAGTTTGAAATGCTGGGCTTGGTAGAAGACTTACAACTGGCGGACATTGACCAGGTGTCATCGCGCTTTAGAATCGGACTTGGCGTGACCATAGGGTGTGGACTAGCTATTGAAAGCTCTGCCCCGAGGAGGAGTGTGAAGATAAAGAGTAGTCCCATTATAGTGGTTATAGAAAGTGGCGAAGATCTGAAAATTCGAGCTATTCATCCTCTCTAAAGTGGAATAGCTCTAATATATAGTTGTATAACATAGAGCGCTAAAAAATACCCTCAATAATGCTACCGTATTTGCATTTCTTATTTGATATTTGCCGATTAGGTTTCATTTAAAAGTCTTAGCACTTACTCGTATCTGCTAAAAGTCACGTTTGGCCTATAGAGCCTAATAGCCTTCAACAGCTTAATTGGTGTACTAGCTTGGAACTCCGTTTAAGCATCGGGTATCGCTGCATGCAGGCTTACACTCCGCATTAGTAGTGCAACAGGTTAAAATTCATTGGTGAGATGGATGACAAATTAAAGATCTTACGATCATCGATTTCGGGGCTTGGAATTCCGCTCTAGTGTTTGCACTGATCAAGCTTAAAAGCTTTGCAAATTTGCAGGGTATTCGGGGGGTTAAACTGTGACCATAGCACACAACCCTGCCCAGATTTCTAAGGCGATTGCTGCAATCAAAGTATGTAGGCTTACAACCTGTTAAAGTAGGGCGCGAGGTTAGTAAGCCTGATTGTTAGGAGGTATCTAGATTGTGATAGCAAAACTACTTTTTACAGCTTGCATAGTACTCAAAAAACCTAGCACGACTCTCCCTTCTAACGGCACCAGGCACTCTTGTCTAATATCTACGCCTTACCTCCATATTCCTGAGTTGTAGATACGCCTGAATTGCTTCAAAAACTGTTTACTCAGGGCTCGGCCAGAAGGGTAGTAAAGAAAGCCCTGACTCTACTTGAATTTCCATCTGTGGTAGAATTAGGATAATTATACATTTCCCACCAGCATTTTTTCCTTTAATATTTTAACTCTATCTTTCTTTTCGCAAGTTAGATAAGTGAGGAAGCTTTGCTATACGTCGACTTTGTACCTTGAATGCAATTTTAGTTATAATTACTACTAAGTGTTTAGATATATATCCCTTAGAAATAAATTCAGTGCTACACTGGCATGCATTTATAGTCAAGGTTCTGCATTTGTTCCTCATTGACATCTCCCAAGTCCCTGATGACATATTGGTGACAACCAGTGAATTACAAAGGGCAAAAAAGGCGGTATAAAACGGCTACTTAAACTTCTCTACGCTCTTCCAAAACCTTTCCTCTTCCACCATCTCCCATCTCCCATCTCCATTCAACTTCACAACCACCCACAATCCTTCGTGATAAACAACTTCAACCATCATCAAAAATAACCAGCGATGATGCCTTTTCAAGCCCGCGATCGCGCCGTCCCGCCGCACCCACCTCTTAAAAGGTCAGAGCGGATGATAGAGCGGATGGCAGAGCGGCCCGAGACTTCCTTCAACCCCAAGGGAGGAGATAACAGAAGTCCCAGCGTGCACTTTAACGGCTATGCTACACAGTGCTACCTCACTACTGGAGTCTTTTCTTGCAAGCACAAGGTGCCGCTTAAGGACGGAAAAATCACTCATGCCGGCAAGTGCAGAAGCACCAACCACGAAACTCCGTGCGGCAACATGGCCATGAGAAACAAGGAGTGGTATTTCAGTAGACTTTGTGCTCTCTGCGCTGTCGATGCTAAGGCGCGGTACGCGGGTTCCTTTGAGGAGTTTATGAGGGACGTGAAGGGTGGAAAGATGATGATTACCAAGGATACACAGTCCACTACGGCTAATATGGCGGAGGAGGAGAGCAACGAACTGGCCTGGGAGAAAGCAGCTGCCAGTCTCATGGAGCCAAAGGTGAAGAGCCCGGTTCAGGAGAAGCTGCCACCACCATCATCCGCTATTCGAGCCCAAGCTCAGGAGAAGACCGAAAACCTGGATGTTGCCAGCAGCACCGCTTTGAATACGAAGATCTACAACGATTATCCCCAGAAGACTGTACAAGAAAGCTTCCACAGAAATATCACCAAGAAAGATAACGATAGCTTTGGTACTGCGGGAGAACAAACCTACAAATATTCCAAAGACGCCATGGACACCGTACTCTGGGAGAGCTACCGCAAGATCTGGATGTCCATGCCAAGCGCCGACAATGGTGCTGCGGATCCTGAACCAGCTTCCTCGCACACGTCCTCGGTCCTCGGTGGTGTCTGTAAGGCACTGACTCCGAAGTACGTGCCCGATTCACAGCTGCCTTTAGAGGGTGAGGAGGGCGAGCTTGTTGAGAAGCCGGATAGGGACTGTGATGATGGTGGTGAGGATGGTGAAGGATGGGTGAATATCGCGGGTGGTGCTGAGGCAGCTGAGTGGGTCTGAGGTTGGATAGGGTGATGGCGTGGGGGCGTGAGATATCTCGGGCGTTATGCTAGCTTGCCGTTCTTTCTTGCGGTGCTTTCTTTCTTGCGGATGGGTTGGGGAGTTGATGCGCCTAGCGTTGGAGAGTTGCCTTCCTGGTCTGGAAAGTAGGTATGCGTTATATCGTCGTCTCGTCGTCTCGTTAGTAGTGGAGAGGTTGGTTCTTGAACACATAGTTCTAGATCCATAAGCTCTCTTCTAGGATAGAGTCAATAAAAGTCGAAAGTTATCTGACATGCACTTCCTTCATCAACACCTGCAACTGCACTCACGTATTCCAATACCCACCCATCTTCGCAAATTTACCATTAAAGCAGGTCACCATATGATGATAAAGCCCAGTCAGTACCTAAGTAATATCATCATCGTCTCATTTCTCCCCCAGTCCAGTCTATCATACAACCTCCCCGCACCACATCCTCCCACAAAACGGGATTAAAAAAACGTAATAACTAATTGCCTGTCTGTATGCACTTCCTTCTTTCCGTACCTATGCATATCTTTTCCCTCAAAAGCGAGACATGAGGTGAAAGCGTGATGGAAAAAAACGCCGCCGTGTGTTGTTTTTCTTTTGGCCCAACCAGTATCCAGTGCTATGCATGACGCACCAAATAACAATAAAAGCAAGAATTTCAAAAAAAGAGTACAGACTCCCCTGTTTCGTCCATGCCTTTCATCCGGAAAGGCGGAGAGATATTGCCATTCCCCATCCCTCCATGCCCTCCACCCCATTTCCCCTTCGCTATCTGCCATCCGTCCGATACTAAGGAATCCAGTAAGTATCATCGCCCTACTGATGCATACTTTTCAAGAACCCATCAAGATTAAACTCTTCTTCGTACTGCTTATCATCCCAAAGCTCGCCCAGATCATCCAGCCAGCCTTTCTTCCCCTTCTCCCTAACTTCTCCCGTGGCATCCACCATATCCTCCTCTCTCTCGACCTCATTCCCGCCAGAGAGAGCAGGCGCATCGGCCGTGTCGCCCAGATTGAAGAGGTCTAGAATTTGATCTGTTTCCATGGTTCCGAGACCGGCGTTTTGTTGATTTACTACCGTGGAGGCAACGTCGATTTTGAAGCGTTGGAGTCTAAAAAACGAGTTAGTATATATTTACATACTTGGTTTGGGAAGGAGGAGGGGAAGGGGGAACATACGACATGATCTTTTCTTCCAAGGTGCCCCGGGTGATCAATCGGTAGACATTAACGACCTTCTTCTGGCCAATACGATGCGCGCGGTCCATGGCTTGTAGATCTTTCTGGGGATTCCAATCATGCTCCACGAAAATGACAGTATCCGCACCAGTTAGATTCAATCCAAGACCGCCAACGCTTGTCGTTAGGAGTAAGACATCGTATGAGGGATCGGAGTTGAACTTGTTGACGATGTCCTGTCGTTTACTGGCATCCACAGATCCATCCATGCGCAGATACTGCACAGATGGTAGCATCTTTTTTAGCACATCGTTTTGCACCATATCAAGCATCTCCTTCATTTGGCAGAATACAAGGGCGCGATGAGGTGATACGTAAGTCGCAAGATCGCCCTCAGCAGCAGGCTCGACACCAATTCCACAATCCACCAACAAATCGCGAAGAGCGGTAAGCTTTGGAGCATGGGCGGGATCGCGAAGACTCGTGCCTTGTTTTGCCAATAGCCGTTGCGTCTCGTCGTACTGTTTATGGCCTTCCTTCATGACCAGGGCTGGGGAGTTACATAACTTGCGCATGTATTGCAACGCTTGGAAGATGTGTTGTTTCGCCTCTTTATCGCCGGTAGAGGCTTTCTCAGCAAGTGTCTTACCCTCTTTCTTCGTGAAGTCCTCAAAGAGCTTTTTCTGCAAGTCGCTGAGGTCGCAATAATAGTTCTGTAGAATCTTGGGTGGTAGATCATCCAGAACTTCTTCTTTCAGTCGCCGAAGGAGGAATGGTAGGACTTGCTTATGGAGCGCCTCAATGGCTAGCGCACCTGCTTCTTGTTCCTTAGAAGACGATTTGCTGAAGCGGCTTGCGGCGATGGGTTTGGCAAATCTGTCAAGGAAGACCTTTTCTGCTCCGAGGAAACCAGGCATCAGGAAGTCAAACAGCGACCAGAGTTCCAAGACATTATTCTGAATTGGAGTGCCAGATAGAATGAGTCTGTGGTTACTAATAAGACGTTTCACAGCGAGAGTGACCTTGGCTCGGGGGTTCTTGATCAAATGGCCTTCGTCAAGAACGAGATAGTTCCAGTTGAAAGGAGCCAGCACATCAGTATCATTACGGCAAATGTCGTAGGAAGTGATGACAACATCAGTTTGTCCAAGGCGATCTCGTAATCGAGCTCGGTCAGCGGGAGGTCCAACGTATGCTGTACACGAGAGGAAAGGTGCGTAGGTGTTGATTTCCTGTTGCCAATGACCCGATAACGTAGGCGGGCAGATGATGAGAGATGGAAGTCGTCGAGAATCAGACGATCCGGTTTTTGCAAACTCTTCTGCGCGCATGTGATGATCACTGGCTACAATGCAGAGCGTCTGCAAAGTCTTCCCGAGACCCATATCATCACAAAGAATGCCATGAAGATGGTATTTATTGAGGAAATGGAGCCAATTGACACCTTCCTGTTGGTAGGACCGAAGCTCAGCCTTGATTGCGACAGGTATGGTGAAAGGTTCGACCTTATGGGGGTCCAGCAGTTGGGCGATGAAGGTTCGCTCGCGGTCACGACCCTTCAGAAGCTCTTGTGATAATCCAGGAGGATCCGGAATTCCTGCCTCGAGGGGCACGAGTTTGACGAGCGTTGCAAAAGTTGTAGTAGCAATTAGACGAACATCATTGTCAGAGTCGCTCATACGGCCAAGAACGGGCACGATGAGGAAGATAACATATGGCAAGATACCATCGCCCATCACGGAAATAAGATGGTATACAGCCTCGATAGCACCTTGGCGGAAGTTAAGATCGACCGGGTTACTGATTGATGGTAGAACCTTCTCAACCAACATTGTCATGCCCTCGACAGTAATGACGGAACAAACTGTGGCGAGACATTTTGCTGCCATGTATCTGAAAACCGAGAGGTCTGAGTGGAGTGCTTTGATAACGAAAGGGAGCAGTGAGATGACCCAAGAATGTAAATCCTTATTCAAAGTCGGCGTTAAGGCTCTGAGGACGGACATGGCATCAATAGCTGGCTGTCCGACTTCCTTATCTGGGTCTCTCGCATCCGCTGGTAGGTCTCCAGAAAACGTATACCGTAGTGGATTCTCGATTATTGATTTTAGGGTTGGCACCTTTTCGAGGAGGCTGGCACCGAATATGTTGCACAGCTGTTCAAGAGCCTCCTTGGTACCTCTCCGGACGATGCGGGCAGCCTTTTGTTCCCGCGCAAACTTAGCAGCATCGGGGTGATCTCTACGGTCCTCCTCTTTCCGAAGAGTCTGGATGGCATTTGTGAAGCTCGCATTTGGTGCGAATTCAGGGGTCTCGGACGTTTCCTGGCAACTAAACTTGGCCAGATTGCCCACCACCTTCTGTGCTGGTCCAGACCGACCACCATCTGCAAAGAGTTCCACAAGTCGGGCCAGGGATGCCGCAGATCGTTGTTGTAGTTCGAAGTTTTCTTCCTTCTTGGCACTATCCATCATTGCCTTGATTATATGTGTCGGCTTCTTCGGTGAGAACTTCATGGCGACCAACGCGCTGGCAGCAGCAGCCTTGATTCGAACATCTCGCTGCTCTTTGATGGCTTTCGCGTTATCAACGACTTCTACTACGGTCTCGCGCGCTTCTGACAGTGCTTGTGTTGCAATCAATCGCTGACCAGGTGCAAGTGCCTTCTTTAGCCGGTCAAAATCCTCATTGACACACCTATCTGCGGTTTGTATTGAAAAGGCATCCGGTCCTGCTTCCGGTTCTCCCTGGACAACGACGGCAAGTGTGGGTAGCCGGTGCTGAGAGACTTTGCCAACATCTCGGAAGGTATTCAAAAGCTGGCAGCATTGAGTACGAACAAGCTGTGTGTAGCTCACCAGATCTCTATAATGCAATGGTCGTTCCGACTCTATAATCTTAACGAGCAGGTCGATGAACCGCTTGGGCTCTTCTTTGGAGATGCAGTTATCGGCGTATTCGTCGACGATCAGCGACGCAGCAAGCTGTGTGGAAGAGAACGCAGATGACAGCGCAGGGATAATGCTAGCATCATAGGCTTGAAGCGCGCTGGTTGGCACTCGGGACATGATGAGGCCCATCGCACGAGCAGCTGTGACGCGGGATCTAATCAAGATATCCATGCCAACCAAATCAACATCTCCTTGCATCATATGCCCGTCGACATCATGAGACGATGTTGTTGGGGTGGGCTCAACCATCTTGGTTAATTTCCGTCGCTGTTTCTTTGGCGGAGGTTCCGTAACGCCTGGCGGAGAAATTGGCCGGGCGGACACGGGAACCACACCACTCGGCATGGAATATGTGCTGCCGGATGGCTTCTGGAAGAGAGTTGCATTCATAGGCAAAGGATGGCGGGAAACTCCGATAGGATGGAGTGTGAGTTGCATGAGCGGATCAACATGTGCTGAGAACTGCTCTGCAAGATTTGAGGAATCTTTAGCGAGATGGGTAACTAGGTCCCTCCAAAGCTGCAATGAGAGGTTCAAGGTGTCTTGATTTCGTTCGACAAGGATATTTTGAAATATGAGTCGCAGGATCTTGCCATTAAGCCAGTCTCGAGTCCCTTCGCCTTCAATATGGACGAAAGTCATCAGAGCTCTGAGGACTGCTGATCGAACGGATGTGATCGTGTGTCGTAAGAATGGATATAGTCGTGGAACCAGGAGTGCAAAAGAATGCTCCGAGTCCCTCGCCGCATTCTTTTTCATAGCCTCCAATACCTCTGGGAAACTGCAGAGCTTCGCTAGAAGGTCCATGATCTGACCGGTACTAGCACTCAGATCATCTCCGAGGTTGGAAAGACATTCCCAAACAATGTTGATAAGACCATCTAGCGCCTCTGGTCGCAGGTTGACGAACTCCTTGGCGATAGGAATGAGAGTAGCCGCACTAACCGAACGTACATCATCATCCCAGTCGCCCAGGCCTTTCATGACCGCTCGGATGACTCCATCAATGAGATCGTTATCCCTGAGGAGAAGGTCATTCCGTACAGCAACCAAATAACGCAGCCCTATCATTCCTCCATGGCATACAGCCCATCCAGGTTTGTCCAGTTGCAGATCTTCTTGCATTACCATTCGATATAATATCCGATGGACAGCATAGACACTGCTCGCAGGAAGATGAATGAGCAAGGCGCCCAAAGTCTGACCGATGGTCTCTCTGATGGGAGCGACAACGGTGTCGGAGACATAGTCACCGAATCGATCAAGCATGAAGACACAGCACAGGCGACAGGCGAGGTCGTCAAGCCAGCGCTGATTTAATACATCGTTTTGTTGCCGGGTTTTTGATCGCATACGGCCGGCTCCGGCTCCGTGAGCCCGGATGATTTCTCGCAAGCCCATAGCAGCCCCGTGTCGCGTCTCCCATTGTGGGTCGAAGAGATCAACCATAAGAAACTCGCACAACCGCTCGAACGGCCATTCGGCACCTTCTGTTTCTTCCTCGGTCTCCAACTCCGACTTGATGGGTAAAGCAGGGCCTTTGAATTCGGAAACAACCTTCGAATCCTCATCAACTTCAGAAGTCCTCTCCAACGAGAAGTAATCCGATACGCCGTTTGAATTTGAATCGTCGTTGGCATCTGACATTACTGCGTCACCTCCGTCGGCTGATCCCATCGTGCTCGTACGTCGGATGGATAGGTCTACGAGCCGGTTCTTGCTTCCAGCATTTTGTGCCTCGCGCTTTCGCTTTCGTTTCAGTTGATTGAGCTGCCTGGCACTCAGCCCAGCCTCATCCGGCGTCACTGCTGGCATTGATATGCTCTTGTTATCAGCCGGGTGTCCATTCGCAGGGGTTGGTAAGGCGGATGCGCCATTTGGTTTAGCTATCGCAAAATCAATGTCCATATCATCGTCGATATACTCTCCCAATAGACCTAGACGACCGGATAGTGTTTTCTTCTGGTGGGCCAGGCGCTGGGCAGGGTCTAGGTGCGCAAGGGCATAGTCGATTTCCTTCCCTCCCCCTCTCAGTAGTTCTTTTCCATACCTCAGAACCGACACGATATCGAGGGTGTCTAGACTGAGCTGGCCATCAGCCAGAGGGGCGACCTCAACAGGTTCCTCTTTTTTGATGGGGAAGCCATTCTCGTGTTCCTCTTTCTTGGACTCGTCCTTTGTTGAGCCATCATCAGGATTAGGATCATATTTCTCTGCATTATCGACAATACCCCCTAAAGCCTTTGCGGCTGCAGTTCGAGTCTCCCATGTCTTATGGCGGAGATAGGGGACGACCCGGGTAAGGAGGTTGAATAGCTCTTCTGGGTGGGCCTTCTGGACATCGGCGAGCTGCTGGGCGGCGGTGTTGCGGATCAACGGGGTGCTGCCCGTCTCTAGTAGCCTATTGCGTGATACTTGTCAGTATATACCTTCTAACATGGGAGTTATACCGGATGTAGCTGTATGCTATATGCTATATGGCATAACACTCGGGGAGATGAATCTATTTTTAAAAAAGGGGGGGGGAACACACGTGACAAGGCGGTCGAGTCTGCTACACGTGACATAAAAGGTTAGCTAGCTGAAAAGGGCCGAGGATCTACCGAGTCGCGAGTCGCGATTGCGTAAGGAGGAATAAGTCAAAGGTACGTACCTGGAAGCCATCTTCAACTATGGACTATGGACTCGCAACTCGCAACTCTCCACTACGCGTCTTCCACATGCACCTTATCTGAAAGTCAGAAGCTGGAGAATAAAACACGCCATGTATTCGTTGGATGGGAGGAGATGGATGGTGGCGGTGTAGAAGGTGGGAGTCTTCGTCGTGGTATAGCTCGAATGCGATATTCAACCTGAAGACGTAGCAAGTCGAGGGTCAATAGTAGTTGCAGCCTTGGATCCGAGGCCGAAGTAGATCCGCCAAGCAGTTCAGGCAGTAGCTGTGCAGTATTGTACTATACGTACTATTGAGCTACTTGCTGTATAGTGTAAGTGTTGTATAGCGCAGTGGCGTATTGGGTTGGGGTGTTGGCGTTGCAATAGCCTGGGCATGGATGGTGGATGGTTAAAAGGGTGGTGGGCGAGACGCAGGGTGCAAGGAGTTGGGAGTTGCGTGTTGCGTGTTGCGTGTTGCGGGTGTTGAGAAAGATCTGGTCGCGGTGGTTCGGCGGTGCAGCAGCAGCAGCAGCAGCTTGTCTCCGGCGTGTTCTTGGGGTCTTCGCCCTCATATTATAGTTGCCCGCACCGCCCCGGGTTGTTCGCTTAGGGGGCGCCCACTAGCGCCTTCGCCATCCTGGGCGCGTTGAGCTTTTTTGTCGGGTTTTGGAGGGACGAGAGAGGGAGAAGAAGCTTTAAGGGTTAAGGGGGGAGGAGGGGGGGTTTCTGTTTTCTTGCGACCATACAATACAATACACTACAATGCACTGCACTGCACTGCACTGCACAGATCAACTACGCTCTGCCTGCTCTGCAATATACCAAGCACACGCACGAGACAGAGACAGAGCAACAACACTCGACACAGAGAATCACCGTCACTGCACCGGGCAGAACCAGAGGAGACCACAGCGCCTGCCTTTGTACGAACCAACAGCCACTGGAACTAGCATGGCCCGTCGACTTATCATAAGGCTGAACGCGTCCAGCGTCCAGCGTCCAGCTCCAGCCTTTCTTTGGCCCTGCCCGGAGTGCCGGAATGGAATGCGAGGAACAGAACACGACAGAGCTCCCTACCTCCTTACGGTACCCACCCACCTTACCTACGCTATCTATCTACGCTACCTACACAGAGAGCAGCTTCAAAGCGTGTAACTGCCTGCCTACCTACATACCTACTGCCACCTACTGCTACAGGCAGCAAGCAGAATATAAGTGTCATTCATCACGCGCACCGCTTGCCGCCTGGACGGTGAATAGCTGGCTGACTCGGAGGCAGACACCTTGACGAGAACCTCGCATCCCTTCATCCCTTTATTTATTTTTGCTCGCTGGTCCTGGTCCTCGACGCCTCCATATTCACAATGCGAATCTAAATCCCGTACCAGCTGATCATATCGAGGATACCATACAAGAAGGCTTGAACCCCCCAAGATATAGTCACGTGGCATCAACATCAAGGGTCAAATCCAGTTATCGGATTCTATTCTCGTTGGCTTGATCTGCCCTGATTGATTGGCCGTCCAACTGCTGCTCTTCTGTACCACCGCTGACGCAACCTTGGATGTCGGGTGGGTCAGACATTGCGGGATCGACAGGAGTACGGAGTACGCAGCACGAGTAATGGAAGCAAAGAAACGGATGTTACGCAGTCAGTGCTTGGGTCACAGAGGTGCTATGGCTAACGGTGATCTTGGATGATCACAAGCTATTTACTCCGTGTTTATTACTGATATAGGTAGGTATTATACTGATGATGCCAGCCACATACTCCTGCTTACCCTCGTATTGGAAGATTAATCGTTGGAACTGTTGAATTGCAGAAGTGACCTGCTGTGAAAGGACAGAAATTCTTTCGCTTGAGTCCAAATCAAGTCGCAGCACGGGGATGTGAGGCGTGGTCTGAGTACCACGTGACGGAGCCCCTTGTACGTGGTACCTTACCTAGAGAGGTACCTAGGTGCCTCCAAGGTAGGCAATGTTATAAAAGAACTAAGAATTCATCTCTTTCAAATTCTAATACCAAAATTCTACTAACATGGTCATTAATCTTGAAGCCTCCCCTCGCTATCTGGGTTACGAAGTAAAAGGTACAACACTACGGAGCACGAGAGTACATGTAATAACCTTTAAAGAATGCGCACTTAGTCCACGAGCAGCAAAGGCAACATCAGAATGTATACAAGAAATGCCACACATTTAACTTCTACAGCCCCTCTAGAATATTACCTACCATCTCGCAAATTAATAAAAAAAAACAGATTGGCCACGTACTGTAACTCCCTTATTATTCTAAACCCAAGTCCGCGCGCCCGTTGTCACCTGTGTCTCTCGTCTGTCTTGGATCCTGTGATAACCGAGACCCCAACTTCAGCCTGAGGCGCTAGGCCCAGAATAGAATGGGGCGTAAGGCGTGGGACACATGCATCTCCATCCACCTGTCAACCTGGAGTCAGTCCTGATCTACTTTATGCCAAACCTCAACCTCTGTTTCTGCCTCTGCCTTCACTTCCACGTACACGAACACCGCCCCATTACGATCCTCCTCACTACCACCCCACCCCCCAATACCCCTGGGCTGTGCAATATATCAATATCAATCTTGCCCAACTCCTCCAACGGTCGCTTGAAGCTCATTTCCCACTTTGTCTTCAGTTCCTCCAATGCGGTGACAATAGCTCCTCGAGCCCCAGCTTTCTCTCTCTTGCCGTCGCCTAGGCACTATGGCCTCCTATGATTCAGCGATGCCCGCGACGGCACATCGACCAGCGGTCTTTGGGGCCCCAGTTCCCATGACCGATCCTACTGCCCCTCCCGGCACCTTTGCACCAGGGACAAAGATACAAGTGGGAAATCATAAGGTGGTCATTCAGAAATACTTCTCAGAGGGAGGATTTGCCCATGTCTATCTGGTCAAGATGCCCAAGCCTGTTGATGGGACCGACATCGCCATTCTCAAACGAGTTGCCGTGCCGGACAAGGAGAACCTGGCGAATATGCGAACCGAGGTAGAGACCATGAAGAAGCTGAAGGGCCACCGACCGATTGTTACATACTACGATTCACATGCATCACAGTTAAAAGGTGGCGGATATGAGGTGTTTTTACTCATGGAGTTCTGCAATGGAGGGGGTCTGATTGATTTTATGAACACCCGACTGCAGAACCGATTGACTGAGCCCGAGATCTTGAAGATTTTCTCCGACGTGGCTGAGGGCGTGGCATGCATGCATTATCTCAAACCTCCGCTATTACATCGAGATTTAAAGGTCGAAAACGTCCTAATTACCTCGGCGGGCAAATCCAACCGGTTCAAGCTGTGCGATTTTGGATCGACTGCCCCACCGCGGCCTGCGGCGACCACCGCCTCTGAATGCAGACTCATCGAAGATGATGTTCAGAAACATACTACCCTCCAATATAGAAGTCCAGAAATGATTGATGTCTATCGAAAACAACCGATCGACGAGAAGTCGGATATATGGGCTCTTGGGGTGCTCCTATATAAGCTGTGCTATTACACGACCCCATTTGAAGCCCAAGGGCAACTTGCAATTCTAAATGCAAGCTTCAAGTTCCCCAGCTACCCTCACTTTTCGGACAATTTAAAGAAACTTATCGGTATGCTGTAATATCTCTTGTCGGCAACTTAGTGCTAATTTTTGAAGCGTCCATGTTGAGAGAACACCCAAAATCTCGACCCAACATTTACCAAGTATTACGTGAAGCGTGTCTGATGCAAGGGATTGAGGTGCCTATTAAAGATGTATGTCAAATCAAAAATCAATTGGACTGTGGTGCTCATGATAGTAGATTTATTCCGGGCGTACTGCATCAGAAGCACGGCGCAATCAGCAGTTACCATCTCCAAGCCCACATGTGGCATCGCCTCCAACTGTGGGAGCCGTCTTCTCACCGCCAACAAAACAGCAGCAGGTTATTCCTGATGTTGTCCCGATGCGCAGGGGAAGGCCCACGACAAGTGCAAAAGAACATACCCCGAAACCGAGTCCCTCCCCAATGCGAGGGACTAGCAGCGACCCGTTTGCGGCCTTGGATGCTAAAGCCCCTCCAGGACCCGTGGACGAGATCTCCAATCGATTTCCAAGCTTGGATCAATTTACTTTGCTCCATGATGCCGGAAAATTCGATTTTGAAGCGAGCTCGCCAGCGAAGTCCAGCCAACCTCGTGATCTCAGCCAAAGAGTGACCGAAAAGCTAGCTGATGATGCGTTTGCATTGCCCCCAAAAGAAGCTTCCTCAAAACCTTCAGCTCCTGCTCAAACCGCTTCCAGCAAAATTTCTCGGGCCCAGAAGATAATCTCGAGCAATCCGGAATTGCAATCTGTGGCATCCCCTCAAAATGTCGTATACCAGCCAACTCCGTCACGTCCCAAAACTTCAGTGTACGTCTCCCAGGGTACAATGACCTCAACCACGCCACCATTAGGTGGCCAGCAACCGGCTAAGTATGGTCCATCCCCTGTCTACCGCTTTCCAGCGACCTCAGATCACCATAGGTCAGCAAGCCTTCCAAGAAATCAAGAAGCGACAACAACTAAAGGACCCCTTCTTCGTCCTGGTGAGAATCAGACTCTCCATGCCAGGTCCGCTTCTCGGGGACATGCGCGACATGCGTCATCATCACGCCCGTCGCTCGAAGGTGGTAGACCCAGCAGCGATGCATTAGACCCGATCGCGAGGACGAAGTCAAGTAATGCTCGGCCTAGACCAACTAGCACGTACCTAGAGTCTAATATAGACTACTTGAGGGAGAAGGAGTCGAGCGGCAGGTCTTCAATGGAGAACCGACCATTGTATACCAAGCCACTCGAGGCAGAGATCACAGATCAAAGCCCAGATGAAACTAACATCGAGTCGAATGTGGACTTCCTCCGCACAATGGAAGATAACGACTCTACTAAGAAGGATAGAAGGCGAAGCAGTGGCGCCAATAATAAATCGAAGCGCTCCAGCTTGCCATCTTTGTCTGGAACAAAGAACCTGCTAGCTGGAAAATTTGGAGATGCGTTCAAGCGCTTCGAAACCAATGCCAGCTCGCCGCCACCACGGACTCCAAGCCCCTTGCAGGATATGGAACGGAAAGAACTGACGCCCATCGCTGGATCAGAAGCCACTGATGGACGGAGCGATGATGGCATGGCGGTCGACGACATGGAAAACATGGCTCCTGAGCAAAGACGCGAGCTCGAGCGTAGACGGCTTTCCATGGAGGAAGCGCGCGTAGCAAATGCCGCCGCTGAGTACCGAAGACGACTAGCTGAAAGAGGACCACCTACGGCACCGAGAAGCATCGGTGGCGTGTCCCGCGCAGCGAGTATCCAAAATAAAGTGAAGACGCTCCTTGACGAGAATCAACACTCGCCAAAGAAGACGGCCGAGGGTTATGGGCGATACACCAACAACAGTGGGAGTGGCCCTGCCCCAAAGCAGTTCGAGCACGCGCCTATAAACCCCTACGGACAGCCTGCCATCCCACGGAAACCCATAGTACACGGCACCGTCCACGCTCGAACAATGCCCCTCCAAAACGACCTCGACTACCCGCGAACACGGCCCCAACCCAACCCCGCCACAGTCTCCAGAACCGGCGGCCCCAAACCAAACGCTCCCCCCAAACCCATGCACCTCAACAGCATCAGCACAGGTCCTCGATCGCACCACCCGCAAAACTCCCCTCCCAAATCCACATCTCTCCCCACGCGCCCCATTCAAGCGCGACCAGACATGACGCCCCAGGAGAAAGAAGATTACATGGCGGATTTCAGCAAGAGGTTCCCGAGTCTGTCCGGGATTGAGATGGTAGAAAGGGATATTGAGAAAGAGGATAGGGGGGTGAGGACTAAGGAGATTTAAGAGGGGAGGAAGTGGGGCGGGGCGATTGTATAAATAATATAAAGAAATACCTAAGATTTAGATATGATGAATGAGGATTGATCCATGGGGATATATTTGCTGTGCCGTCTGCTTATATCAGTGACTGCTACTAGATGCTAAGACGGTTGGTATATTTGTTTGTTGGGAGGTGCTGTGGTGTTCTCGACCTCTTATTTCATCTCTAATCCTCTATTCTGCAGAGTTGAGTGCTCTGCCAACCGCGATCCAAACCACAACCCAATACCCAGGACTCAGCAGCAAGCACAGCGCAAATTCGTATCCACTCTAAGTGACTCAATGTCTCAATGCATAGTCGGTTTGAAAATACCTCAAATTCTCAAACTAGAGTAAGAGCAAGATCCAATTCTGAGGAATAGATTTGGTGCGCTTAAGCCATGTAGCATCCCGCAACAGAGGGGAGTCATGTTGGCAAATTTATGGCAGGTTGCACGTCAAACGTGTACTTGTAAAAGTCCCATTTCATACCTACGTACCTACTTAGGTGATCCATAATAAGTTCAAATCAAACAAACACTCATAGTTCATTAATATTACCCCCTAAATATTATTTCCTGCCTCGGAAAGAAGCCGTACAAAAACCTCAGACTACAAACGCCTTACTCCCCTCCACCAACCCATCCATCAATTTCACAATACTCGTCCACTTGGGCGCAAATCTCCTTGCTTCATCTAATGCAGGTATCACGCCAGGGACATTGTTATCACTCCATAAGCACACAACTCTTCCACTGCGTCCCTCTTCACCTTCTCTTTTCCCTTCGCTCACAGGCCATTCTACGTCCACAACCCACTCGCGATTCCAATCTCTGTGCCAGAGTTTAATCTGGTCGCTTCCGCTTGCGGGGACGTCGGCCCATTTTCCATTGCTGGGAGCTGCGCCTTTAACGTGGAAGGCTGTGAAGGGGTCGTTGAAGCGGAGGATGCAGGCTTTGGTTTCTTGGCCGGAGATGTGGAACGTGGCCTTGTTTTCGCCGGGGTTGCGGGTTACGTTGTAGGTAAGCCAGCTCGAGTACGCCTTTTCTGGGGGGATGCCGTCTTCAATATTGTTGACTACTTTGGGCGCTGGGCCTTCGTAGGTGCAGAAATCTAGACCAGATTTGATCATGGGATTTTCTGTGCAGTCGATTTTCTGCCCTGCTGAGGAGGGAATGTAGGAGATGATATCTCGGATATATTCTTCGAGTCCGACGAGGGAGACACGGCTGATACCACTGTCTAAGTCTACAGTTTGTTGGAAATAGGCTTTGTAGCGGTTCTCGGCTGAGAAAGGGAAGGCGGTAAGGTTATAGATCAGTGTCCCGATGAAGACAAGGAAGAGGAATGTCGGGATGTGGTGAGTTATGCGGTGGGCGAATGGCCCTAGCGGTAGAAGGATCAGGACCGAAAAGAGTGCCGTAACGAGGTAGGGTAGGAAAAGGGGGCTGCCATCAGCGCCGGTTTGCGCTGTTGCTGTGGCGAGCAGAAGGCCGACCTGCCCAATGATGATTATAGTGAAGGGACCGAGAATGAGGAACTGGAGAATCCAAGTCCAGGTAGGTAGTTTTGCAGACCACTGCTGCTCACCACCGAAGGCCTGGTCGTCTTTCACATCATTGTCCTCATCAGCACCACTACTCGCCTCTTGGTGTGATCTTCTGCGATAGCCCGTCCCAAATGTGGTGCCGATAGTAGCCCGATGCCCGTTGCCACCTACGAGAGGGGTTGTCTCACTAGCCTCTGCATCATTATCATCATTGCCGACATTATTTGAGGCAATAACTGCATCAGCGCTCGGGACAGCATCAGTAGCATCCCTCGCTTCCTGCTCGTCAAGCGCAGCTTCTACTAGGGAAGCTTTAGTGGGAAGTGCAAATAACTCGCAAAGACTAATGAAAGCCGCAAGAAATATCGCAGCTTCATAGAATACAAACATGTAACCACCACTGATCTGGTACTGGTCCTCGAACATAGTGGCTGCAACTAGGATGGCCCACCCGAAAAGGAACATCCAGAACAGGGCATAGCCACGATGCAAAACAGAGGGTCTCATAAAGTTGCAGCCAGCCATGATGAACCAATATGTGCAGAAGTACAAGCAGCAGAACATGGTCCAGACAGCATACTGAGACGAGTAAATGATCAGAGGGTTCTGCTTTCGGAGCAAAAATGCAGCTCCGACATTCAGCGCGGCTGCAATGATGAAAGCCACGGGAAACCGGAAAGCTCCTCTCCAACCCCCTATAGAGACAGTTTCATCTTGGCCATATGGTTTGACTGATCCGGTGAAGAAGTAATATTTATCTTTCCGAGCCAGAATATATGAGACGAGTATTATGGCAAGCGGGGAAACGACCAGTAGGGTTACCGACCAGGCAAAAAGCGTTCGGAGACCAAAGACGGCGAAGGCTCGACCAAATAGGTCAAACCATACCCCATCGCTTCCTCGTCCATTCTTGACTTTGTGGCTGGCACCATCTCCACGTGGTCCAACAAAGGTATTACTCGAATCGGACGTCAAATACTTCATTGTTTCTACCGAGGCGGACAGCATGTGCCATAATGAGTCCTTAGAGGTGTGTTTCGCGTCATCCTGATTCGTATGATATCGGGCTCTCGGTTCCCAGAATGCCACGTCAAGTCCTCGGAAGCCTTCTTCGCGGAAGACCACATAATCCGTCTCGCTCCTCACAAAGCCTAGTGAGAACCCATCGGCACTTACCACCGTCCCAAACGGGTGCTTAGCCTTGCCATAGGCGCGGGTGACTTCAGTATCGGTGCTACGGAACAGCGTTGCCCTGCCTCCAGCACCGGCTCCTTCCAAGTTCAAGAAAGTGTGTACGAAGGAGGCCATTGGATGTGACAGAAACGCCTTTGCCCCGTATAGACCATCTTCTTCGCCGTTGTTGAGCAGAACCACGACTCCTTTCTTTGGCGTGTTGCCAGTAGTTGTGAAATATTTGATCAATTGTAGCGAAGTGATAACACCCACGCCATCGTCCGTGGCACCATATCCAGTTGACACACTATCAAAATGCGCATTTACCATTACCCCTCCTTTGCCGTGAACCTTGGCTGTGTCGCTGGACGTTTCTGCTTCCCACCACTGGCCATCCTCATCCTCAGTACCTCGGATATATACGATGATATTGTTTCCCTCAAAGTAGGTACTAATACCAGCTCGGCGTCCAGTAACCCCTATGCTTGTAAGGGCGGTGCTAGTGTAATTGGCGACGACGTCATTGAAGACTATGGCAGCGGGAGGAGATCGTGATCGGAGGTGTTGGGGGATCGAATTGGAAAGTAGGCTTGGTTCGAGATCTGCTTTGCCATCCGTCTCCCAGCTAACACCATTGCTACTCAAAATCTCCCCGATCCTCGCCAAGAGCCAATCCCGAACTTCATCATTCCTCCGGCTGTTGAAGGGGTGGTAGCCATCGGTCAACTGGGTAAGATCCAACCAAGCTTCGGTGATATTTAGTCCGGCATAAGGAGTTGGACTGGCTGGAGCGGGCGGAACGGTTTCATGGACGATGATAAGAGGGATAATCACGGCCAGATATACTGCAGCAGTAATGAAGGTAACCGCCTTCGGAACAAATGAGAAGGGCGCCGACCACTTCATCTTGAAGCGCTGCCCTGCGTGGGCGGTGCGTAGCTATGCGGGTCTGCTATGAAGCCATCGACGAACGGAAAGAAATGGAGGCTCCAGCAGAGATATAGAATATAAGAATCGAACCGAGAATGTGGAAACGATACACAGTACGTAGTAAATAGGTCACAATTATAGAGTTGGTGATGATGTCGATATGCTGGCGGTGACGGTTGTAGGAGTCGAAGTCGAAGCTTTGGCGGGGTTCCCGGCGTACTCGTCTAGCTTGGTGGTTGGGGGAGCGCAGGGCGCTGGCCAAGCCTGCCACGCCGAGGCCTGGAAGCTGCAGCGCGCCAGTGGTTGCTACGCCATTGTGGAACGGACCGCGTAACTTTTTGGAGGAGTACCTAGTACGTGGTACTGGCATGCTGTGGTTCGCGACTTGACCAAAATATATATCACACGGTGTAAATCTTTATGACGGCTCCATACGACCTCGGAGTCGAAAAATGAACAATGATATCTACCGACCATCAAGCAGTTGAGCTTGCGCCCCTGCGTGGGCTTGATGCGGAAGATGCTGAGGACAGTTTTCACGCAGATAGAGTGGTGGATTTGGAGGACGGGCGACGGAACGACTACGCACACAGCCGGGGCAGAGCAACGTAGGTGGATCGCAGATATGTTATGGGCTATTATGTTGCGGTTGTGCTGATTGTCCTCTGGTCTAGGTTCTGGACTCTATGCTCCGCGGTTGCGATATATACAACGAAACGACTGATGATTAGCCATGGCTTCCGTAAGAATGCAATTTCCTAATTGATTGAATTTAACTAACATCTGCTAGATTACCGTACGTTGATAAACCCTTACACATCATTCTCCAGCGCCCTGACTTATAGCCAGCCCTTGCTATTGCTTTCCGATCCTTTGCAGCTTTGGCCGTCGTATATATAGTCGCTCTTCGGGTAGGGTCTGGTTCACGATATGGACTACTCAGATCAGGGGGGAAGGACTTTCTCCCGAACAAACGTTGGGCAGGCATGATACCCGCGGCATTTGCGGCCGCGGCATCAGTGCCCATGTTACTAGAAGGGGTACTCCATATGCCGAGCCTCCCAGTGATAGTCATGGCTTCTGTAAGTGATATTGGGTGACTTGTGCCGTGAACGCCTGCTGACCCCAACAGCCCGTGGTCTATGCTGCAGAATCGCTTGTCTTATCTATCTGCTGCTCACCATCGCGGACTCAGAAACGGCTCCCATGGGAGGCAATAGTGGTTGTCATTGCATCTTGTGTGGTGCTGTACAACGAGTATCGTCTCATGGTGCCGGGCCTTATCTGGGGGCTTCTTGGTATTCTATTCATTGGGCTTTCCCGAGCCTGCTTCACTATAGGCTCTGACAGAGCTGGATTCGATCATTCTGGAGAGGCAAAGCTCAAAGCCTACCATGGCTTCGTCACCATGACTGTCACATTTGGCATGGTTTTCAGTGGAGTTGCCGGGCATTTCCTCGAGCATATTGACTCGATTTACCCTATGGACTATTACACGATTGCACTAATGTTCTTGAACATGCTTTCAATCATTGGTACTGGCTTTTCTGGAACGGGCCTCTTGGCTTATTCGCCCATCTCGTTCGACAATCAGCGACACTTCTCCAATGTCCCCTTACGAGGTGTGGAGTTTGCCGCCGCATTTCTTTCGAACACCATTGTTTTACTAGTCGCTATGTTCTCGGATCCAGTTCCTGTTGTCTCGTGGGCCCAGCTAGCTGCATATCTTATTTCGTCTTCCTCCTTGCTTGGAGCGGACCAAGTTCAAAGCTTGGTTGTGGGCTTCATGGGTGGCGCCAAAAATTCAAGCTCGAAATCCGCCCCTACCGAAAAGCGAAAGTCAGGCAGGTTACTCCCCAGTCTAGCTCTCGTTGTTATGATAACTATATCGTCTTGGGCTGGGTCCTACCTTTCTTCGTTATCCATCAACTCCATCGGGAAAAGCTTGCCCAGCGCACTCGATCTTTCTTACAAGCCCAGTTCGCGTTTCGATATCGTTGTCAGTGTGTATAATGAGAATCCAACACTCGTCAAAGAGACACTGGATGCCATCAAATCCACCGCCATGCTCAGCACAATCAAGCCGAATATAATCATCTACTCTAAAGACCCGGATGCCGATGTTAAGGAGTTGAAAAAGGCTACTGGTGCCGATGTTGTGGAAAAGCTTGAGAATCTAGGTCGGGAAGGAGCCACTTACCTCCACCATATCGTTAATAAATGGGACAAGCTCGCTGAGCAAACCATGTTCATTCAAGCACATGCACATAATATGCGCGAGCTTATCCCCAGAATCAACGACTACCTTGTAACCGAGACCGGTATGCTGAGTCTTGGATTTACAGGTATGGTCTGCGACTGCCAGACTTGTGGTGATCGTTGGGGGTGGGAAGATAAATACAATACCGTCCCACAGCTATTCGAACAAATCTACAGGGAACCCTGCAATCCTCGGACGCCTATACTCCTCTCGTACAAGGGACAATTCGTTGCCAGCGGGAAAAGGATCAGAGGTATCAGCAAGAAGATATATGAGGGGCTCTTGACAACGATTACGAGCAAGGATGGTGAGAGCCATAATGAAACCATTGTTGGGGATAATGTGGATACCCCTGATAATCCATATTTTGGATTTACAGTGGAGAGAATTTGGGGCTTACTGATGCAATGTGCTACCGATGGCGGTGTTGCTGCCAAGTGCCCAAGTCTTCTGAGTGGTATGGGAAGGAATGGCAAAGTTAGTGATTGTCAGTGCTTGGATCGATGAGCAAGCAGGCCAAGAGGCATATGGCCAACGATTCACGGAGACTATTATCTATCGATTTCAGGGTGCTCATTTGAAGCACATCAATACTCGGAGAAGCTGGAAGCTCACAAGAGAGGCACCAATAGAGACTAGGGCAAGAGAGGAGAGAGGTCGCTCGATGGAGTGGTTAAAAGTGATCATGCTTCGCAAAATAGTGTTGTATGGAGGAGTCGACCGGAGATGTATTACCAATGGCGGCGCTCCCGAGAAACCTAAATAGACTTTGAGTGATTGGACAGATTCACCTTCAGTATGGTGAGTAGTTCTTCTTTAATAGATACCCTTAATACACTAGCTGCCATGTCTATTATTACGAACTGAGAGTGACGAAGTTTGTGAGAACAAGTGCTAGCCGACGAAATAAATGAGCTTCGAAGCAACAACTCAGACCCTCGTAGTGACTGCTAACTTAAGGACCCTTTGATATATTTTCTTTTGCGGTTAGGCATTGACTCTCTTACGGCGCCAGCCGAGGGCCGTTTTTTTGGGCCCAAATTCCTTTTTACTGGGCTGATGTCGATGCTAAGCGGCCATTCGCCAACACAGCAATCCTCCGTATGGGAAAAAGGAAAATGCCCAGATGCACCAGCATAATTTGTCGCTCATCGCACTCTTGGCCCGGAAACGAGCGCTCCCATTATCCGTGCATAGGATTCATATTATTTATGCATATGATTTCCATTGCAGGATCTCACTTATGCAAGTTGCCCAGCATCACTACGAAGTATTCAAGTACCTTAAACCTTAAACCTTAGCACCTTAGTACCTAAGTACTCCAAACAGCGAGTACTTCGTAGAGCACCACTTCGCTCCGGAGGACCTCCCTCCTTTCTTTCAGCTACAAACGCCAGGTACCTACGTCAGGAATGCAATACAGCTTCACATAATATAGTATAATGGATATATAGCCCTCTCTACTAATATACTTGGGACTGTACCCCACAAGCAAGAAACAAAACTCTACTCTACCGGTAGTATATTTCGTACCCCACAACACAAACCCCGCGCTCTGGATTTATCCACGATACGCTCCGTACCAGAGTACTCTACTGTGCTATCCGCAAGAAGCAAAAACAGCTATAGTGACAACACATCGCGGTGATCGCAGCCCACGCCACCACCCCGCACGGCGATCCTGCTCATAGGCTGTCTCGCATAAGTCGCCTCCCGCGACATTGCTCCGGGCCAATTCTCTGCCGTCGCCCGGAAAGAGGGTGCATGTGCGATGTGCAACAAATGCTACAGCGACAGACCATCGCATCGAGTACATAGTACACGGGACTTTGTTAGTAAATCGTTACGGTGGAGGGACACTACTGGACTGGAGCCTGAGAGACGGGTGGGCCAACCGTTGGTATGCCCTCGGGAAGAGCAAACAAAGGCTAGGCTACGAGGCAAGATATCAATAATCTATAATAGGTTCTCGGAAAAGAGCTACCTACTCAGGCTATAAGAAGCCGAACTTTCGTATATTTTGACCAATTCTTCAAGGCCCCTCGGAAAGAGGGTGCATGTGCGATGTGCTACAAAAACCACAATGCTCCAAATCATCCCTATGAGGATGTGCCTCGTACAATCTTACATGTACCTCAAAGTAGTACAGAAATGCTTTGTTCGACCAATAACAACAGGCTAAGGAATGCAGAGACTTTTTATAGGACCAGTCTGTTAACCTCAATCTTCGATAATAAAGTTGAATTATTGCTCACATGACTTGGTTAGAGTAGACATGAGACCTCTAACTTCTCGATCTTTAGATCGTCCTCTAGAAGTGTATGCAGGTCATTTTCTACCACTTCTGTAGGCACATGGCTCACGATACAGAGAAGGCTTATAAAGTAACTTATGGTATTGAAATAATGTAGTCAAATAATCCCCAACAGTTGAGGCATGCCCCTCCGAGTATGATGTACAACAAAAGGTTCGCCCGGAATGTCGTCAAAGTCCAATCCCAAGGCGGAAGAGCTAGATAATATTCACAAGGATTGGTACACCCCAACCTTCCAGATTCAGCATGCAAGTGAAGGGTGATATAGCCAACTTCTAGGCGTCATACCTAATAAAGGTCCATCAAGCCTCTCCCGATAGTTCTAAAAGATCAAATATTAGTTTAAAAAGGTCAAACCACTCATAAGCTGTAGGGCACTGTTTCTTACCTCTAGGGTGCGGTATGCAGTAAATAATTCAAGCGGAGGATTTGAAAGAGTCAATTGCTCAAAAGAATTAAGGTATGAGTGCGATGTGCAACAAAACCAAATAGGTGGAATTGGAAAGAGTCAACTACTCAACGGAGTTGAGACATTGGTGCGATGTGCAGCGAAATTTTAAATACTAGGTGGGATTAGAAAGAGTCAAGAACACAGAGGTTTTATATGTACGATGTGCAACACAAGAGCTATCCAATGACTGAAATCTTACCAGTGATTAAGTCAAGAATACTGTACAGGGGAGTTGAGATATCTGTGAGATATGCAACAAAGGAGCCTGTGTTGTGCCTCTGGACATTCTCATGAAGATTCTCACAATGATCCACCCTCACAACGATCCTTCCTCACAACGATCCTCCCTCACAATGACCCTCCCTCACAATGATCCTGCCACAGTGTTCCTCAGTGATTTTTCGTCACAGTGTTCCTCACGAGGTGCGATATGCAACAAAACTTGCTCATACCCTCCCCTCTAATAGCATTCAAAAGCTCTTGCTGCACCTACAATATATAGCTCCAGAAGCATACATAACAGGAAGTTCCCGATCTCCTTAAACACTGAACTTAAACTTGCGAATATCCAAACAAGTAGTCCACAGCGACTGTAAAGCAAAGCCTTAAATGGGATATCTATAAACAGGGCAATTTAGAGTTTATGTGGACTCTAACAAAAAAAACTATGAGGCTTCTGGACAAGGGCGCTTTGCACCGCATATAAACTGTACAGGAATGCACAGCATCATGTGATATGGGTATTCTCGAAACTCCGTCACTCGGCATCACACTTCTGAAATACGGTAAAAATAAAAGGAATACATTAATATGGAATGAGCTATTAAAATGATTCCAGTCCCGAGATAGGTATCCTGAGCGTTTGCCAGACTCCAAATAGCCACGTGATTAAACGGAAACGAAGTCCCCCCCCCCATCCTTGACCGCAAGGAGACTTCCATATCAGAGACGATATTATTTTCAGCTACCATGTTATTGTGGCACTTTGCATTGTGTGCCGGCAACAGCAGGTAATCTCGGTCCCAAGCTGACGGGACACGAGTAAATATGCTCTCGTTTTCTGGTATCGACCGTCACCCGAGGGGGTATGAAGATGCCATATAATATGCAGGAACAAAGTAAATAAGATGAACACTTCATCTACAACAATATATTTCAGGGCGGAAGGCTCCCCGGGCAACACATATGGGGCACTGAGCGTGAGGGGAAAACAAACATGGAAAACTAGTATTCCAACCTTTCCAACATTCGCATTTGGCTTCAATTCTCACCGGATCGGATAAAAGGAAGTATCATCCTCGGGCCTCTTAATCGGGGTGTCATCTCAAGTGCTGACAGCAAAATCCAAGTTGGTGGAATTAAAATGGGAAAGGGTTTTATCGGTGTTGTGCCTCTGTGGAGTACGTTGCGAAATATTGGTGGCGTCTGATAGTGCTGATATGGCGCCACCTCATCTGGCAACGAACCTGATAAGGCACGATGCGCCCTGGCCCCTCCTTGGCAACTTACCAAAAAGGAAATGTAATATGCACAGGAGAGTCAGCATACGAGCCCACAAGCTTCCCATTCTTTCGGGACAATAATTCGTAGGGCCGAGTCGGATAGTACGGCTTGGGCCCGTAAGTTGGCTTGCGATCTTGGGTGAAGTACTTCGTATGGGGAACAAAAGGTCAATATATGCTGTCATGTGGGAAGGAGGGTGATGCCTGGAAAGGGGTGTTGTTTTAAGGTTGGGGATTAGGGGTAAAAAGGTACCGTTTACAAATCTACATTTTCACAACCGAAATGTGCAATATGTGCAATATTGTCCGCTGCGGCTTAGATTGCGCTGCGTATGCAAGTTCTATGAAGAGACTTCGCTTTTTGCTCCCTATAGACAGTCCGAATCTAGTGCGTGCTTGTGTGATACGGAGTTAATCCGTACTGAAATTTGGACCCGGAAGAAGCAGAAACTAATCCCCTAAGTCAATCTAGCAACAGCATCCTATGTCGATCTTAAGTATGGAGTAGAGGGCGAGAGTCGCGGTTCCCAAAGTCTTCAGATCTTGAGTACACAACTCTCTCGCTCTCCGGAGATTTGGGGTTCTTGCTGGGTGGCTGCCTGGTCGACTGCTGCATCTGTGTCTACATAATAATATCCTCCTGTATCCCAAGCTGGTTGGCGTTGGCTTATTTCGTGCTACATACTTGGCGGCAAAAGATCTGGGCGGTTTTGTGCGAGTCTGGTAACTGGTTTGCGTCGCTCTCCGAGTCTCTGGGCTGTTCGTGTTCTAGAACTGTAAGACCACGAGGGCGATCTGCCGTCAATGCCGCGGTGGGGCGGAATAACCCAAGATTGGTCCATTCTGGGCATAAATGGACTTCATCTATAACCCCTGCAGCACTTTCGTAGCCAAATTGGTGCTCGAGTATCGCTGTCGTGGCCAGGAGGAGGAAAGGAGGGAGTTCGACTGGCCCCGTACAGTACGAGTAGTTGTTGGCGTTTAGATAGTTTTGGCAATCGAGCCAACTACTGTACTGCACAGTCTCTCTTGGTTCATCAGCGTCTAGAACAATATTTAGTACATCCATACACGAGCGGAGTACCTACGTACTTCGTACTTTACCAAATTACTACCAACGGCGCTATGGCAGGGGCGCTCAACTCAATATTTCAATACTTGGGCTGCAGGAAACGGCGGCCGTCCAGCCCCCGGGGAAGCCCAGGACCGCTGCGCCGCGCCTTGACTCTCCCAAATTATCAGCCAGGTTGGACAACAAAAAGCCGCCGGCCCCCTCCCCTTGAAGATGTGCCCTTGGAAATAACTGATGTGATGTGGTGCGTGATCTTTATCGGTGATATCTGTCCCGTAAACCCTCCCCCTCCGGCATTAAGATCTGGCATATAGCGGATACCTCTCCTGCTCCGGATTAACCTTATGCGCTGGATTAATATTAATGTGCGCGTCGATTGATCCCATTCTGCCTGTACGTGGTACGTCAAAAGTCGACCACGAGCCTCGAAGATCACATCGCACCCACCGACCAAGTTCCGTTATAATCCCCCCAGAAGAACGGTGACCCGGTGCGGACAATTCCAACTACAGTCATTCTTTTACCTGTGATAGAATCCTCCTCGACGTCTGGCCATTCTTTCCGTTGGACGAAACACATATCGGGAGCCTTGACGACCGACTTCCTCTGGCGATATCCTCTTCACACCCCGCCTCGGTGATCGGCATATCGAGCAAGGGATCTGGAAAAGGTTAACATTGAGTGATTCCCGGGAAAGGATATCGTTCTGCACGGTACTGCAGTTCGTGGTGTAGATCAGTGTTCGTGGGATTCCAGATTCGGTTCCAGATCCAGCTTCCGAATCCTTGCGACGACAGCAGCTGTCGACGCCGAAGGCCGAGTGATGCTGGAACCACGATTATAGGAAGCACAATCTCGACAACATGACCACCGCCGGCGAATGGCGTCGAGCTTCGGAGGGAATTGGCCGTGAGACTGCCCCGTGTGGGTCGAGATCACGGTCCTCTGCGCAGTCGACGTCTCGAAACAATGGTTTCCCTCCGCGTTCTTTCTTCTCGCGCCACGTTCTCTACTTCGCAATTATAATAATATGCTTCCTGCCACTTTGCTCAGCAACTGTGTATATACAAGAGCAAATGGTCGAGATGGTTGAAGAGGTGCCAGGGTCGGAGGGATCGACAATGGACGGCTCGTCCGACTCGGGCAGAATTTTGGCTGATCCGTCCCCACCTCCAAAATCGCAGGACTGGGGAGACTGGACCCTGGAGTCAATCCAAGAACTTCGGCGTCGAGATGCCCCTTTCGATGTTATATCCTCATCTTCATCCTCAAACTCAGTTACCGAGAAAACCCAGACGGTGACGCGCACGGTGGCTTCCACAACATCATCGTCGTCAAGCGGCATCGTGACCGCCGCCCCTACCGATGCCTCCGCTCCCCTTCCAATACCTTTCGATAGTGGGTTCAACTCGAATCTTACTGCCAACTGTGCGTCGTTCATGAATACCATGCTCGCAAATGCCACCTTTCGACAATGCCTTCCAATATCCCTTCTACTCCAAGTAAGCAGCTTCCACCTAATGTATCCGCTCTCAATCACACCAACTAACACTTACTCCAGAACTCACAATCCTTCTTCCAAGCCGAAACATCCATCGTTCGCATAACTCGAACTCTCGACGCGACCTGCGCTGCCGATGTCTCCCTTTGCGGTAAAATAATGGATTCTTTGGGCCGCAACATTACTACCGATGACGCCTGCGCCTCTGATATAGCAAACCTAAATCCCCTAATTCTACAAGCGCGCCTCGGTCTCCTGGCCTACAAACCACTCTACACGGCATCATGCCTGAAGAACCCCGTTGCGAAATCCTACTGCTTCGCAGACGCCATCACCAATTCAAGCAACCCAAGCGATAACTATCTTTATTATCTTCCGTTGAATGTCAGTCTACCAAGCGGAAGCCAACCGACCTGCAATACCTGTCTGCACAATACAATGGCCGTTTTCGAGGCCGCAACCTCTGACCGGAGTAGTGCCATTGCAAACAATTTTGTCGATGCTGCCATGCAGATCAATGTGAAGTGCGGGCCCAATTTTGTCAATGCCAGTCTTGCTGCCCCAATAACATCTGATGCCCAATCATTGGCGCTGATGAGCGGCGGTATGCCATTGATAATGCTGGGTCTGGCAGTTGCGAGCTGGCTGTTTTAATTCGGAGGAAGTTTGCAGTATATATGGGAAGCTCTCTGAGCGATGGTGTTGTGCTTACTTTTCGTAATTTATACCCCAAGGATGGACTGGATATGGATTTCAGATGGCGTTTGTATTTTACTTGGCTAGGAGGGAATATATATCTTCTTCGCTCTCACCACCAAGGGAGCGGGAATTGATAAAGACTTGGATGCTTCCGTTTTTGGTGAATATTGGAGGTCTTATAAATACATACACAACAAAAAGTAAAATAGCTATAATAATTCATGTACATACTTGATATTATTTCGTCTTCATGCTTAGAATTTATTAGCTTCAATGCTCATACTTGCGTCTAATGATGACCCAAAGATAAATGAATCCCTAGCATGTTCTCATTCTACTGACCCCCTTAAGCTCAGTAGAGTTCTAATCCATGTCAATTAAACCTCGTTCTATAACAGCAACACCCGACTACCTGATTACTACCAAAAGGTTGAAACTCGGGTGTTTGGCAAACCCCGCTTTATAAACACCGGTTTGGCATCATGCACATCCACGGAGCATTCATTGCAGTTAGGCAATTAGATTAAGTCTGTTCTTAGTTGAACCATCTTATAATTACATATGCCAGTTAAGATTGTTAACCCGTAACACGTAGGTGGTTTGTACAACTCTCGGTTTCAAAAGCCAGATACTAGCAGTCTACGGACCCATAATACACGCAAAGTACGAGCCACTCATTCATAGTTGGAAACGCCTTCAGCCGGCCTTGCAAAGTGACTTCTGGAATCGTGGGAAAGGAATATCTGGAGAGTCGGGAATGATGGTGGAACACAGGATGGAGGCTACCGAGGGTTGGAAACCAAGTATAGCCAGGAGTTGATGAAGATCATCTTCAAAGAGCCATACCTAGATGTTCGATCTGCTTGTCTACTCAAATATCACCCTTTGCTCCTTGATGAGCCTTATATAGACCATTTAACGAACCTCCCCTTGCGTATGTCTCAAAATTGGACGACTCATTGGCTGGCACAAACGCCATTCGTGATGTAATAGAATACTCATCGTCTACCTTGGAGCCCCTCCCATCATATCCTGGCTCAGCTTTTGGGATGTCGACCTACGAGGATCGAGACTTGTCATTATCCTCACGCTGTTGATAACAGATCGAGGTCCTGGCATCCCGGCCATAGCATTAAGTGTTGGCACATAATTCAGAAATCCTCCAACTTAGACACACCATATGAAGGCTCCTCGTATGGATGGGCACTAGACAGTTCGTCAGGCCAGCAGAGAAAAGTTATTTAACACACGCATACTCTAACTCAAAGTTGGAAAATAACAAGCAATAATACAAACTTACGTCTTCAGCGCTACGACCGCCTTCCTAGCAATATCTTCGCCAAAGCATATCACTTCCACCCTAGCCTCCTCCGTGTGTTCCAGTTTGCCCACGCTTCCGATGTGTGGATTCGCTGTATCTCCAGGGCGGAACTGACCCTTACCCACAACGGTCCAGCAGCATTCAGTATAGTTCCCCCCAGGATAGCGGCCTGCACCAGCAGCGAAGATAGCGGCCTTACAGGCTTCGACAGCTGGTACGGGCGCGAAGAAGACAAGCCTAAATTTCGTAGCAGCAGCAGAAACAACGGTCGCCATTTCGGAAAATGTATCGGAATGTCAGGTTGCTTTGGTTCGGGAGTTCAGAATAGGGCATGACCTAGATCTAGTAATGTGCTACTTAGGACGTTGTTTTCGTTCGAGGTAGATTTACTAATGCACCCTTGCCGAAGCCGAACAGGGCGGAGTCAATAGAGTGAGGTCGTAAGAAGTACCTATATAAGCTAATCCCTTCTTTATGTCAGAAGTTTATATAAAATAAAGTTTCAGCAATACAGAAACTATAAATCCTTCCTAATAATTCGCTTCACTCTTAGGGTGGCAAAGTTTAAAAGGCTACACCTGCTAGGTTTAACTCCTGTCGCTGTTGTCGTCATGCGTCACTTCTCGCTTACGAGTCCTCGACGCGCTCTGAAATCGCAACTGCAAAACAAAAAAACATCCAAGAACAATTCCTAATCTTGTAGCTACTTCGTTATAAAATAAAAAAAGGAAAATGAAAAATGAAAAGAGCAAAAATCCAGGAAGCGCCTTTCGGCGCCCGCCTCTGGATAAAACCAGACGAACTGAGTTTTATGCTTTTTTGGGCTGAGCCTTTTTCGAGATCTCTCTAAGATAAAGACAGTAACTCTCTCCAACATCGCACACACAATTTGATTCCTGACCACCTCGCCAGGTGGCCGGCCCTTGTGCCGATTAACATACTTTTGCGTATTTGGATTTATATAGTAAAGGGTGGGTGTCGGAAGCCCGGCGGTAAATGGTAGCGAGTGCGGTGGATGGTTCTGCTACGATATCACCTTATCCTTTGAGTTGAAGTAAAGTATCCCCTCTTTTTCTTAATATGATATCTTATCTAACCATTACGCAGAATACGGCACAGATCCTCCAAGATATGTGTTCATATCTTCCATCCTTGGTCGTTTGCTACCAACGAATCGTCTGGTATATATATAAGTCTCCTCCTATTGTGCAGTCCGAATCGGGAATGGCATGCTCAAAAATGGCATACGAATCTGTATTGCAAGACCCAACCTCTAGAGCTCCGCTCGATGCAAACGACTCATCACAGAATGGATCATCCAAATTTGTCCACGGAGCTAGTAATATAAGGCAGTGCAAAAGCCCTCACCACTGCACGAGCGTGTCAGCGAGAGGGTATCGTAAAGTATTGTATTTAACTATGCTACTTCCTTGGAATTGTCCTTTGGTATATAGATGTAGACTCATGATACGGTTCGTTTCCACCCACTAGTGGCAGAAAATGCGCACATCCACGGCACATATTTACTTAACCAGAGTCTTCTGGCCACTTCCGACAACATAGTTCAACACATTGTGCAGTACAATAAACCAGAAATTGCCAACCCGACTCTTCAGGCCGCTCAGGCCTATTTCGAGCAAAGTCCTCAGCTATCTTCCTTGACAGCGCAAATTGTGGATATACAGCTTGACGAATCTTCCCCAAACTCTCGGCATCAAGCGCCACTGCGATTGAAATCGAGGAAGCCGATTTCCCGAAGCTGGCGCAGGTTCAAGAACCGTTCCACTTGCTATTCCGACCAAGCGAGGTATCGGCGTCCATACTGTTTCGAATACAACAAAATGATAGCCTACTAATATAGTCAATTGCACGGCACCATCTATCAAACTCGACATTGACATACCACCGAGAGTTGGATACCATGCTGCAAATGTGCGGTTGCGAATTTCTGTGCAGACCACTCGAAAGATCCAATTAACCTATGCCACCACACGGCACTGAGCTGCCCCTGCCTGTCCCTTCGTATCACACTAACACCAACTGCCTACGCATATGGTGTATTGTACCGAGTAGTCGTATCCTTCCCGAGTGCATTTCGAATTTCGGCAAATGCAAAATCGCAAATGGCAAACCGCCATTGCTAGATTTCGGTTTCGAAGATACAAAATTTTTGAAGTCTTTCTAAATCAAGTCTTTGTATTTTCAGCTCTTCGTCCTGGCATGAATCTATGGCACCACTCCACTGTTCGGTGTCTGCATTTGATTCGCGGCTATTGGATCCATTGAAATGGGACTTTCATCATCGGGCTCCTTGGCAAGCCCCAAGGAGCTTTTCATAATACGAAATTTCCACCAGAGGGCGAATGGCGACAGCACGGCTAGGCTGAAGACGAAAGCTATCGTGTAGCTTATGACATCTGGGTGTTCGACATATATGATATTGAGAATGAAACCGAGGATGATTGCAGCTGAGAAAACAATTTCTTTGAACATTTTGGAGACATCCCCACACTCCCTGCAATAGATGGGGACCAGGAAGGTTGGCATGAGGTATACCTTCTTTGATGGGTAATGGATAAGGTACATGTACCTTCAAACCTCTTCGCCCCCAAACCTTAGGTGCCTTTGGAGGAGACATTGAGCTGACTTATATAAATGAAGATTGGGGAGCGATTTAAGCTAGCCAACGGCAGCGAATGACGATGGTGGGTGGTACAAACTGCACAGTCCATACCTCGTAATACGGAACACTACTGCCCCGGATTGCTGTCCAAATACGCGTTATCCCTGCGAAAGTCCCCTATTTTGGCTACCAAGGCTGGAGTAAGCGTGCTGCCAGCCAGTCGCATCGTCAATCCCGCCTGTCTAAATCTACCTAGGTACTTTGGTGACTTCACGGAAGGAGCTTCTGCATAGGTATTTTCTCGTATTGATAAAAAATTATAAAATCTGCTCGCATCCTCAGGATTCCTCACACCACCCTTGAAAGCTTGATTGGGCTGCATGGGGGCCGAGCTGAAGGCTTCGCTGGCGATTGGGAATTCAAAATGTGGAGCGCCAAAAGGAGAATTATGGGCGCAGTGCCTTTGGAGCTGAAGCTTGGCGTTTCAAGTATCCGTTCTTGCCAATGGGTTTGTGCATTTCGTAAGACATTTGCCTTGCTTTTGTTCCCTTTGCTCAAGAACTATCTTTCTGACGTGAGAGAACGCCTCCACCAAAGTCTACAAGATCCTTCATCCAGCAACCTCGCTACACAGCAACTCGATGTACCTCGAGTCTTCAAACCCCAACACTCTCATCAAGGGCTTTTGTACATGCCATCTGGCCAACTTTGGCCTGGGGTATATTCAGGAACTTGAGGCGGTACACTGGAGCCTGGAAGTCTTCATTCGTCGATCGCTACCAGGCCGTCGACTTTCATACCACTTACAAAAACTACGGATACAACCTATAATACATGAATTCTCCGTCATTGACTAGTGTATCTCTCACATCCGCTCAGAGAATCAAATAGCAAATAAGACCCACCTTTACAATACGAAGTTTTACAACTAAGATACATACTCGAGTATCGAATCGATATGAAGTGCAGCTATCTAGAGGAGACGCCAGTACCCAGCTCGTAGATAGCACAACGATAGGCCGCTGCTATGAAAATAGTTAACATATCGACATAATTGTCACGAGAAAAGCAATATATACCTGGACCATATTATAATAAAACTACTGACATAATACCTACTTATGATTTTTCTGACACGATCTTCAACCATTATTAACAGAGTGATATAATTGCAACCAGGCTTCATCCACCCAGTCGGGATTTCAGCCTTACTCACAATCGAAACCCACGAGAAGCACTATGCTGCTATAAACCCCTACTCGCAATGGCGATCAGGGGCCTGAGCGGGATGGCTAGTCTTTGGGAGCCCCGGGGTGCCACCGTCTCGTAGGTAAAATAGTCCTCAGGTTCCCCTCTTTCCTAGACCTGGGAAAGAATTGGGATCGACGACCCTTGCCTCTCGAGCTGCGGTCTGGATGGCATCTCTCATATATAGTTTCCGCCATTAAGGCTTGTAATATATAGGAATGGGTTTCTAGATCTTTGGAGGCTAGATTTGACGCTTACTTCCTGGACAGCTGACTGTCCGAGTTTGTATGTGAACACGTACGCAAATGTATTAGAATACCTGAGACGATTCAAAGTGCAAAAATCGATTTGCGCAAATAGTGTAGAATTGATTCGCTTAGTTGGATATAATTGTAGAGAGGAGTGCAGTAGGACCGCATATTTAGAAGCAGTGAGCAAAACAACAAAGTAGCGCACTGTCATGCATGATATTCTATCAGCTGAGCTCCATCAACGCCTGATGCTAAAAACCCCAAAAACCCCCAATAGGCACAGAGCAGAATCGCAGATTTATAAACAATCCAAAGAAAGAGGTTTGCAAAAGGCGAACACGATGTCCCTCCCCACCATTACAGGGCCTACCCACATTCCAAGTCGCACCCTCGTCTTCAACACACCACGTCTCTCGAACTGCTTAAAGATCCTTCTTATAAGCATGCTCGGGCTTATGCGTAGTTTCATAATCGACATGGACATACGCTCTCTCCACATCCGGCAAGCTTTCCAGCTTGATTTGCAGCTCCTCGGCAACATCATGGGTGTCTCTAAGACTAGCTTCCGGATTCATGACCACATCGACCTCAGCGATCAGCCTCGGGCCCGAATGATACACGCGCACTGTATCAATGCCCTGGATGGTAGGGGAGTGCGTGAGGCAGACATAAGTGATGAGTTGCTGGATTTCAACACCAGCAGTAACGCCGACCAGGAGGAGGAACTCGCTGAATGCGGTACGTAGCCAAATGACTGTAATGATGACTGAGATAATGATCGCTCCCATAGGGTCGACCCACCACTTTAGCTTAGACCCTCCAACAGACGTTAGAATACCAAAACCGTTGACGAGCAGGTCGTTACGATGGTCGCTCCAGAGGATTTTGATTTGAGAGTACTTGTCCTTCAATGCCCAACAGTATAGAAAGAGAGCCAATTTGGTGGCGAAGGCTATTGTGACTGCGATGACGGAGGGAAAGTGAAATGAGTTAGTCTCTTCCTCATTCCCATCTACCAAGGCGCGGATGGAGAAGGCGATCAGGATGAAGGACACAGCTGTCATGAGGAAGCAGAAAACGATATTTCCAACGGTCTCGAGGCGTGCTTTACCAGAGGGGAACCGATTTGGGTCCACACGCTTAACGGCACGGTTTGTGACGATCAAAGTGATGTTCGATAGAGGATCAAATACAGAATCCGCCATAGTCGTAAACAGAGACAGCGATCCAGATGAAACGGCACCGTATAGTTGAAGCCCAGCGAGCACAACATTCGCCGCAAACGATCCATAAACGGCAATCTGGAATTTGAGATGGTCGTCTCCAGCTTCCTGCTTCGCTTCCTCCTTGTGGGCTTCTACAGGTTTGAGCATGCGCTCTATATTCTCATTCTGATTCTCGTAGAACTTCTGTATCTTCCGTGCCTTGGACGCGTCATTGTTGAACTTGATAGGACCACATCCGTCTCGTTTCCGCGACGTGTTAGCCGCAATATCGCGGATCTCGCTGTCATTCTTGAAAGCTGACGATAGCTGGTAGGGATCGTTCTCGCGCGTGTATCGAGGTGGCCTCTGGTCTTCTAGATCGTTCGGTGCGCTCGAGATATGTCTTGCGATGGGATCGTTCTGCTCCGCTGTTGGCGTTATGGCCTCGAAGGCTGTGCTGGCACCAGGGTCCCTTGAAGTATTCTGTGGAATTGGGGTATGAGGTGAAGATATCAAGCGCTCTGGCTGATTTGGATGGTGATGGAATGGATGAGGATGCATGGTAATGCTGTGGGAGAGGTCCGGTTCCTGTGCCATGGTACAGCGGAGGACGGGGAAAGGGGAAATAAGCAGTTTGCGACAAAGACAATGATGAGGAGAAGAAAAGTTCCTTCAAAGATAATAGGACGCAACGCACTGTAATACAGAGCTATAGAGCGCGCAGTTGCTGAAGTTGAGAGCTACAAACCTGAGCCGATGCCGCCACCGACAATCTCCATCAGTGGGGTGAAAGTTCGCCTGCTTCTGCTTGGTGCGCTAGCCAGGCGCCATGGCAGAGAGCCAAGGGATGAGATAGCAATGATCATGGTATACCATTAGGAGTGATACTCGAAGACGATGTGAAGACTGTAGAAAATAGCACAATATTTTGTAGTAACAGTGGAAAGGCGTTAGGGATATGTAGTAATGTGAAACGGATCAGCTTCCACCTGACATTCCGGCGCATTACCTCGGGACGAGTAGTAACCGGGGATCGTTCGGGGAAAAAGTGCACTTAGCGCAAGCTATTAAGTTACTAGTTATCTATATTTCACCTTTAACTAGATAAGATACTACTAGTAGCAAAATAGGGACTTCCATCTCCAAAAGAGATCATCGTTAATATGAGCACATGCTAAACCCTGCCGTACAATGCCGAAATATGTCAAGAAGATAGCAAAATTTCACTAGATATTTAAACTTCTTTGTTTTCTCCTGTTTGCTTCTCTAGAATGATGGACGTAGGGGTACTCGATTAATATTATATAATTTGCAGACTAGAGGCTATACAACGCTATGCTACACTGCTTGCTATACACAAATCCTCCAAATGATTAGACAAGTATAAACCAAAGACCAACTAGTCTTTTTCATCCCAGTCATTGGAATCCATAAACGCCCACGCAAGAAAAAGGTAGCCTCGGGTAAGAGGTCTTGGGTATATTTCCACATCTTTCTCGTCTTCCGATTCCCATTACCAAGATATATATCGTTATTAAGAAGTGAATGAGTATGTGAAGAAGTTAACTATTTAAGGGCCTGGTTATTGAGAAGCCCCCGAGAGGCCTGTTGGTGTTCGGTCGTCTGGCGGCATCGACCCTGGGTAGGATATTTCGGGGTCAGGAACTTGGATATCAAGCTATGTCTAGGTTAGCTATAATTATTTTGTGCATCTACTTCGAGAGGACTCACATTCATATATCCAGTCCGCCTAAGAGGCACGATCCTCGGTGCAAAACCCGGTCCATCCTTGCTCTTTTGCTCCATCTTGGTATTCCACTCTTCTAAAAACTGTTCGACCTTAGTTAATCTTGATTTCACAGCTGTGAATCCAAAATCATCCCATATCCACCCAGTCACTAAACCCATTACGGCGTCGAAGATATTTCGCGCACCAAAGGGATTGAATGCAGGTACCAGCTCTTTATTAACTCGTTCTATAATCGTCCTGAAATCTTGTTCCGACACTCCAGCTGGATCGAGAATCTCGGGGTATAAGTTTGAGAAGGTAGGTGCTAAATCACCTTCCATCATCCAATCCCTCCGAATCCGTATGATGCGAGTTGTCTGGTATAGAGGTGACGAGAGTGGGACGTGCGAATTCATGTGTGGAAAGCATGGGTGCTGAGGTCCCCATTCGTCTGCCGCGTTGCCCGGAACTTCAGAGCCGATTATGGATGAATTATCCGAAGATATGGCTGACCCAATGCCACTATGTAAAGAGGTATTCGAGGCATTGTGCGGGAGGGTCGAGTTACCGCCAGGAATATGCAAGCCTTGAGGTTCGGGTCCGCGTTCGAGATCAGTCGACATCTTGGCTTTGCTTCTGAAAGATAATCCAGCTGATGGAGGTCCTAAGCCAACAGGACTTCCGTCCCCGTTTCTGAGATTGGTTATTTTGATGTGCTTGGGTTTTGCGCCTGCCTGATCCTTATTCCCCTCGTCAGTGTCGATTGCTCGCCCTTTTCCTTTATCTAGCCTGAACCTAGGAGACGTTGGGGAATTGCCTTTCTTGCTGCGTTCAATATCAATACTGACACTCCTCGGCAACGAGACCCTATTCGATCCGACAGAACTACCACTCCGCTCCACCTGTAAACTCGCCCTCGTAGATCCCAAATGTAGACTCTGTCTCTGCTCTGACAATGTCAGTAGAGGGTACGATCCTCCTGCGGTAGCTCCCTCTCGAGGATTTTCGATATCTGGATGGGATAGTGGGACAGCAATAGCAGCCGGGCCTTCTTTCTCTTCACCCCGCGACCGATTTCGCTTCTTTGTTGGGGCTCGTGGTGTTGAATTTGTTGGATTCCAAAGTCGTGCAGCACTAGGACGTCGACGGCCTCTACTGGTATTAGACCCGACGGTGCCCGAGCGATTTCTGAATGGGGAACTAAAATCGGGGTTCCCGCCACCGATGAGAGCGTTGCGTAAACTCCAGCGCGTCGGGCTAGTGACCCTTACTTGTGGACGTTTATCGTCTGTTGAGGCGGTAGGGACAGGTGATGGTGATGGGTATGGCGGCTGAAACGTGGGCGATGGAAGTCGAGGATTAGCCGTTGAAGCCGCTGCGGCATTTGAAGATTGGGATTGCAGGTGGGATTGCAGGTGGGAATGAGAGCGAGAATGGGAATGGGAATGGGAATGGGAATGGGAATGAGGCGTTATGGAGGTTCTCCGGCTTTTCGATGCAGACGGGACTGCGTGCGACGCCGTTGGAACGTTTGCGACTTTTGCCGTCGCAGGCGCGGTTGTGGTTGTGATAGTAGTAGTCGTGGTCGCAGGGTAGAACGACCACGATGGCAATGGCAATGGCAGTGTCGAGGATGCTCGTCGCGATGAGGCTTTAGATGTGAGATTGAAGTTGATGTCGAGGCCTTAGTGAGGAGCGGTGACCCGCAGCGAATGCGGTTTGGCGCCGACGCACCACCCGGGGGACTGGGAAAGGGGAAATATAACGGTAGCGACCACGACCACGACCACGACAGAAACCACCCAGAGATATCTGTATCTGGCGGGCTTAACTTTGATTTGGGAGTTGAATGATCGGAGTCTGACTTGGAGCTGGAGTCTGACAGCATCATTGCATCTCGATCGGCCAAACCAGTTGCCCGTTTCCTTGCCAACTCCAGGTACTCTTAGGGACGATGCTGGAAAGGCACGACATATATATATTTCTATATCCGGATTATTACTTGAGGTACGTGTGACGAAGCAACAGACGGAGGGGAGGAATCCCGCACTACTACTTGTTGGCCTACGCAGATAGGGTCTTATAGGGTCTTCGCCGCGTTGAAGTTCCGGTTTATGGGCTGCTCATCTGCCCTGCCCGCGTTGTAACAGGGACCACCCCAAAAGCAATTCCACCCACATGTCAGGAGATCACAGGAAAGTTGCAAAGGCTGCTTCCAATGGCCGTGTGCTGTGACGTTAACGGAGTATGACCCGTCCGAGCGGAGAAGGATTTCCTTTTGAATTCATGCGAAGCAACCCACACTCGACTAATTCAGGGGCTTGCCATAAAACTCCAGAAGTCCGATTCATCTGCTTGCTGACGTCGACTCACTCCTCGGTATACTCGAAGCAGGAAAGAGCATGGTCCGAGCATTTACTGTATGCTCTTATCGGCCTGTCAGCAATGACGGACTGCACTTTTTTTTGAATTATTGCATTGCACTGTAGAGTACGGAGTATTTCCATAGGACTGACCAGATATTAACTGAGCGGAGTTTTCCCAAGTGGGTTGCTCCGGGAGAGCTTCGCTAGGCCATCCCGAGCTTAGACCTGCTAAACCCCCCTTTTCTGAATCCGAGACTGTTGTACAGGATTTTAGGGGTAAATGCCGCAATAGCATAGGCCCGCCAAATTCCCCTGTTTGCTTCATAGATTCGTTTAGGAATTGAGTCCGGTTCGCTACAAGAATATTTCTCCAGTCTTAATTCTGAATTTATAACTAACCAAGGCCCGCAACCAAGTGGTGGGATATCCGGTTTCAGTTTAAGCAGGCTTCTGAAGTATCATTCGTTCTTCGATATTACATCGGGATTCCATCTCTAAATCTACGTTAACCCCAAGGACTAGGAATTGCTTAAGGGGATGGGTGTTCGAGAAAACATATACTTGTTCGATAGTTCTGGGAGTCTAGGAACCGCAGTTATCCACTTAAGGCAATGAATGACTTCACGCCAAGAAGAAAAAGTAGTGTCAGAAAGGCAAAAGAGTTCAGCAGCTGCGGTTTGAGGAAGTCTTGCAATACCCGGCCGAATAATGCGCACATGCTTCACACCTCATATATCTCCTAAGTTGCTCAATGGGGTAATGAGCACGTGCATCACGCTTTATATAGTCGCGCCTACGTCTCTACCTCGGACTCGGGATGGCAAGGGTTGGGCTTAACAACTGAGGCGAACGCGCTCGGGATTACTTATTCTGGTTTATATACTCACCTCGAATTGTGTTCGGTCGGCGATGAGGTGAGCAGCCGAGAGGCCGGCCTAGTCCTCACTGCTTCGCCATCAAAACGTTGTATATCATACTCACATCAGAAGAAAGGTGAAGGATTAAAAGTATTAAGGGGGCTGCTCTGCAGATATTACTGTTGGAGTTATATGTGACTCTTCTAATGAAAACCTAGGAATCAAGAGCGACGTCAAACGAAAATAGCAGGTTATATTATGAGCATAGATGCTCATTCAGCGAACCATCTTGCTAGTTATCATCTTCTAATCCAACCATCCCCAAAGAATCAACCCACAGCTTCTTCTCCAACCCCTCATCAAAAGCATGAGGCACATATCCGGGTGCGGACGGAAGACCCACTTGAACGAGTTTCCCTGCCTCCTGACAATCCTCCAAATATTTACCTCCAACACCCTCCCAATCCTTCGCCACAGCAGCAAGGACCGTGGTAGCAGCGCCTTGCTCCAAACTCTTAACCCCTTTCCACTTCCACCACTGTTCCTGCACATCCGCAGGAACATAAGTCTGTAAGCCCGTGTGAATCCCTCCTGGATTCACGCTATTAGCGTGCAATCCCCTCGCTCCATACCGGCGCTCAATCTCATTCGCCATGTATATATTGGCAGTTTTACTCTGTCCATAAGCTTTGAAGGACCCATACTCATTCCCCGGCTTCTCGAAGCCATAATCATCGACTTTAATCCCGCTCCCACGATGTCCAGAAGAGGAAAGTATGACAACTCTGGAGTTGAAGGTTGGGGTAGAGCTCTTGAGTAGTAGATCATTGAGGCGATTGAAAAGTAGGAAATGCGCAAGATGGTTAACGCCGAATTGCGTCTCAAACCCGTCTTTGGTCTTCGTCAGCTCGGGGATGGCCATCACGCCCGCGTTGCAAATTAAGACGTTCAATCTCCCATTACACCGTCTTCGGACATCCTCCGCGGCTGCATTAACGCTGGAGAGAGATTCCATTTCCATCTCAACTAACTCGACTCGGCCTGGCTCTAGGATCTCTTTGAGAGCGGATTCGGCTTTGGGGATATTGCGTGCTGTGAGGAAGAGCGTGGCCCCTGTACTAGAAAGACTGCGTGCGGTTTCGATCCCGATGCCTGAGGAGCAGCCCGTGATGAGCATTGTTTTGTCTGCCAACTTTCCTTCTAAGGAGTCATCGGAAATGATTTGTTGGGCAGTGGGGCGAGCGTCGCCTGGTCCTTGGACGTTCTCATGGAGGTGGGCGTATTTAGCTGAAGGCATTTTGTCCTTGAGAAGGATATTGTTGTAGTATGGCCTTTTGAGCGGCGGGTAATTTGGAATAATGTGTTATGAGGAGTAGATGGGGCTGGTGGTGATAATGATAATGATGATAATACCGACCGTTCCATTTTCAAGAGCTGTCGGTGCCAGCAGGCTTTCTTTATATATAAATGAAAGGGCAGAAATGGAAGTAGTTCGATATGCAGGATCACGGAAGCACTCCCGGAGTTAAGATGTTATGGGCGAGGTTGTATATTCTACCTAGGTACCTGGTCTGTAAGCGGATCCTCACCCGCGGATTTATTAACCCATTTGCTGCAGTCGGCTTACAGCCCCCTGCTATGGCCTACAGGAGAGCCATGCTCCACTAGCATATTGTCCGTTTGCCTAGTACGGCCAGCAGCTTCCTTCGCCCATCATGTTCATCATCTTCCTGAATCTCCCCAAGTGACAGCAGCTCCCCGTCGATTGTACTAATGCCACGCTGTGGACTTTCCCGGGACGATTTAACTAAATAGCTCCTAATCGTAGGCATGTCTCCAATATTAAGCTTGACGCCATAGATATCTCGAAGACACTATGTCGAAAGGGTATATGATTATACTTGATATGCCTGGCAAACGAGACAGCCAAGAAGGAGTTCTTCTGTGCTTGTAGTTTAGATGTGTAGTTGAGTTTCACCAAGCCATCTACTGGTAAGGCGGTTGCATTAGTCTTTCGAATATGTGTTTGATTGGTTGGTGACTATAAGCCACAATTAAAAATCGACGTCTCCTCCTATTCCCACACTGTTTAGTATATCCGATACTATACAGTAGGATATTCCTCCTACCGATATAAAAATACTATCGTTTCGCCATTGGACACCACCCCAATGGCCTGAATTCACAGCCCTGTCTCCTCTAATATCCAAAAGCGCCTAATACGTCACCCAGTTTGACGCCTATATCCAACTTGTCAGGTACCCTTCCACGCCTCGCACTTTATTTCTCACTGCGATCGCCCTTCGCCCACGCTCTCAAAACATTCTTCTTCAGCTTCCCAGTGCTGGTCTTGGGCAACTCATCGACAACTTCCACCTCTCGCGGGACCATAAATTTACTTATTGAACTCTCATTCTTCGCCCACGCAATTAGAGCTTCTCCTGTGAGGGATTTCCCGGCTTGCACTGTGATGAAGGCCTTGGGACGTTCGCCCCAGTGAGAGTCAGGGACGGAGACGACGCCAGCTTCGAGGACATCGGGATTTTGAACTAGCATTGCTTCGAGGGCCACGGAGGAGATGTTCTCCCCACCTAGAGTTGTATACCGTCAGCACTAGAGACTCCAAAGACTTAATAGAGAGCAGGGGGGGATGGTAACGCACCAGATATGATAATGTCCTTCGCCCTGTCTAAAATTTGCGTACTTCCATCGGCATGCCAAACGGCCAAATCCCCACTATGTAGTACACCCCCATCAAACAGTTTCCGGGTCGCCTCCGGATCCTTAAAATACTCCTTGGCGCAGATATTCCCAAGAAATACAATCTCTCCGATTTCCTTCCCGTCTTTCTTCACATCAATAAGCACACCTTCGGGCTGCTCTGTCTTCACGACTCGAATAGGCAACGCTGTGATGAACCCGTGTCCTTGGCGCGCCATACGAGCGTATTTCTCTTTTAGAGGGAGAGTTTCCCATACAGGCATATGGTAACCTTTGGTGATTGGACCGTATGTCTCTGTAAGACCGTAGACGTGCACGGGAAAGAGATTAAGATTTGTCATTTGCTCAAATAGATGGGCAGTTGGTGGAGAGGCTGCTACGGTTACACGGACCGGTTGCTCGAGCTTGACTGCTGATTTAGAGGCACACAGAATGGTGTTGACGGTAGGTGCGGCGTTGAAGTGTGTTATCTTTTCGTCTTTGAGAAGGGTCCAGATCAGGGGGTAATCAATTTTGCGTAGGCAATAATGTGTGCCCCGTACTGCAGTCACGGCCCAGGGGAATGCTGAAATCCGGTTAGTAAGTTCTAAAGCCGAAATGAAAAGATATTTTCTTACTCCACTAAGGTGAAAGTTAGCATCTATTGTGTGTTATAATGCAAGGAAGCGGGTATTTGGGGAACTGGACTAGACTTACACCCATGGCATGGAACATAGGCAAAGTCCACAGATACTTGCATCGTCCAAAGTGATAATTTAGCCCACTCTCAATGACATTACCTATCGTCGCTAGGTACGCACCACGATGGGTATAAACGACGCCCTTTGGCTTAGCAGTTGTGCCGCTTGTAAATGGAATTGCAATCGCAGCATTTTCGTCGTCGCACTGGGCCTTCAAACCTTCCCATCCTTTGCTTCCCGTCGCTTCATCATGCCCTAGGCCTTCTAGAACAGCTTCATCAAACGGACCTGACAGCTGCCCAGCCGTGGCATCTGTATCTGTATCCACAATGAAAGGTACAGAAGGGTGTTGTTTCCGGAAATCGTCCAGGAGATGCACATACTCGGCATCAACGATTATGGAGTCCACCTGCTCATATCATATATCAGCCCACTGATTCTCCTTAACATTGAATGATCTTCCCTTCACCACAGGGATGTTCATCCGGTATCTCGTCTGATCTCAAACACATAAAAAGGACCGCCAAACTCACCTCACCAAACTCAAAAATATAAGAAATATCCTCCATCTTCAGCCGATAGTTCACGGCAACATTGATACCTCCAGCCGCTGCAATCCCAAAGATAGATTCCAAAAACGCCGGCGTATTAGGTGCCAGAATCCCAACTCTCTTGAAACCATGCTTCATGAGAAAGTAGGCAAGGCCCCGGGCGCGGTCCGCGAATTCGATGTAGCTACGGCGCAAGACCCGATTGTTGGCTGTGACATGGTATATGGCGGTGGCTTCGGGCTCAATTTCGGCCGCACGGGGTAAGAAGAATGTAGGTGAGAGTTGGTGGATGTTTGTGGCTTGCGGTGAAGGAGAAGAGCTGAATGGGTGGAGGATATGAGAGGTTATTGCTTGGAGTCTGGAGGCTGGTGGTGACATCTTGGCCAGTCGTTTCAAGTCTGTTCTTGATGCTTTATCTCACCTGAATGACTGGCAGACGAGCTGAGGGAGGAGGCTGAGAGCTCGGGTACATGTAAAACCAGCGATTGATGCCGGTTTGATAGATTGATTGGAGTCCCTGGGACTATTGGGACAACGGGAGACAAGAGATGTAAAAGAAAGACAGATATAGAGCGCTAGAACTCTCTAGGAGTTTTATAGTTGAAGGTATTACCAAGGTATTGTTCCCGGTCGTTCCCCTACCGCACTCCGCTCTGCGGAATCGCCTCCGCAGATATGTACACCCTCGGTAGCGGGGAAATGGCTTGAACTACCGGTACTTTCAGCGGGGACAAGACTAGCGGTATCGGCATCCCCCATTGCTTAAACTTAAGTACATATATATAGAAGGGGATTGCTATTGCTGCTGAAAATAAATTGCGAGGAAATCGATTGGAAAGCACCTGTTGGTTATCTACTTTCATATAGGCATTCAAACCGGCCAATGTACCGACCCGGACGGATAACAAGTACCTGGCATTTGACATGCGTACTCCGTAGAACCGAAGCGGCCGCGTCATATGACTGAGCCGAATGGAAATTCCGGGTTAGGTTATGATAATCGCACCTAGCTTTTTATCTTATTGAGAGATGGAGTATTTCGTAGACATATGGACATATCAGACGCTAAAATTCCACTTTTCTTTTATGCCATTGGGACGAAGGGTAGCCAAGAAAGATATATTGATACTCCATACCTAGAGAGGGATTCTTATAAGGCCCAGTGCCTGCAGAAAGCAGCCACCCTAGCGGCCTTTGGGAGCTGGTAATTAGTGTTTAGCATGATCTGTAGGGGCTTCCCCTGTGCGAAGATCTTGAGAGAATATTATTGTGATTGCTTCCAACTTCACGTAACACCAGTGACACGATCGAGTTGTTCTTGATTCTGATTTCATTTCCCTATGAGCGGCCTGCAAGACGAAAGCTTATACACAGCAGAGGCCCAAAGCTTCATCAGCGCTTTTTTCCCGATGATAGCAACCCTCCGTCCCGTGCATGATGTGTGATGGCGAACCAGCTTTGAGGCATCTCCCCGTGAGGGCAGACCAAAGCATTGACGAAGTTTGTTGGTGTTCAAAGGAAAACGCAAACACCCGAGAAATCCCACCACCCAGACTTTCCGAATATTAAACACGTAATGTCTAGTAGCCGTACTCAGCCAACTGCTTCTTGGTCTTCTCATCAACCTTCGCGGTCTTCTGGGCGTCGGCGAGTTGTCTTCGGGCCGCCTTCTTCCGGGCGTAATATGCGGCACCCTTAACCTTCCGTCTCTCCTCGAGTCTGGTACAGAATTAGCACCCCATTCCCATGTTCTCAAACCATCCTCCAGGAATAAAACTAACCTCGCAACAACATCCTGGTACTTCCATCCGACCTCGTGGCTCAGTCTACCAACTGTGCAGTACTTGCGGCCGGGCTTCAATCTCAGAACTCTCAGGGCTTGAGGGACAACCACTCTCTTGACATGGTCGTATGGTGGTGGGACACCCTCGAAAACCTTAAGTCTCTCCATGGCAGCGGCACCGCGAGCGGTCTTGTGCGGGATCATGCCACGGACGGTCTTGTAGAAGATTCTTGAAGGAGCGCGGAAATGGAAAGGACCTGTCGTGAATTAGACATCATATCCCAAATGCACCAGGGGCCACAGATTTGCAGCCTCGACATAGCGATGGCTTACCTCCTCGGGTTGGGTTGTATCGGGTCATCTTTCGGAGGTATGCGTGGTACTTTACTAAAATCCAAGAACAGTCAATCTCCGGTTCCAGTTGCGCTCGACCAATTTGTCCTCCGCCAATTCGATCGTTTCAGAGATATGGATGTATAACGTACGCTTCGCACGGAAGAACTCTCCAGAGATGTTAAGGGCTTCGCATCGCACAACGACGATCTTCTGACCGTTGAGGAGCTGCTTGGCCACAGTGCTTGCCAGCCGACCAAGTAGATGTCCCTTGCCATCCACGACGATGACGCTCTCGAAGGACGACATGATAAACAAATGTCGGAAGGGTTGCCGATATCCTCTACCTTCTAATGTCGGAAGGGTTGTCGTTGAATTCGATCTTGATCGGAGGAGGAATCGCGAAATTGTGAGGGTGAGGATTAACGCTTCGCCCTAGCGTTGTTTTAGCCGAACTCGGAGCCGCATTAATTAGGGCCCACAAACCCTGAGCGAGTTTGGAAAATCGAAAAAATTAAAAGCAAGTCTAAGTCAGTAACATGAATTTATTAACTTTCTTTTGGCATTTGGTCATTTGATCGGGTGAACTAGCTGAGGGCTTCAATATAGCGATAGGTGGCCTCGTAGTCGTAGTGGTAGTCAAATTGAAATGCACAACGCAGATGGCAAGCGGTAGATATCAAGACGAGAACAAATAGCTCTCTCGTATTAGGGAAATCCTACGTTGTCCCATCGGACATAATGTAGCCTATAGCTCTATATACCTACTTGGGTTCTTATACAAACACGGAATGCTGGAGCGCTCAATAACCGCCTCCTTTCCTGAGGGGAGAATATCACCCAATGCAAACAATTCGTAAATCCTCTATGAATCTGACGAGGAGAATTATGCCGCTACTTTTGCGTCTAAGCCATTCAGGACGCCCTGCGTCTCTTTTACCAGAGCTCGCCTCTTATCCCTGGCTTCATTATCGCCATCTGTCTCAACAGCATCCAGTTTCAGCAACACCTCGTTCATAATGGTCTCTGCCAATTTCGTGTGCTCAAAATCTCTCCTCTTTGGATCTTCTGGCGGTGCAGCAGTAAACTGAACGCAGAGAGGGAGGATCTTCGTGTGGAAATGCGAAGAAATAGCCTGTAACTTTGCTAGGGGTGACTGGGGCGTTGGTGGCGCAGGGGAGACGGTTCTCGAATTCGTAGAACTTTGGCCGTCTGCTGGTGATAGATATGGGTCACCCTTCTTCTTCCCCTTCTTCTTGCTCTTGCTCTTGCGAACCCGCTTCTTCTTCCCACTCCCTTCTGTCGCCTCACTACCGTCCTCAGAATCGTCGCTGCCCGCCTGCGGCTCTCCAACCATACAAAGGATCTCTGACTGATTCCGCAGACCGTAGTCCCGGCACGGCCTATAGTCATCCTTCAGCTGCTGCCCCTTATACAGCAGCTTGACCCTCCGGCTATCTGGGAGGTCCATAACCGTAGCGGCCCGCTCCTTCAAATCCCGAACCTGAAGCTTCCCATCCCCAATGCTATATGATGGGAATTTAATCGGATACGTAGTGCCCTTGTTCTTAATCAACAGGATATCATCTTCCGCTGCCATGGAAGGCGGAGGTGGTCGGTGAGGATCGTATGATGCGCCCGGCCGCTGCAGGTCCTCCGAGGTAATGTATGAGAAATCATCTTCTGTGACGTTTGGCGGGTAATTTCGGGATCCAAAGGGCGATGTACGACTGCTACCTCCGCCCCAGAAAGAGCGCCAGCTGCTCATTGAGATGATTGCTGTTGCAAGGAGGAGGACGATGCTGCCAGCGAGGGCACTGGGCGGAACGCTGTCAAGGCGTGTGTATCGGGCCGCGTTGGAAAGGTAGGTCTGCGTAGAAGGAGGGAGTTGTGAATATGCGGCAGAGATGTGAGAGAGGGAGGTATCGATGTAGTTCTGAAGAGGGTCTGGAAGGCGCTGCAGTATCGACGAAACGACGGCACCTTGCGATGCCGCTGCGTTGGAAGCCACGGTGACTGATGTAATTCTAGATCCCCGGCGATAGGGCGCGTATCACCTGTCTTAGTAACACTGGGCTTTTGCAGGATCGAGAGGACCACGTAGACATGTGAGGATGACTGCGCTCAGTAGTAATGTGATGGATGAGGACGGTCCAGTGTCCAGAGTCCAGAGTCCAGTCTGTCCCTAAGCAGAAATGTCTTGTCGTGTTTTCTTCAGCCTTGGCCCAAAGGAGTCGATTGGTCCGGATCGGGGGGTCGCCTATTCAAGACTCTGGGGGCCGAAATGTCGAATTTGTATGGGATAATGACCAGGTCATCCGTTCTCCAGGTTTCTTCTGGTGCATCACGAATTCAGGTCATCAATGCCTCTCCTACAGAGGGCGCACAATACGCAATTCCAAATGCCCCAAAGTGTCCACAGCTCTGCGACAACAAAGCCGCAGCGACTAAGCCTGATCTGTAAGCCGGAGGTTACTAATAATAATAAGTCTCTAACAGCTAACAGCCTTTCCTCTATTGCCGAGGTTGTACAAACCCCGTTACCACCGAAGGCCAGCGAAACCCCAAAAGAGTTCTCGAACACTGTCGCCAGTTAATTTATAAGCGCAGACGCTTTTGCGTCATTGCTGCTTAGATATCGGCTAGATACTGCAATACGCACTAAGGGAGGAGGCCCTGGGTCCTGGGAGTGCATCATTGCAGTTACTTCGTACTGTACTAGCAGGCTAGTTCAACCGTGCGGATCGTACCGCGCATCCCTCTTACGCCTTCTCTTGCACCCTTCCGCCTTCCACAGCGTCAACGGGTTAAAATACCTAATAGTAATCAACCGCCCTACCAATCCTGAGTAACAGCGCTATATTTCCCCTCATATTCCTTCGAAGCACTGTATATAAATATCCAGCAACGACCTCTTATTTCCTTTCCCCAAGTCCCCCCCAATACAATCGCCCACCATTCTCTTCCTACGCCGTTTATTTTCGACAACTTCTGTCAACCCCGCAAACATGTCTGCAGCAAAGGTCAAGGCGCAAAAGATCATCGAGGAGAACCCCGTCGGTAAGTCGCATTTCCGCAGTCTTCCTCCTTCCATACTAGAGATAATCGCTAACGCTGGATTGTGTAGCGGTCTTCAGCAAGTCTTACTGCCCATATTGCAAAGCCACCAAGGCCACTTTGGACCAGCTAGGCGCAAAGTACTTTGCCATCGAGCTTGACCAAATTGGTAAGTTGAACCCTAGCCCTGGGAAGAGAGTTTGGTGCTAATACATGTGTCCATAGATGATGGATCTGCAATCCAGAATGCGTTGAAGGAGCTCAATGGACAGTCCTCGGTTCCCAATATCTATATCAAACAGCAACACATCGGCGGAAACTCGGATCTGCAAGCCAAAAAGGGCGAGCTACCTGAGCTCCTGAAGGCTGCCGGTGCGGTTTAGAGGGGAGGTCAATTAGATATGAGATTACGGACATGCGTACCGCGATATACGGCCTAGTACTGATAGATGCATGAATATATCGAGAACAACGAATGGGAGGCAGTCCAAAGAGAAAAGTCGCGTTGTGATGTCTATTTAGGTGGATATTGTTCACCAATATATCTGTACAAAATCATACAACCTGTGTTGCCACCGTACCAACAGGGCGCTCCACAAATCCCATAACCCCCTCGACGATACCTTTCCTTGCCTCTTCACTAGCCACCTTCTTGCCAGCAAGATAATTCAACCAGATTCCCCGTGAAATTCGCTCATCAGCAATTTCCCCCAGTCTTTGCGCGCCATTCTTCCCGTCGTCATACCAGACTACCAACTTCCCTTTTTTATCTCGGCTCATAAGGACCTCCTTTTGCTTCGGCACGCTCCCTCGATTAAAGAGCGACTTGAACTCATTCATCGAGGCCCCGAATTGCTCATCCCCAAATTCCTCCTTGTTAGCCTGAGCTCTTGTGGTCAAACACCTAACCCACGCATCCCGCAGGTGATGGAAATCTGTATTCCTGGTCGGCACGATTCGAAGGAGCGTTCTTACTCCACTCTTCTTTAGAAGATCGTCCCATACACGTAATCCTTCCTCCGGATCGTACAGCATATTTTTGAGCTTCTCCTTCTCCCCTGCGACAAGTGCAGAAGCGCCCCCGTCAATCTCCCGAATCAGGGCCTTTTGAAGCAAGGCAATATCGTCCGTAGCCACGTACATGCCCACCATATAAACTTCCAGGCTCAAAATGCTGACTCTACGAACGCCTACCCCCAACAACTGATACTCGGCCAGCCGATCATCGTTCTGCCCCGGACCCATGCCATTGTCCTTTAAGCCCTCTCTCTGTTCGTCATAGAAATCCAGAATCCTAGGGTAAGTAGGCACCGTGGTATTCCCAGTCGCGACCGTATCGACTATCTCTTCCGGTTCCTCGCCTAGCCTTTGCACGATAACCTTTCGCTCACGGCCCAAAACTACCATGGGATCATCCGTCCGTCGTCCAGAATCGAGTTTCGTAGGTTGGGAAGGGAGATCCATAGCCTTGACAGTGACCCAGATGCCAACCATCCCAAAGATCCAGCCTGCAGCGGCGTAATAGGAACGCCTTTTGTAGTATGCACGGCGCTGCCATTGGAGTCTATGCAGCGTGATCGGATCAGGTCGATCGTCTGGAGGCGGGGGTGGTTTGGTGCCAAAAGTACTCGATTGACGGGAGAGCAGCGATTGAGAAAATCGGCGCGGACATTGTGATTTTGAGATGTGTTGAGGAAATGACCGCAAGGTCCGCAATGGGGGTACACGAGGAGGCATTGTGATTATGGTGTTTTCCTTCAGATGCAGGAATGGAAAGCCCGTGTAATAAAATGTAAATGGGTCGATACATCGAGAACTGACGTCGGGGCTTGAAGCCTTAGGCGACAAACGGTGGGGAAGTAAACAACCTTGTCACTCCACCAATAATAATGTGACTTATCATTCTCCAGTAGCTGAAAGGACGTATCGTAGAGAAACTTCTTATTGCTTTTGGGATTAGTTCAGGGGTTTGTGAGTCGTGATATCCGCGCTTAACGCCGTTTAGACGGCATTTTAAGACGACAACCTGACCTTTTATCAAATACTTAGGTGCTAAATATATAAGATTCAAGTCAGGCTGACTTGACCAGACGGAAGCAATGTAGAGTAAAGTTTAGCGGTCCGAGTGGTTCTTTTAGCTGTGGCTGGTTGGTTTGAGCTAAACTGTCATGTCTCACTCTGGTACCGATCACGATACCTCGATGTACTGAAAACGCCGAGAGCAGAACTGCGAATGGAGACATCATCCGTTTGCCTTTTGAGACCCATGGCTCTCTAAGTTACAGGAGGAGAAATAGTCACAAGGGAGACAAGTAAAAGATGCGGTCATTACCGCCACTGACTATCGTCGATCCAACAGCTTACCGAGGTTGGAAGACCCAAGTCTTACCCAGTATTGTGTCCCAGCGGCAAAAGGAGCGCTGGGCTTTTGCAGGCAAAGCCTTCACTAGAATGCGGTGACACATAGAACATCCGGGTTGTAATGTAATGTACTTCGTACACTGTTGTAGCGATAGTCGTGGCCTTCAAGGTTGGGAAGGTTTGGAGTTAGTCTTGCAGCTAGTCCCTTGATACTCGTATAACTACGGCAAAAAGGGTCTCTCACTCGCCTTTCTCAGCAGCTAAACAAGCCGTTCCGAATATAATCAATCATGAGACCTTTACAAGGCACAACTGACACTGCAAATAACAAATATTTACGTGCCAAAGAGAGTTTCTCAGAAGACAAAGCCGGAGACTCGCTCACTGGGACAAGCAAATGCTGCCGTAAGCGAGCCAACCATTTCGCCCTACTGCATGATGCACATTCACGTTCAATGCGTTGCAAAGCAGCTCCTCAGTCCTCGCCATCCTCGCATCACAAACCAGACTCAAACAACGCGCGAATCTGATGTATGGCCACGCTTCAAAACAACCGTTGTCAACCCTCAGCAACATCGCCTTCCGCACGTCGTCGATCCCCCAGTTCGAAGACGAGCGAACCCGCCCCCAGCATCAACAACATCAACACTGCGGACCTTGTTCCTAGCGCAAGGCTGAGTGACCCTTTCAGCATCTATCCCGACCTTCACCAACCTGCGATCCATTGTCAAGCAGGCCTGGATATCCCCGACCACCGAACCGTTCGTTCAAATTTATAATACAGCTACGAGGCCGTAATATCGTCGCCCAGTTTCCTGGAAAGGCGTATCTTCAAACCACCATCATGCGGGGTCCCGTTCCTACAATGGTGCCCATCAACACCAGTCCCTCTTATCGCCCCGGGCCGGACCCGGAGGGAGACTCGCAATCATCGTCAAGTAACTCACCAGCGCGTCAAGATTACGAGGAGTCGGATTTCTATGCCGGAAACAACGACTCCCAGTCCTCGATCGGGGTTCCTACATTCCAGGACATGGCAGTGTCCAGGGAAATCTGCGAGCCACCAGCCAACCGATTACCGGCCGAAGTTCTCATTGGGATCTTTTCGAAGCTCAACAACCCCCAAGACCTGTTGAACTGCATGATCGTGTCGAAAAGATGGGCTCGAAATTGCGTGGATTTGCTATGGCATCGACCAGCCTGTACTACTTGGAACAAGCATAGCTACATCTGCAGGACTCTTTCCGTTCCCGATCCATACTTTGCCTACCGTGATTTTATCAAGCGTCTCAATCTCGCTGCTCTGGCCGATAGTGTTAATGATGGCAGTGTCTCTCCTCTGTTCGTATGTACCCGAGTTGAGCGTCTGACCTTGACAAACTGCGACGGTCTCACGGACTCTGGTCTCATCGGCCTTTTGACTGATAGCCATAACTTGCTCGCCCTGGATATATCTGGAGATACCCAAATCACAGCAGCGTCGATGATGGCCCTGGCGGAAAACTGCCGGCGATTGCAGGGACTTAACATTTCAGGCTGCACGAGGATCTCCAACGAGTCCATGGTCGCTGTAGCTGAGAGCTGCAAGTATATCAAGAGGGTAAGTTGCCTTCCTGATCAGATATCCGGCCAGTGCTAACTGCAATAGCTCAAACTCAACGACTGCGATCAGCTCGAGGATTCTGCCATATTGGCATTTGCCAAACATTGCCGCCATATCCTCGAAATCGACTTGCACCAGTGCCGATTAATCGGAAATCAGCCAATAACTGAGCTGCTCACAAATGGCCGCTGTCTCCGCGAGCTCCGTCTTGCAAACTGCGAGTTGATCTCTGATTCTACCTTCCTCAACCTACCCCCGAATCAAACGTACGAGCACTTGCGGATATTGGATCTCACGAGCTGTGCGCGCTTGACCGATCGGGCCATCGAGAAAATTATTGATGTTGCCCCTCGTTTGAGAAACTTGGTGTTTGCAAAATGCCGGAACCTTACAGATGCTGCCGTCCATGCTATTAGCAAGCTTGGAAAGAACCTTCACTACCTCCACCTTGGTCACTGCGGTCATATCACCGATTCTGCTGTGATCAAACTGGTGCAGTCCTGCAATCGAATTCGATACATCGACCTTGGATGCTGTGTCCATCTTACCGACTTGTCTGTAACAAAATTGGCCTCGCTCCCAAAGCTTCGCCGAATCGGCCTCGTCAAGTGCTCTAACATTACCGATGAGAGCGTCTATGCTTTAGCACAATATCGTTCGCTAAGACAGGAGAGGCACCAACTGAGGGGTGATGATAATTTCTTTCCGAGCAGTAGCCTCGAAAGAGTACATCTGAGTTACTGCATCAATTTGACATTAAATGTAAGTATAATCGTCCCCCGTATTGACCATAAACTAAGACGTGCGTCCAGAGTATCGTAATGCTTCTTAACAACTGCCCAAAACTGACACATTTGAGTTTGACTGGCGTGCAAGCCTTCCTGCGGCCGGACTTGGAACAGTTCTGCCGCGAGGCACCCCCAGGTGGGTCATACCGTCCTGTCTTACAACCTTTCAATTTAACTAACATCCTCATAGAATTTACGGAGCATCAACGAAGCGTATTTTGCGTTTTCTCTGGCGCTGGGGTTGTCGGCCTACGCCAGCATCTCAGACACCTACCGGCCCACGGCATTGTCGACGATTTTGACCAGGAAACTGTTGCAGAGGCGGATGATGATCAAACCATGACGGGCATGATGAGCGCCACGGTCCTCAACGCCGACGATGATGCTGATGCGGAGGGCGGCGATGAGGAATTGGAGGACGGTGACCCCGGTGCAGGCGCCTTTGGGGGCTTGGCAACTTGAGACGCTTGCGATTGCCTGGATTTCGAGAGCCGAGAACGAGAATGTTAAAGTTCAGTATGGTGACACATACCTACCACATATGGTCTGTCTAGACGAAATTATGATAAGCAAGAGGGTGAAGGCTTTAAGCTTCCTCCGGAGGCACGCCTGACGGTACGCCATATTTCAAAGTATGCTACCAAGCGCCGAAGCATGTCGATACAGCCGCAAGGGCCAGTGGCAATATTACATCACGCTCCAAGACCCATGGCCAGAGGTCCTCTAGTGGTTCTCCAGGCAGAGGACGGTCGATGCAGCGTGGGTGCTGACGAAGGATGCACGGGATATAGAATACCCCCTCCTCGGGGACTACGATTCATGAATTAAGGCCTAATATTTCCCTTTCTAGAAGCTTATCCTTGGGCTACCTTGTCTGCTTTGCGTTCGCGGGTTTAGAGCGTGATTCTAGCTTCTTTCGGAGTTATATGATTTGTGAGACTAGTTCCATCACTGGAGTTTCATTTCGTTAAACAAACAATATACCCTTATCCTGCTCTAAACCAAAGTGTATAAGCCGTCCCCATGGCGTAATCACTAGTTCCCTGAGGGGCCAACCACTACATTGTCGACCAGCTTACAAACCTTAAATCTAGCCAGTCTGGTATTGTAGCCCACCGCAGTAGAAGCACTACAATATAGGATATTCCCACACCTCTGTGTAATTTCTTTTCCCCGCGCCTTTAAACAGCATATTTGCGCCTCCCCGTTTCACCCAAATTACCTAAGTATTTGATCATAGCACCGACGACAGTATCAAAAGTAATGCTTATATTATTTCTTTCATATATGGGGGGTTTCATGAGTTATTTGATATTAATATTAAATCGCTTTCCTGATTTAGCCAAGTTCTCCATGCTTGATATCCTTAAATCCCCTATCCAGTAGTCTATTGAAGGAAAAAGAAATGGCCTTGTTGCTTAGTTTTTTATCCCGGCCCCCCCACCTTTTTTAGTTTTCCGTATCCGAATACACCTCATACATATTGTCCATTCATTCATGATAGTAGCTAGTCCTTGGGAGAGCGTGAGCTGCTCCCAATTACGGTGTCCCGCCGATTTTGTTTCCCAGAGCCGGTCTGGTCGGAAGAGCTGACCTGGGTATTTTGAGTACCGATTTTTGTGTTCATATCTCTGACGTCTTTGAAAAGAGGATCCCCTTTCCCCGGAATCGGATCCGTTCCGTGGCATCTCAATTAATCCATCCTCCATCCCATCGCACCGCCATACCCGCCCCTTTGCTCCTTTGTAAAGTCCTCCAACATCGATCTTAGCCCCCTCATCGACACTGGCTTCGTCAAGTACAGATCAATTCCACTAGCAAATGCCTCCTGCCTCGTGGTAGGATTCGCCGCCCCAGTCAACGCAATCAACCTAGCAGGTTCTAAACCCTCGTCCCGTTCGAATCGGCGGATATGCCGAGCGCTATCGATGCCAGACATGACGGGCATGGAAATATCCATGAGAATGACATCGAATTGCCCGTGGCAGTCCTTGTAGGAGTTTAGGGCTTCGAGACCGTTGACTGCGGTACTGTGGGTTATGCACAATTTGCGCATGCTGGCAATGAGCAGTTTGAGGTTGATTTCGTTGTCTTCAACTAGGAGGACGCGCAGTTCTTTTCGCGGGGTATCCGGAGCGCCCTCCTGTAGGTTGTTTTTTTCGGCTAAATGATCATCGGAAGCTGTGGGATGAATAGGAGTTGGTTCCGTCTCCAAGTCTGTTGTTCCTGTTGCTTCTGCTTCAATGTGGTTTTCGGCAGATCCGTTCATCTCCGATAGCACAGCTAATTTGGGTTCTTCTATTTGTGTAGGGCTATGATTTTCATGGTTATGACCATTATGACTCTCATGACAGAATGCGTTGTGGAGAATCTTGGCAACCTTCTGTGGCCCATACCTAAATGAATGTTAGAAAACTCCCAACAGAAGTAATAGAGCACATACGGTTGTTGAATGTAGAATATCCGGAACGAGCCATAGGTGTGCATCTTCGGGCGGTAATTATAACTGGCGGATAGCACGATGGCGATTGACTTGCCCGATGCTGTGGGGCGCTTGTGATCATAAGATTCTAGGATCTCCTTGATAGCTTGATCACCACGTTCAGATTCCATAATGGCGATTAGGTCGATACCAGAATCGTCGTCAACTGCTGATGCCGAGCTGGGTTTCATCCCGAACCAATCGGTTAACAATTCGTGAATGGCCGATTTGAGGTACATGGCGGCCTCTGTCTCAGGAGCGAGGATGCCAGTTGGTGTTTCTGTGATGTCGGGATATCTATCGAATCCTGCTAGGTGGAATTTGAATGCCCTGGTGATGCTGGCCACTTCGCTAATGATATTTGTGTCGTTCGCTTTGACAGTTGGATTTTGTGGTGCGAGGGGAAACTGGACCGTGACTTCGGTCCCCGTGCCCAAGTCGCTATCCAAGTGTATTCTGCCGCCCAAATCTTGCACAATATGTCGCACAATACTCAGACCAAGGCCAGTTCCAGCAGCCATTGGGTCTTCCTGAGAAAAGGGCTCAAAGAGCTTATGCTTCAGATACTCGTCTGAAATCCCCATTCCTGAATCATTCACCTTCAGTAATAGTGTAGTTCGAGCCTGCTTATTCCGTGTCAACCCTTCGTTCTCAACTTCGAGTGAGACTTTCACAAATCCGGTTTTGGTATATTTCATAGCGTTGCTGAAGAGGTTCATTAGGATCCTACTCCACGCGCCACGATCTATCTCAAATTTCCAGTTAGGATGCCACTTGATATCAGTGATAATTGTGATTGGCGAAACCTTCGAGGTATCTGAATTTCGCTTTGAGGATTGATTAAGACCAGATTGGCTCATGGTTTGGCCGGCATATATGCTCTCAATTACCTCTTCGGATAGAACCATAATATCCGCTGTACCATCATCTCCATTATCATCTGCTAGGGATTGCTCATGAGGCCGCTTCTTTTTTGGCTTGGCGGCACTGCTCGACTTTTTCGTTCGAGTACTTGATTTTCTGTTGACTTTCGAGAAGTCGAGCACATGATTGATAGTATCTAGAAGTACTTTCCCAGAGGCATGGATATTGTTCACCATATCCTCTTGGTCCTCTGTCATCGAGGTTTCCTGCAAGAATTCTACACTGGCCAAAACCCCATGCAGTGGGGACCGCAGTTCATGCGAAATGCTCGAGATGAAGTCGGATTTCATCTTATCTAGCGCCTGCGCTGATATGCGGGCGACTTCTGCCATTGCACTATCCCCGAAGGCGGCCAGATAAGTAAGATCCTCTGTGGGACACATCGCTCTCGTGGGAGAGGATGACCACACCAGCGTGCCAGCATACCACCGCTCTCTATGTTGGTCCCAAAGTGGAAACCAGAAGACACTTCGTGCCTCCGGGAGAACACTCACGATGGCCTTTGCTTCAGCTTCTCTTGAGTGCCGCTTTCGAAGTGTTTTGGAATCTGACTTGCCTTCCGGTGAAGGGTTTGTTTCACTGTGTGAAATGTAACCATCTGCATCGAAGTTGAAGACCTTCCCATGGGGATATCGCTTCAAAAGCCGTCGCATTACAGCCTCAGGGAGGCGTTCATATTCTTCTGGGGGTCGGTGCCGGCGGAGACTTGAACGCCGACGAGTGCTATAACCTAGGATGTTACAACACTTCTCGCTAGGGCGCTCAGTACAATCGGAGTCATTCTTCCCACTGAAACGAACCTTGGGCGGTATCTTCTGGCCGGGCTCGTCTTCACTGCTGGTAGGTGGTTGATCCCTATGAAATTGTCCGGGTGCTTTCTCGTCCATGATATCCCTATCAGAACTGGCACCAAAAGTTCCAACGCTAGCATCAAAAAATATAACGCCTTGAACGCCGATAGCCTCCCTAATGAGGTTGCTGGCTCGAGAAAAGATATGTTTTGTTTCGCTTGACACTAGGGCCTTTTGGAGCTCCTTCGAGATATCATCTGATAACTGAGGGGCAGCTGATTCAAAATTGCCGGAGTGCCTATTTTCACTATAGTTGGTAGGCGCCTCTGACATATTGTCTAATGTGGTCACTGAGCTGTTATCTTTCCACGACCTAGAAGTCAGGGTGGCCTGGGTAGTGACGGTATTAGACGAGGTAAAATGGCTGTCTCCTCTTGGCAGCATTGGCCTTCCATCGCCGATGTCAGCTTTGGAGGGAGCAGAGGAAGACGGTGTTCGCGATACGCATGGAGCTAAATCATCATCTGGCCAATGCTCCATAGCTTTGGCGAGGTTGTTGACAGGATCTTGTACGCCAAACTCCGCATCTGCGAGGTGGTCCAGAGGAGCTGCTTCTCGTTTTCGGTATCTGATGAGCGTCACTTGTTGATGCTTATGCCCCGATTCCAACCACCAGTCCCTCAACGATGACTTGCCCTCGATAAATAAGCCGATCGCCTTAATCATTCTCTCCGCCCGATACTGCTTGCGTTTGAGTAGGCCAGCCTCGAGGTAGTCCATCACCGTCACACCCACGTCCATCATGAATTCGATCTCCGACTCGGTCAGGCCATCACGGGGTTTATCGTCCGCGACAATATAGTTGCCTATCACAACTAACGAATTTGGCGTACGGAGGGGAACGGCGGCAATAAATCGCAGGTACGGTGTCCCAACGACTACGCATTTCTCCTTGTATAAATCATGCTTTGTAAGGTCGTTGATGACCACATATCTGTCATCGGTACTGGTGAAGTGTTTAGCTAATTCAGCTCCTATTGTTGTATGCGTGTTTGTGGGACACTTGAATGCCCCGACCCCGTGCCATAACTCATCTTGCTGGTCATTATCCCGTTGTAGAGAAAGCTGCTTCCCTGATTCAGCCAGCATATAATCCGTGACGGCAGTGGAAAGGGTGATAATCCCCCGCCTTGCATCCAGTCGCTGAGCTCCGAGCTGGGCAAATGCGGTCAGGCATGGGTCGTTCGAGGCTTTCTTGACCCCCTCTTCGCCAGGTTTAACAGTTGCAGCTTCGGCTTCGGGCTGGTAATAACTGTGAGGGCACAGGTGTTAGTTGGTATGGCATTGGAGACCTCACGAGACGACCGACCGGTATAACTCCCGCTCGCGAGCCGCGGCTGAGGTTGGCATGGCTGCTCCGCTCTTCTCTGCTTATGGAATGCGCGGAAAGATCAACGAGAGCCTGGAGGACAGACACAAAGCACTGCCAACATCGTACGAAGTACTCGGGTTCGACGACGAGAGACAGGCGATATTGCTGAAGGACAACTGCAAAACTCTTATGACCTTGTCCGTTGTGGCTCTGCCCGCCGATCCAGACCCCTCTTCGCTTCTGCACCGTGAAAGATCAACTACAGTTCCAGCCCATGCATATATGCAATGCACGTAGGACAAAGTACATACCAGTCCCTTGTATTGGTGCACGGCGTACGGTGCTGAATAATTAGGGCGTAACAGCGGGCGGCGATCGACGTTGCGGTAGCACTCAGCAAATGGGCAGGGCAAGTTCCATCTCTCGATGTCTGCGGCGGTTGGTTGTTGGTTGCTAGCTGCTGCTCGAGGTGAACGTGATGGAGGTTATATTTCTGTTTATATATAGTGGACAGACGCTGGGCGGGCGGGGTTATATGTCAGATCTGGATTACGGATTCTGGACGATGGATGAAGGTCCGTTTTGCGTGGTTCACTGCCCCGCAGACTCTGATAATGCGACGTTGGGTGCGTGGCTAGCAAATAACGACAGCGTGAGAAACTCTGCGAATAGAATCGAGTTTGGCAGCTGCACATTTACTACGTACAGACCTTTCGTCACTCTAGCTTTGCAAATGGATTGACGCTACTGGGTTCTATTCTTTCATACGGCCAGTCCTCAGGAGACTTTATCTTAATCCGGAATCCCGAGGGTTATGGCAGATAGGCACATAGGTTTATCACATGCTATTAGCTACAGTAGCAATACGGACGAAGTGCTTCATATATCGAACAGTAATATATATTCTCATCATACAATACATACTATTTGTTGCCTAAGTGTCATCTATCTAATAAACAGTATTACAAAGTCCTCGGTCGGTTTATATACATACCATGGTCATGTCGAGCCCGCCAAGTCTCGATGCCTTCCGTCCCAAGCCCATATATATACAATAGAATCCCTTCCTAGAACTCCACCCTCACCATCCCCCCGCCTTGTTCCTCCCCCCCAATCCTTCTATGTTTCCCTTTTTAACATTAAATATTAGAAAATAAAAATAACTGCGTCCGGGTCTATAAATATAGAGCTAACCCGGGTTGTCTGCAGGCCTCACTCAAACATTCCTACTAGCGCGCGCCTGCATCTTCCTCAGCGCGTCTCGATGGATATCCAACATATCTCCCCTCCTCATCCGCTCATCAAACGCACTCTCGAACTCGCCTCTCCTCTGAGCCTCCAAGGCTCTTCTCTGTTCCTCCACCTGTCGTTCCTGCCACAATGCGCTCCTCTGCCTCTCGACATTCATCTTTGGCACGGCGGTGTTTTGCATATCCTGCATTATGCTAGCACGGAAAGAGGCGAGTTGTTGCTCTCTCGCTGAGGGTGAAGGAGCGGATGATTGCCGAAGGGGTTGATGGGAATCGAAAGGAAGGGAGGGCTGTAGGAGGGTTGCCGCTGGTCTTCCAGTTTGGTGGAGGGACGATTGTCGGATTAGCTCTCGGCGGGCGGAGAGGGAGATATTATCGTCATCCTCCATGAGGATAGGCTTACTCATATTATTTTGATAATTATAAATCGAGCCAGCATCGCTGCCGGCTCTTGAGGCTGACCGGCTTTGATATTGTGATTGGTAAGGCGAAGAAAAGTTTGTAGACAGTTCTGGTGTTGAAGGTAGGGGAAATTGTGCGGTTTGATAGCTTTTATTACGCATCATAGAGTCTCGCTTCCCAATTAAGGTGTTGGTGCTTCCGAAGGGGGCGTTCTGGGATGGATATAAGTTGCCGGCGGGAGGGGTATGGGGAGCGAAACTCTCCTCAACGGGAGACTCCACAATTGGCTGGGGAATTGCTGGACTTGACGATATACGGAATCTATTGGAGGCTGACTGAGACTGAAGAGATTGTTGTGACACGCTTCGTGAGAGTGTATTCGCTTGAGGAAGCGAGCTGGTACCACTGTTGGGTACGAAATTATTAGCTATGGTCGGGGTCGAGGCCGATCTCGAGAGAGCTAGAGGGACGGTTTGGGAGGTTGAAGATGATGGCCTTGGTGCTAAAGGAGAAGCTTGTTCGGCGGTCTGTTGAAGGTCTTCTACATTAACCGGAGCCGGCATCTCGATAGTGGAGGAATCCCCTTCGTCAAGACCCTCCTCTAACTTCAGTTCTTCCACCTCAGGAGTCTCGGCATTGCTGAGATGTTTAGCCCACTCGTTAGTTCGATAGGACATCGCTACGCGGGGTAACGGGGCCGGAAGTCGATCCTTGGTGAGGCTCATACGCCTCGACTCGGACGTGGAGGTAGTTGATCGGGCGGCTCTTGGGGTTTTAACCTCATTCGGCTGGGTCTTGATTGCGAGTTCCGCGTCCTGCATAAGGTCTCCCTTGGGATTCGGATCAGTACCCGATATAAAAGACTGCCGCTTGCTTAGATCCTCAGCTTTCTCCCCCCGTAGGGTCTGAGAATCCGGCGTGGTAATACCGACTTCTGCCTGTCCTGTGGATTTATTTTCCGTACTCCCAACCGTCGATTTAGCACCTAGGTCTAATTTTGCGGCCTCCAGTTGATCCTCTCTCGGTGATGCGGGAAATTCTTCCACTCGAGACTCATTCGTATTAGGGGCCTCGTCGATTGAAGAACGTGGGCTTCTCTCTTCGTCGCTAAGCCCGTCTATAGTAGCAGCAACCGAGCTTGCCCGGTCGTCATCGACTTCATAGGGAATGACCAAATCCTCCGTGCTTTGTCCGTGGCCCATGGAGAACCGTTTTGAGCTTCTCGGCGATGGACTCAAAAGAGACCGTTTGGATAGTCTGCGCATAATCGCTGAACCAGCAGAAATCCGGTTGGATTGCCGTGTTGGTCGGCCAAGTTCCTCCTCATCCTCTGCAAGAGCGACGACGGATGACCGGTCATCTTCTACTTCGCCCACTGGTACTTTGAATGGTAGCGGAACAATCTCTGGCGTTCGGGAGTTCCTCGTAGAAACTGGCGGACTTGATGTCCGACTAGATAGTCTTTTGGATGGTGTCCTTTCGAGACGTGCTTCCCCATTGGAGCCTACAAGCCAAGCCTTCCCTTCTTCAACTAGTGATGCATGGCTCTGTCGATTTTGCAGGGGCTCTATTATATTCCCGTTCTCGACGAGCTCCGGAGAAGATCCAGGAAATGGTGTGACTTGGACGTCAGGTATGCCGGTATCTTGGCTTTTATTCGCCATAACAAGCCCGATCGGTGTAGCCTGCGTGGGCGAAGGCATCTGTGACATCTCAATTCCATCTTCTCTTGAGTGTCGCGTTGAAGTCACGATGCTCATTTGGCCTTTCCTCTGACTCTCCATATCCCCTACGCCAGAATCCCGGTGTGATGGAGCTGAGGGCATGTCAGCTTGCTCCTTATTGCCGTATGCAGCCTCCCACTGGCTTCTCTCTCCCGCATTGAGATTCTCAATCCTCCTCCCCACGTTTTCTTCCTCTTGCTCCATAACACGCTCATCATCAAGTCGTTCAGCCGCCCGTTGCTCACGGCGCTCTTTAATGATTTTCCAAAGCTTCATCTGTGATATAATCCCCATTAAGAATATAACAATAATAACTGCAATCTCCACTCTTATACCCCTCGTCAAAGGATAAGTATCAGCACCAAGTGGAAACAGATTAGGATTCAGGTCCCAAATCCATGCCCAGAACTCTTTCAAGCCAGCCCTACTAAAACAGTCAATCCCAATTACTACCACAGTAGCACCGGAAAATGAGATAGATCCGATCAACCCATATGGCCGTGTGTGGTGACTGAAAGATGTTGCAAAGACAGCAAGAGTGAATGCCGTAATAAATATGGCCTTGCCGCTTGTTGCGGTTAACAGGCCACCGGCCTTCAATGAAAGCAACCACATGCTAAGGGAGAAGCCGCCTAGAAGGCAACCTAACCCTTCAGTCATGTCTGCAAAAACTATGGCACCTCCGCCGAGAATCAAGCCAGTCATAGTCGCGGCGACAACATAGGCTCCCTGAACAGCATTTCCGACTGGCAGATTCATGACATAAAGAATGAGAACGGTAACCGACAAGCTTGCTAGGTAGGCTGCAGATAAGAAAATGTGTAGCAGTTTGTTTTTTATCCCAACAAGAGTATAGACAACTCCGCTGATCATCAATATGGCTCCCGCCACTCCAAACCCGGGAGTTACGCTTGGGGCGATGGGCAATTTATCCGGTGTGGTGGTTGCTTTTTGTTGTTAGTACAAAACCTCAGGAATAGATACACAACATACAGTTAAACGCCGAGGGATTGCCGGTGGAGGTTGTAGCTGCCCCAATGATGCTTGGGGTCACCACAGCTCCTGTGCTTGATGTCGTGGCCGAATTAGAGATTGATTCCTCCGTTGGACTAGCCGAGGAGGCATTTGTAGTTGTCCTTTTTGCAGTCTCACTAATCGTCTTGTCAGGGGTATTGGCCGTGGTAGAATCGCCCCCATTATTCCCTGAGTTGTTCCCTCCTTTCTGCGATGACTCATTTGAGGTTGTAGCTGGTGAAGATGGAGACACCGGAGTGACAGAGGTAGCCACAATTGATTGATTTGGCGAATCGTCGCGCCTTTGAATGCGAACTCCCCGTCTGTCTGCCACAGCAAAATTGACACAGAAGAAGAGCAGGAGAACTGCCAAAACCTTTGGCCCTTTAACTTGAACCATGTTGGAATTCTGTGAATAGACTATCCCCAGGTTTCCATAGAAAAGAGAGGATGACAGTAGAAGTGCTCAGGCTATAACGAGCGTGGGCAGCATTGGCGCAGATCCCGCTGGCGTTGCTTCTAGATAAAACGAGTGTGAGGCAAATGATGGATGAGGTTGAAAAGAATGTTTGTGCCGGAAGGACAAGGTCGTGGGAAGAATTAGCCCTGGTCAGAAAAGAGCTTAAGAGGTGGCTCTAGATCGATAGCCACGAGGATCACAAGGATGGGAGATGGTGATCTTAACGAGGGTTATTATTGAAGGAAAAGTCAAAGCTCGAGGCGCAAGGCAGCACTCGAGTAGGAAAGAAGTTTTAGGGAAGAGGGGGATGCTATGAGAGATTACAGAAGTACTAATGCTCATGCGGGACACATCTGGGCACACCTCATCGGGTTTAAAAGCAATCGGAGGCGCATTATCGGCTAGTTGGGATCAGCCAGGGGCAATTGAGGCGTCCGCCGGTAGACTGTGCACGGCTGGGACGGATAGGGTACCTGGCAGCTGATAGCCTGATAGCCATCGAAATACCCCGGTAGCTGGGCTCCGATAAACACGGCCTTCTTCCAGTCTTCAAGCTCACCCACATCATCCTGCTTCATATCCTAGATGGAACTCGCACTGATTGGCGCTTATAACGAGAGAGAGAGACACAGCTCATCTCGCCTGAGGGCTCGCGGAGATCAATTGGATGTTAGAGTGCCCCGTACGGTTCGTACCACAACGTGATGCAGCGCTTGTTGACTTAAAGACCGGCGGACAATAGGAAATTGAGATGATCTTAGAATAACTCCATGGTCCGTTCTCCAAATCCATGCCTGTTTTTGACCATACTGTACAGGTAATGTTAAAGCTTTAAAAGCCCCGGTACCAGGGGCATGGGTAATCCCTGGTACCGGCAGCACCGGTATCGATTTGACGCACTCGGAAACTCGAACTTGCGGTGATGTGATGAACGCCCATATATGCATGATCAGGGATGCCGATTGTGACCAAAGATGTCCCGACATTACGAGTGGAGCGTCCGCGATACCTGTGGATGTGGCACTTTGCTTCTTCTGATGATTGTCCTCATGAGTTGTCGTTTTTCTGCAAATTCTGATCCAGCGAAATTGTTGTCTGACATATGCATTAATTGTCAAAGCGAATTATTACCACATTCAGACTGTTTCGCCCTCAGCATCGTGGCGGAGTACGGAGTAGTTGGCGCTGACCTTTTGAAGCCTCAACGGAGAATTAGAAGCCAAGACGTAGCGGGAGATCTAGTCTTGTACAGATTCAGCAGTGCAATCTTAATCTTCGCCCTCTACGGGGTTAATATACCATTTGAGGCTGGTGTAGCAATGTCGGGTAACGCTGCCACCGCCGCCAACCATCCGTAACAGCCCACTTGTATGGAGCAGCTGGGCGCAAGCTCCGTCCAATTGTTGGCCAAGCGTAATCGCGTCGAATCGTCGACGCGTTCCATATACTCGCGCCAGACTTGCGTTCTCTTTCCTAGTTCCAGAGGGCATCTCGGTCAGCATGTCCCCGAGCCCCTGAGCCTGAGGAGACTTAGGGCTGACCACTTGCCAATGCCTTCGTCAACGCTCGAGTCCTCCTAGGAACAATGGTACGGGGTACTTGTTTGGACTTGGATTTGGCTTGGGCGCATCTGCCGTGCAATCACCGAGGATGTGCTTCGAGTCTTCAACCTGCATGGACTGTACCAGATGATGTATGAGAAGGTCAAGGTTGAGAACGGTACTATCTCGTGGGTACTTCGTATGTGGTGTGACTCGCAACCGGTGTAACGCAATAATTGGATCGATACAATCAATGTACGGCGCTGATAAATCGCATATATTGATTCCTCGCTCGACCGGAATTTCTCTGGGTTTGAAGTTAATGATCGTCCCTTGGTTCGGCGCCGGTGAGCTTCCCCTCGTGTTTTCTGCTTTACGGTTGGAAACAACAACATTGCTCCGCCATGTGAACGGACGAAGAGGCGCATATCAATTCAACCCATTGAGGTTGGTAGCTCGCCCTGTCAATATGTACTTCGTAGACGTATTTTGCATGAAAGCTCCAATTTCCTGTCGGTCACATGATAGGACTCGCTTAGAACCCCCTTGGACAATACCGTAACCTCGAGCTCGAGTCGCGATGCGACGATAGGAGAAAGTCATTCAACTCGTGCCTCGGATTACAACACCATCAGCGCTATCCTCATCACATTACCAAGTATCTCGGTAGGTCCTCAAGACCCCTTTTCACTTTGCACAATTAACCGGATTCCAGTCGCCTCCTAATCCCGCCTCCAAGATGTCGTCCTTCCTCCTCCGTCGCGCCGCAACCACCACTGCCCGCTCGTTCTCCACCTCGGCATCGAGACCAGCATCCTTCGCAAAGATCACAATCGTGGGTCGATTGGGCGATGTCCCAGAGCTCCAAGCTACAAGCACCGGCAAGGAGCTCCTCAAATACAATGTAGGGACAAGCTCGGGCCCCAAAGACAACCAGCAGACGAACTGGTTCAGGGTGGCCTCTTTCTTACCGGAGGGCCCACAGAGGGATTATATTGCAGGGCTAGAAAAAGGGTACGTTTAACCATCTGGTTTGTGGAAGAGCGGCTACATGGATATGCATGCCGACCGAACGAGAGAGCATAAAATAAGGCCTTGGACTGTCTTCATTCAAGGAAACAGGTTGGCTAACTCAAATCACTCGTAGAACACTAGTTTACGTTGAGGGTGACGTCTCGATAAATCAATACCAGGATGGCGAGGGTGTCACTAGAAGGAGTTTCAACATTGTGCAACGTAAGCTTTCTCATTGCTGGTCCGGTATACATAATACTCATTTGCCCCACAGGAAAATTAGAGGTGCTTGCTCGCAAGAGGCAGCAAGAGTCAGAGGAGATGTGAGAGTGACGCTTTTCAGACACGATATCCCGCCACCTTTGCTGCAAGGCCACTTTGTACCACCCCAAATCAAGTAATCAGGCGCTTTCTATTCATGTACGATTCGGATCTATATACTACTAGGAATGAAGATCAAAAGATGGAGGATCTTGTGCCAATATACAAATACAACCCTTCTCACCGCTTCTTCCCTCACTGACATAAACGCTTTTTTAGATAGACGCTTAGTATTTCTTTTATCTAACTCTAAGACTTATACCAGTCAACGAAAAGTCCACCTTCACGCCATCTTACACAGTAAGCTCAGAACCCTGTATGTGTTACGTTTGTCATCGGATTCATTGGTTTCTTTTCTTTTAGATTGTGTACCATTTATCTAGTAGGGTTAATATGCACCCCTTTTATGTCACGAGAACGTGAAATTACTTTCATCAACTCAAGTCTCTATCATATCAGCTCTAAGCTCAACTAAGAGCCTTCTGGCAGGCGACGAGGTTGAATGTCTCAAAAGCGCCGAGAGATCCAAATAATGAGCGGGCGCGAAGTGGTTAGATCCCCCAAAATCATGGAGGAATAGGATCCAATGGTGGTTTTCGTCATTTGCTTCGATCCCTTGCTGTAAGGAAGGGGAGCAGGTGCTGTTCTGTCTAATCAGATGGGCCTTGAGATGTGTCTTTAAAGACGCCCTCAGAGAAATCATATGTCTTTGAAATGTTTTACTGATAATGGCGGGACACAGTAACATTCACGGGGATGATATGATTCTCCACTCAAGCATGGGCAATTTATTGTCTATTTGATTATAGTTGTTTGCAAGGGGGGATTCTGAACAGTGCGTTATCAAGGCCTAGCCGTCGTCATTCTCTCCACTCTCTTAAGTCTCAAGTTCACTCGACAGGCAAGTGCCGAACCATAAATACAGGAGCCTACTCTGTCACAAACTTCTTCCATAGCCTCCAAACCTCCATGCGTCCCTTGCCTCAATTCTAGACAAGGGCAAATCATTTTTCGACTCATCACTCCCACATCTACTCTCCTCTTACATACCTGGCTTCCGACTTGGGAAGTGGTTGCAACCTCAGACCAAGTGCTCCGATTAGGGGCTAACAGGGTGCACTATTTAGGCGACTCCGACAAACGGGTAGCAGATAAAGCCAAGTGAGGCTCCATGGAGAGGTTGTTGCTTAGGAAGGGTTTCTTGTCTCTTGGTCATGCCAAGCAGCACACCCCCTAACATTATGGGCATCAAACGACAGGCGCAAGTGTTCCAAGAAGCTAGTGAATTTATTAGATGCCTCAGCATCCATTTATACGCTGGCAATAGCTTATGGGCCGAATTGTTTCACCGTTTCCATGAAGATGGCCAGGACTGCCTCCAGATCTACCAAGGACTTGGCCATCACCTGGGTTGACTGTGCGTCGTGGACGACGACTTCCGCTTCTTAGGCGGCGGGCTGTCACCATTTTGTCCATCTCGCATGACCTCGCTAGACAACATGGTGCTTGGTGTGTCAGGACGCCCATCGGGAAGCCGCCGTCGACCGTTAACCAGACTAGGAGTATCGACCTCCGTTGAATTTGAGGCCAGTTTCCTCTTGCCTTTCTCGGAGACAGCACTCCCATTATCTCTACAGTTATTGGGCATATCCCTACTATCCCGTCTCAAGTTGGAACGGGAATTAATGGCCGTCCACCAAGATCCTGTAGGACAGCTTGCCTGTGTTGAGGTTGATGGGCCCAAGGATCCTGAAGAGGAACTGGTTGTAGAACGCCTGCTTGATTCGCCCCGCTCAACCTTGATCATCCTAGCGGGCCCCGAAAACTTGACGACCACTTCGCCCACGTCCCTAAGCCGCCAGCACTCTTTGTTCTCCGAAAAGAAAAACCGGTCGTTTGTGCTTAGGCTTCGGCTTGCCGAGCGTTTGGCCGTGTCCCTGGGGTCCGAAACATCGGGATTGAGGCGCGCAGGGCACCACTCCAAGCAAGTTTCGAAGAGGGAGTCCAATGTCATCTTCCCCCCTGGCACTCTAGCGAGGACCGAATAGCAGAGGTAGACCCATGGAGGGGTCCTTCCGTTCGCAGGAACTTTGTCCTCCGGGAACGGTACCTTGCCAGGAATTGCTGGCGGTGCCTCGTAGACTCCCTCCTCCAAGCCCAAATCGAGGTATTGACCTTCCAGGGGCTCCTGTCTCCAGGACTCCACGGACCTAGCCTGGATGGGTGCCACCAGGTCAGGAGGAAAAGCAGAGGAGCCTTCCTGGACTGGCGTGAGTGGCTCCTCTGGATCGTCAGAGTCGTCAATGTCTGAATCGGAGCCAGACATTCCTTCGACGGCCTCATTGAGAACCGTTTCGCTGGAGGCTGAGACCGTCATGGGGCTCAGCGCTTCCTCCCTGGTCTGCATCATTTCCCAAAGCTGGGTTAGGATATGTGCAACCTCCAGCTCCAGCTCGGTCCATTCACGCTGGACAGATCTTGCGGTGGAGGTGGAGGTGGAGGGACCCGTAGAAGTGGAGGTGGGTTGCCGAGGAGTATTGGAAGCAGTGGCGCTAGTGGTAGTAGAAATGGGTTGGATGGTTGACATCTCCGATGTTCCAATTTGTTTGACAGATTTAGATGGGGAAGGAGCGGACGTGAAGGAGTTCAATGCCTCACGTTGGTTGGAATACTGGGAGGGAAGGTGAATACCTCGAAACCTTTGAGATATTCAAAAGCCAAGGGGATGTAATAAAGGCGTTTGTTTTAAACCTCTTGAAATACTCAGGAGCTGAGTGTTGATGTGAAAAGGTGAATGTATCAAGGCTTTTGTGGCAGTTGCAAGTGGACGTTGATAAGGAGAAACTCAATACTTCAGGGAAGGTAAGCAATTGGGAGGTTTTATGCTCCTTCCTAAATCCATTGGAACGAACTATTCTAGGGCAAAGCTGTCTTATGACGAGAGTCTGATGGATTCAACACGTCGGTGTAGGGCAAAATGGTTCTGTTGAACGGTAACGAGAAACCCTCATGGTGTTAGTTGGAGTGGTTGTCCCAACTTTACACCTCTCTAGGGCTTGGGAAATGGGATTGACGACGCCGATATTCCATCGACTACCGTCAGTCTGATTGGATGAGATGACTACATCCTATTGAACCCGACATGGTGGACCAAACATCCAAGGGCACAGGCAAATCAACAGGGTGCTGGTTGGGTGTTTGGGAGGTACTCAGCCTAGTTTATGATACCAGAGCATGTCCCCTCTTAGGGTTTAGTAGGGTAACTAAATATGGCGGCTCCTGTCATACCGATGTCATAAATAAGCGAAGGGTTAAGGGGGGAGAGCTCGATTAAGCGAGAACACCCAAATGTCCAAACAGCCAGACTTCGCAATTGCCAGCGCTTGGAATGATGGAGGGACTGCGTCTAGGATAACCCTAGAGCTGGACGATCAAAGCTTGGGGCTTACACCAGTGGTGAGGCAGTTGAGTAGAGTCATCACGTGCCCGAGCGACTCCCTAATCGCTTGGCAAGCGCGGGCTGCTATACGCGGGATATACCAATAAAGGTTTAAATGGCATGGTATAAACTATATCCGCGACATGGTGGTTTATCAAAACCTATAATATGCTATTTATGTTGACGTAGGCTCAGTTTGGAGGCTTGGGTGTTGGGTGTTGCGGTATTTGGCTAGCCTCCATAATGAAGACGGGAAGGAGCAACTTGTCACGGTGAAACTTGAACCGCTGCATGGTATGGTGTACTTCGGCCTTCTCCTTGCAAAAAACATATTTTTGTTTTCTCGCTCTCGCAATGTCCTCTGCATGCCAACACTGCCACAATGATAACTTCAATGCCTGACAAAAGTCGTTCAATCTTACAATCCATGTAATCCAATGCTTCTCGACAGTAACTCATAGATACTCGGCAAGTATAACAAAATCTTTCCATTTAAAGTCTATCGCACAGGAGGATGATTTAAGTAGGATCTCAACTTTGGTCAGGTTCCAGCGTGTGACTTGGAGCCCAAAGTACTAGCACATGCCGGCTGAGAAGTTAACAGCCGCATCTAATTCATGGCATAAACTCTCGCAGAACTTGGTTTGCTAAAGATTTCTATTCAGGGCTTCACTTGAACTATCTCTTCAAATATCTTCCTTCATTCGACAACGGCCAGACGAGTCAACATACACAATGGGAGTTTGAATAACGAGTCATCATAAGCATACTTCATGCACTAGTGGACAACAGACCTTGTTAGACGAATGGCAACTTGTCTTTTCATGGTTTAGGATTCTCTAGCGCCGTTTATATCGGGCTTCTGTATGATGGGGATGAACAGGAGTACTTGGTGTTGGAGTTGCACTGGTTTTCGGTTCGAAAGTCCTAGACAAGCCGACAACTATCCATGCTCCCAAAACCCGCCGCGACACCTCCCTCCTCGCTCGTATCCCCCTTGGTCCTCAACAAATATCCCGCCTCTTCATTATATAAGACCTCCTTACTCTTCTGATCCCAAAGGCAGGTTCCATAAATACCCAACTCGCAAATCACACCCCCTTTCTCAATCACCCCGTTTCGTAGAATCAGATTTCGCACTGGTGGTGGGGTAATGAGCTCCATCAGGATAAATGACTTCCAATGCGATTCTGGAAGTGACCTTAGGAAGGGCGGGATAGCGGAGCGGTATGTGTTGTTACCCCCACCCTCACGTTGCGGTTTCAGAACGTAGCTCTTGCAGCGCTCTGGGTCAAGGGCTATTTTGCGGGCTTCTTGTCCAGCAGGAGAGTCATCGAGGGGATATATGTTTGTGAACGTTTTAGAAAGATTCTCTATTTCTGCAGGAGAATCTTTGAAGAAGCGTGTTAGGATTGAAGGCGCCGAATGTGATATTGGTGTTGCGAGGACTTGTTGCACTTTCTTTGCGCCCGCCAGTTGGGTTAGGATGCTGGGGCATTTAATGGCGTTTGAACGCTCAATTTGCAGGCGTGCTTTCCAGGCATCCGGGGAAGGATAGTCTTGCGGGCCATAGCCAGCGCGGAAATAGACTACGGCTACTTCGAACAATTTTGTAGGGCTACTCGGGGGCTGGTAGAGGAGTTGACGGCGGGGGGTATCTGCGATGGTTGTTTTCGAGAGGACCTCGGAAAATGCAAGGCGGAATACTGGGACTGGGGACTCATGCTGCTGGAGGTCGTACTCGAGATGCCGTTGGTCAAAAATATTTCTTTCCGGATCCTGTACTAGGAAGATTACGCAGCAGTCGTGTATGGTTTCACCTTGCTTATATGTTGTAAAGGCATCTCGTATACCTGAAGCTAAGGAGCCGATACTCTCATTTCTAGGGAGATCTAACTCTGCACTAGATATCGGACTTTCAAGAACGGTATAGTCAACTACGGACAGATGCCTGTCGGTGTCAGTCTCATGAATGGGGGGAAGCGAGGCGTGAAGCTAGCAATAAACACGTACTTGTGCAACTTTGAGGTCTTGGATGACAGGCCACCGAATGAGGATGCAATAGTGTTGAATTCCACTTGTTTGATAGCAGGAGTGCTATCCTGAGTGGCTTGGTGCACCATGTAGTCGGACCGGAACAAACCCAAGGAGAGGTTCTACAGGATCTCAACAAAAAGGTAATCTTGGTTGTTTTGCATCTGGTCATACCTGTACATAGCCCTCTTCTTTGACGTTTAAATGTACTCGCCATAACTCAGCAATAAAGTCGTCGACTTCCAAAATTCTGTTTCTTGTCAGTCTCGAGATCTCAAGGCCGGAATGGCGTCATCCACATTGGCTCCGCGGAAAATATCAATTCAACCAAAAGATTCAATGTAATAGGGATATAGAAACAGACTCACTCTTCAACAATGCCTTGCAAAAATTCTTCATCTTGTGCGATTGATGCGTATAGCTGGTTGTAGGCCCTTTGTATAGATTTGGCCTGTTCGAAACATATTCGGGGGAAGGGACTCGGGAACAAAGTGACTGGGGCAGTGGTTGCTAAAATCCCGTGCGGATCTGCTTCGGCGGAAACAAGAGAAGGCAAGGGTCTTACGGCTAAGCCATTGGCAATAGTCCAGTCTTTTATGGAGGAAAGAAGTTGGTCAGATTCTGCTGCGGTCAACTCAGGCGGGTAGATCTCAGTGGTTCTGCTCGGGGCCATGGCGTAAATAATAATGTTCTAAAATGATCAACGGATGGGACTGAGATGTAAAGCGGCGTTAACGTGAAGTGCGTGGGCCCCAAGGAAAGGGTAGGGAATATGTGCGGTTGAAGCCTGAATGCTGAGTTACAAGGGCAGTTATATAGTTTTCGTTGGTTTGTTGGTTTGTAAGACGCTTTTGCCTTGTCCTGTCTCGGCTTGTGTCCAGCGTGGGGTGAAAGGCGAAAGGTGAAATCAACAACAAACCTAAGCTTATCGATAAGGTGAAGGTGGGGCTAGAACCTGGAAGCGGAAGCGGATAAACAACTTTCCGCTTTCGTACTCGGGGGACGTACGTGGGCGCGTCTACAGTTATCGATCTGTCGCATCGCATCGCATCGCGTCAACCCACCAACCAACCAACCAACAACCACCAACAACCTGTCCACCTCCACCTCCACAACCGTTCACATCGTCCCAGAATTCCCCGTCCATTCGCAGTCTGCCAAATACTCACCTTCTGGTGACGAGGACCTGCTACTCCTTGTCTTCAATCTCCTAAATTTCTCTAAAGGTGCGAGGCTCAGATCGAAACTCAAGTTTACAACATCCTGACATAACATAACATAGCTTCTCCAAACGTCTCCCCGTGTTATTGAAGCCACACTGCTTTAGTCTTTTGAGTTCGGCCTGCGGGCCATTCCAAAGTACGCTCTCTCCAAAACATTGTCGCTCGTGTTACCTGTGGTCTCACCCACTTCCCCCCCGCTCCCCCAACTATCTTCACACTGTCTTGACAATGTCTCCACCCGTCTTACCCCATACTGATCTTCGATGGTGATAATCATATTCACCTTGACCCAATTCAACAGCCTACAGTTATGACTAACCTCGTTGCATTAGATCGCGCCTCGCTATTCTCCTTCGACTTGACCGACTCCCAAGCCCGACAAATCTCGCATTCCCATGTATAACATCACGGCTATCTCCAAACATGGAAGTAGACGATCCATGGGATTGGTCTATTGACCGTGTGGTGCAAGAGCTCTGTACAGACAATCGAACATGGCAGCCTCGTGCCGCACCCACATCGAGACCGGACCCCACCCTCTTAGAGAAGGCTCTACGGGAACAAGAAGTTACCGGTCCCATCCTTCTCGTGGAAGTCGATGAAATGGTTATGAGAAATGACTTTGGTATCGTCCTTGGTCGTCGACCCTTCCTCCGAAATGCTATCGTCGAACTCAGGCGTAGAAGTGTGCAGTATCAGGCATCCATTCGCACTGCCCATCCGCCGTCATATAACAATTTTGGCCTAAACGAATTTGCACAACTCGGCGCCGCATTTGAACCGGCAAGGTCGCCAATGATTCAGCTGCCCCCAGATATGCCAGTTGCAGGGGCACCCCAGATCTCGGCCGTTCCAGTCAATACTTCAAGGGAAACGCCCTCAGGCTGCGCTCTAGCTGACCAGAGTGCGGCAGAAGGCGAGTACATATCCTCCGATGCTTCCAGTGGCAAGAGGCGTAAGCTTAATGCTGAAGGCGATTCTACCGACGTTGAGTTTCAGTTCGAGACTGGGAATTATGATGCGACATATCACTCAGATTCTCAAGCTGCTTCCCTTTGTCCTGAGGGCTCTAGCTCAACCCTGGCTGGAGAAGTTGGCAGGTGCACTACTATCGTCGTAAACGGCAAGGAGAGAAAGAGACTGGCACCAACACTCATAACCTCGGAGATTAATCCACATCGGATCAGATGTATACCTACAGAGGCAGATACTGTTCTCCACAACTCGCCGCACACTGCCGAACCTGGAGTGCCCTGTATTAGTGACGGCAAAAAGAGGAAGAGAATAGCCCCAACACTCGTCACCTCCGAGATTGATCTAAATCGGAACCGAGATATACCTACAGAGGCCGATAATGTTGTTCACAATGACCCGCAAACCGTTGAACCTGGAGTGCCATATACTGGCGATGATGGCAGGCAGAGAATTATGCCTATCCATCAGCCCGATTTGGAGACTGCTGAACCATCCCAGTGTATGGATATCATTAAGGGAGCTGTGTCGGGAGTCCAAGAAACAGGCTCGTCTGTTTCAAAACGTTCTCGCAAGCAAATGCAGAAGGCGCGTCCAGATTCCATTGCAGCTGGGTACTTAGGCAAACGAAAGATACATGTGGATGACATATTCTACGGAGGTACTGCGGTTGGAGAGGATCTACCAACCATAGGCGACGATAGAGAGTTCAGTCAAGGAATCGTTAGTATATCTAGTGGACGTCGCATTTATGTCCACAATATCATGAAGCACTTTCTTCGTTCGGAGCCACAAGACTTTGCCAGAGATGGACAGCTTCTGTCCGCCGTGCTTCCATATTCGATAGCACTTGCGCCAAAGTTTCAGAAACCCTCCTTCACATTATTCCATCCCGAATCTGATGGCAAGATGCACGCTACGCGGGCCGAACTTCCTTCTTGGCCAGAGGTGGACCCAGAAGCCTTCGTCCAGCAGACCAAAGCGGTCGGAGGAGATAATGTCGCCATATTTAATCTTCCTGGGCCTGAGATGCTGAAGAACATTGGTTCTTATGACGACTGGGATCACTCTCACCTAGAGAAGTACCGACTGCTAGAAGGCGCTGATGACATTCTCCCACTCTATGGAGAATCTGACTCGGAAAATGAATACGACGAAGCATTATGGCGTGAGATTGAGGATGAGCGCGGTTCGAAACTCGAAAAGCCAACTAAAGCTCTAAAGAAACCACCGTTGAGTGCAGCGGATATCAATACAGCTATCGACGAGGGTATTTCTGAGCTCGTGGCTAAATGGAAGCAGAAGAGACAGCTAAAACTGCAACTCAAAGCATACAAGACGTGGCAGAAATCTCGTAAAACCGGGACTTGGAAGCTAGACATTGAGGCAGCACAGGAAAGGCTCAACCACATCATCCAGCGGCTCGCAAAGATGCGCAGCGAAATCCTTCGCGATGTGTGGACAAGTGCAAACCAGGTACGGAGACAAACGACGATAATGGAACAAACCATCTCCGATCGCGAAGATTTAAGATGGAAGATTACAGTCCTTGAGAAAAAGAGGTCTCCCGAAAAGCCGCCGCAGCTGGCCCCACTTTCTAAACCACAGAAGCAAAAGAATCAAACCAAAAATGTTGAAGGAGAATCGGTCGAAAGCGATACAGATACTCCAAGCTCCGACGATGGCCTAGATGATTTCATTGTTGATGAGGATCCTATTACCAGTCAGGAGGAGCTAGAGCTCAACCTTGCAGATACCGAGCTAGCCCATGGCGATTCAACATTGTCAGATGCAAGCCTTCCTGATAGCCCAAACAAAGCTCAAAACCATAGAAGTCGCTCTCCTCGAACGTCAGTCAAACTCGAACAAGCGTTGCCAATGCATCCGAAACCACCAGCGGCGAATCCGTCTGAAATAGTTGACCTAACCCTCATCTCATCTGACGATGGTCCCGGAGTTGTCAACCTCGTTACGCCACAGAAAAGAAAAAAGCCCCTCGTGAGACTTTATCACCGCAACGGCCCTCTGTCAAGCCCCATTGCCATCTCCGATGAGGATAACTCTGGGCTTTTAAGTCCGAGCCAGTCGCTTTCGCTCATTACCGACCCAGCCAAAATTGCTACTTACCCTAATCGAATTTGGGAAACACGGAGCAATAGGAAGAGCTTGCTGATTTCGATACTGTACAAAATGGACAACTCATTGCGAGACCGTATCTTCGAGTCTATCTCTAATATATCTGAAGAGAGCCTTTGGTCACACCTGGAAGAGGTCATAATGGCACACCAGTCTTCGCAAAGCCGTGTGAAAGGCATGGATAATCCCACATTCGAGACCATGACAATCCTCCTTCGGCTGTTCGAGATATTTATCGATTGCAAAAGTTACCCTTACCGGGAGCCTCTGAGTACAGCCATTATAAACAAGCTTCAAACCCACGAACTAGAATGGTACTCGCCATTTTATAAGCTTTGTCACCAAATTCTAGATCAGTTTGATAGCAAGTCCACCTTCTCGAAGCGTTGTAGTAGATCTCTCGCCAAACATGGTGTAGATAGTAACGGAGCAAAGGATGAAAATGTTGACAAGGACGACAGTGACTGGTCAGAGGATGATGACGAGGATAGCGAGCCTCTTGGGTCACTCAGACGACGCCGCTCTAATGGCATCGCCATGTAAGTTTTCTATAGTGCAACAAAATACTGTACTGACGAGTATAGGTCGAATAATGAGAGCTCCTCACTCGACGAGACGCCTCGCAAGAATAAGCGGAAGCTCTTCGAAGATGCGCAGGCACGAGATCTCCGAGAGCAAGATCGGAGACGGTTAGCTGAGCAAGAGCAACGTCGAAAGAGACTTCAAGCAAACTTGGCAAGGTCCGGCCACGCAAGGGATGAAGAAGAGGGACGAATTATCATCAACGACGCTAAATCAGATGACCAAGGCTACATCCTCGTCCACCCACAGATTGCGCAACGGATCAAGAAGCACCAAGTTGAAGGTGTGCGATTCATGTGGAACCAGATCGTAGCAGACGAGAATTCAATGCAGGGATGTCTTCTTGCACATACAATGGGCCTTGGGAAGACGATGCAAGTGTAAGGTCACCATTTCTATATCTACATGGCCTATGCTAATTGAAGAAGGATTACCCTACTTGTTGCAATTGCCGAAGCATCTGCATCGGATGACCTGAGTATAGTTTCCCAGGTTCCTAAGCGACTTCGACGATCCCGAACCATAGTACTTTGCCCACCAGGTCTTATTGACAATTGGATGGACGAATTACTAACATGGGCGCCCCCCGGCCTTCTTGGGCGCCTCCTGAAAGTTGACTCTGCGGTCAAAATAGACGACAGGCTACCAATACTCAACACTTGGTATCAAGACGGCGGTGTTCTCATCATTGGCTATGAGATGTTTCGGAATTTTATCAACAGGAGACCGAAGGCACAAGATACCCGCCTCGACGATGAGAATCATGTGCGGATCTGCGAACAGCTTCTCGAAGGGCCAGACATAATCATCGCTGATGAAGCCCACAAGATGAAGAACTCCAATGCGTCAGTGACCACGGCAACCATCCAGTTCAAATCGAAGAGCCGCATTGCACTAACAGGATCCCCGTTGGCGAATAATATCTTGGAATATCATACAATGATCGACTGGGTTGCGCCCAATTATTTGGGTCCGATTCGTGAATTCCGTCAGAAATATGCTCAACCGATTCAGGCAGGTCTGTGGCAGGACAGCATGCCTTACGAGCGCCGCCATGGCCTGAAGATGCTTGGTGTTCTCAAGGAAGACATCGCGCCAAAAGTCCATCGCGCAGATATATCTGTATTACGGAATGACCTACCTCCAAAGAAAGAATTCATCATTACTGTGCCCCTCACGGATTTGCAACGGAAGGCGTACTCCCTTTACGTCACGTCAATGATGACTGGGACAGGTCACGCGCGGACCAAGGATGGTGAAGTCACTCAGACAACCCTATGGCATTGGCTTGCTATTCTCTCCCTCCTTTGCAATCACCCAGATTGCTTTAACGCAAAACTACATGAGCGAAAAGCAGATGCAAAGAAAGAACCCCCCGCTGTAGGGCGCCTGCCAACTGCCAATGAAACTGGCGACATGGGAGACGACATTGCAAATGACCTCAACACGCCTATTTGGAAAGTGGGAGTCTCGCAGGATCTCATCAATGAGGAGAAAATCTTGTTTGATGCTGTAGGCAAGGAGAATATGAAATCGCGAGATTTGTCGAACAAAATCAAGATATTATTCCAGATACTTGATGCTGCGAAAGCCGTGAAGGACAAGGTGCTTGTTTTCTCCCAGTCAATCCCTACACTCGATTTTATTGAAAACCTGTGCAAATCAGATGGAAGGAAGTATGCCAGACTCGATGGGAAGACTGCAATGAGCAAGCGCCAAAGCCAAACAAAAACTTTCAACAGAGGCGATTGCGAGCTGTATCTGATATCCACCAGTGCTGGCGGCCTTGGACTCAATTTGCCAGGGGCCAATCGAGTAGTCATCTTTGACTTTAAATTCAACCCCATCATGGAGGAGCAAGCGGTTGGGAGAGCTTATCGAATAGGGCAGAAAAAACCAACCTTTGTATATCGGTTTGTTGCTGGAGGAACTTTTGAAGACACTGTCCATAATAAGACTGTCTTCAAGCTGCAACTCGCGTCGAGGGTTGTAGACAAGAAAAGCCCTATTGCCTATGCCAAGAGGAAGATCTCAGATTTTCTTTTCCAACCACGGTCAGTCGAACAAAAAGATCTATCCGAGTTCAGGGGCATGGATCCTGATGTCCTCGACAGGATCTTGGTATCTCAGAATGAAGCTTCCAATATCGCGGCAATTGTTCAAACGGATACTTTCGAAAGAGATGACGACGATAAGCTCACTGCCGAAGAGGAAAATGAGGTCCGACGACTACTGAGCGACGAGCAATTAAAGCGGACTAATCCTCAAGCCTGGCATGCGAAGCATGCTCCTCCTTACAGATCGACATATAGTATGCCAGTCAATCAAGCACCCGTTATTTACAACGGCAGGGCCGATAACGGATTAGCATCACCGTCAGGAATGGCGCCTCCATCTAGTATCAATGTTGTTACCCATCCCATTTTGTACCCGCTTGCTCCGGGCATAGGACTACCACTTCCAACAAACGTGGCACAGCTAACTTCCTCTCTCCATGCTCCGCCCTCTACTTCTCCATTGGATAGAATGAGTAACGAGACTACTTCGTTAACTAAGACCGCTGATTCGGGTATTACTTTATCATCTACAGCCATCACGCCGACTGGCAATACTCCAATCACTCCAATTTATGGTGCTAACTATAGGGATCAATCCGATACACCTAATCCTTTGGCTTCCCCAGCATATGAATCAGGGCCGAGCCAGAATGCAAAATCCCCAGCCCAGTCTAACGGAAATCAAGTGGAAGGAAGTAATGGAGATATCACCAAAGTATGCGACCCCTTGAACTCTTCACTTTCAGTTATTTCCTCCATTCCACATTTGAATAGCAATGTCTTGTCTCCAGCTCAAAAGGTACCGAATTCAAATCTTGGGTCAGATTCAAGCGCTCTATCTGGAGCAGAAGTAGAGTCCTACATGCAAGACTCCCTCGATGTTTGTGGGTGGATATCTGACTGCTCCGGGGACGAGTTGCGATGCCGTTATGATACGCTACAATGCATACCTCTTTCGGAAAGGCGTGAGCTAGAAGTGCTTAAACGGGCAACCTGTCATCATCGCCTCCGGGTTACAGAACACCCTGCTCGAGGAAACCTCGCTGCAGAAAACCTTGCTCAAATAAAGGCTCTAAAAGAAAGCTATAGTAAACTAGAGCATGATCCATCAAAGGCAAAATGGCTTGGACAACAATCCAGAGAACGAAGAAGGCTTGAACAAGAAAGGCTTGCCCATGAAGATATTGTTCGGGAAACCCCTCCTCAAGCAAGCCTTGCTAGTAGGTTTGAAAATGGACCGCTAGAGGGGCAAGCTGCGAATGCAGCTGCTGAGAATAGTACCCTAGGCGATGATAGTGCATCCCTTCTGGCAGCTTCAAGCGAGGATCATCCTATGCCGGACGCTAGTAACACTCCTGTTATATCAAGCTATGATCATATTGCAGCTTCAAGCGAGGATCATCCAATACCAGACGCAAACAGTACTCCATCTGGCACTTCTATATCAAGCGATAATGAACCTCGACGATAATCTACTTTCAAAAGCAAAGCTCTCCAATTCTTCGACAACGTTGGTGGCCACATTTGAAAATTCAAGTTTGCTAATACCGACTCTAGTCCGCCCTATCCATGGCTATGAACAGAAAGCCTGTACCGTCGTTGCGAACCCCTGTCACCAAACGAACGAAAGCGGAAGCAGAAGCTCGGGAAGCAAAACGACTTGCAGAAAGGAGGCGTGCTCGAGCAGTAAACAACCAATCCAAAGGTTCTTCAAATGCAACACCAAGCTTGCCGAAATGGGCCAGAGACGAGTTGTCTGGCTCTAGATCATCATCAGCTTCGAAACGACGACTCTAGCACTTTTCCCCACTCTAACATTATTCATTGTCTTTTCCTTTTTTATCCCCTCCTCGACTTATCACCAAAATTGCACAACACAGAGAGGAGAAATTTGCACATTATCATCATGGTTATTAGCGTTGGCGTTGGAGGAATGGCCATTCACGATACCCAGTTTGCGTTTGCTTATAGCGTTTGCTCTCTACTATGTCTTGCGACTAGATTTATACATAGACAGTGGCGTTCTTGACGGCGGTGCGTCGTGGTGCTTAAACAGCGGCATACTCATCAACATTGCATTACAGCGCCGGGACGACGACTCATGAACTTGAGATAGGCATTACCGTAGACGGACGTACATAGAATTACAGGCGTCTTTAGAAATCAAATCGGTGCTTACAATAGAAGTTCTAATGCTATTCCTTATATGAAACATAAAAAGTTTTTCCTAATAATTAAATAGCAAGGACAGTAACAGTATGTCTCTAATACGTATTAAAATATCTGGTTTATATTAGAATTACTCGAAGAAGTCCCAGCTCCTCCTCTTTAACTTACCTATGTATATATCAGTTTAACAAACCCCCGTCCTATAACCTAGCATCCAGGCCCCTCTCCGCATTCAAAAACGCATCCAACCTCGCAATCTCCAACCCATCCCTCCCCTCCTGCACAACCCTATCAATCCTCCCTCCATCAAACGCAATCCCAAACCACAGCAGCACTCCCAAATCACGGGCCATTCCCACGCATTCCCGCATGTCCTCATGCTGCTTCAACTCAGGGATACCATCTAGTAGCGTTTTCCAGAACAGCTCTCGCAGTTCCGCGGAACGGAGATGGTATATGAATTTTGCTGCGGTGGTGGAGGTGGCAGGTACAGGGTAGCCGAGTAGTTCCTCCAGCCCGTACAACGACATGCCGAAAGGTAAGATTTCCGATTCAGCCCAGTCTACGAGCCCCGTTAAGTGGCCGGAGGCTGGTGACAGCATGATGTTCCCTGGGAGGAGATCGCCATGTGTTAGCGTCCAGGGGAGGAGCGATGTGATGCGAGGGAGGTGGGCGAGGAGCTTGGATGTTAGAGGCCGGAAACGGGGCGGGAGGGAGGTGTGGAGGGATTGAAGGCGTGGTTGGAGCGTGGAGCCCACGCGGCCTGGGGTGGAGGGACGAGGTTGCTGATGCTGCCAGGAATGGGTGTGGAAGTGCGCGAATGAGATGCAGAGGTTGCGAAGTATTCCGAGGGGGATGGGGCGGTTTTGAGATAGGTTGCTGTTGCGGAGGTCTTGCAGTGATGTTCCTGGGATGAGACTCATGCTGTATACCAGCAATCCCGATGAAGGTAATGTGGCGAGGTGTTTTGTAGTCGGTGCATATTGCGGATATGTCTCTGAGGCCAAAGAGGTGACGGTTGGATCAAGGGCATATGGCTTGGGGCGGAATTGGACGATTTGCTGCGATCCGACGAGGAGGGACAGCGAGCAGAAGCCTTGGGTGCGGATGGGAACTATAGATTGGTTGGGATATAGCTGTGTGAGGAGGGTGTAGCAGGAGGTGTGGTCTGAAGGGGAGAGGTTGTTGCGGGTGAAGAAGGAGGATATTGCAGCTTGGGTCTGTTGTTGGTGGGTGACTTCGGGCATGATGTTGTGGAATTAGATTACAGTTAGTTATTAGGGTATTACAGAGATGAGCAGGCCATCCCTGATAGATATGAAATACAATGAGTGACAAGACTGATTTGCTATTTAAGGAATGGTTCTTGAGTGAGTGAGCTTGTTGCTTGTGAGGGGTCAATGAATGCACCCCACGTCCTACAGTCGTACCTTGTTGTCACGCCTTGTCTCACACCTATTTTTATTTCAGCACTAGGCGTTCTACAGGTCGATAAGGCGGCTTGAATCTCACACTCACTCATCCGTCTTTCTCTCACTTTCTCTCACACACAAACAAACAAGATATTAACCTCTATAACGGTACAAGCAAAAGCTACTTATAACCCCGCATCTCTTCTCCCTATCACATATATATATATATATATCATGGTACCACAAAATCAAAGGAATGGATAATGGATTGCACGTCGTGAAACTAAGCCTCCCTGTCTCGGCGCCCCCACATAGAGCGTGGGAAAAGGAAATAAATAATAGTCCCGTGTCTTTACATGGCGCTGCTATCGCGGCTATGGTAGGGTAGGAATCGGAGTTAATGGATTTGCTGTTTGTAAGCTCTTGAATGTGGAGGGTTTTTTGGAATTTATATTTGGAGTATGAATATTCCATAGGAGTGCAGTTGGTGGGGTTTGATTGAGTGGTTCGGATGCATGTGATTGAATGTGGCCTCTAGGGAAAGGTGTGTGTGTGTGTTGTAGTGGAGCAATCCGGATTGAACTGGATTGGATTGGATTGGATTAGAGGGGTTCAGGTATGAAGTAGAGTGGGAGGCGTTCGTTGGGAAACATGTGTAATATATTCGGGTGAGATCTTAGCACCTAGAAAATAGGTGGTGTGCAGCAAGAGAAGAGAAGGGAAAGGAAGGTAGTAAGGTAGGTGTTCAGCTCGTGTCTATAGGCAAAGCAAACCTAGGGTATGGGTATTGGCATTGGTATTCTGAGCGTGGTTGTGCTGCAGTGAGGGCTCAAACGGGATTAACGGGAAAGCTGTACTACGATATATAGTAGTTTCGTTGCAGCAAAGGGGGGATTCAACCAGAGGTGGAGTTTGCTAGACATGGATTGAACGAGACGGCAGCTAGAACCCCTTGTGATATGCTAGATTATTGTCCGACGTGGGCGAGCCTTTCTGATGTACTGCTTGAGGGTGGAATGGTAAAAATGTCGCTCATCTGTGAGTATGCCGAGGTCCACACGCCGTTAAAGCACAAGAGAAAAGGCATCAAGCATTTCCTCCGATATAGGATATCAGGCAGACAGCACGTAAGACTGAATGGGTGGGACCTACACACATGTTGATCCCGATCGTTGCTACAATTCTGCTCTATCGAATATACATGGTATCCATCTTAGCGACGGGCAAGGGAAAGAGAATGTGAAAAGTGAACCATAAGCAAACCCCCAGCCCAGTGCAAAACCCGATAGAGAGAGAGAGAGAGACAGCCATGGGGAACCACGGCGTAATTGAAGCATCGTGAGGCAAAAAAGGAAATGGTATAACACAGTAAAAAAGGACACACATGGTATGATTAACGCAAGAAACAGTATGCCGAGGTGAATAACGCCGTTGCAAGCCCAGATCATCGTCTTCGTCTTATCCCATCCGATCGATCCCTTCCGTCATCTCATGTCCAATCCCATCCCATCCCTCATCCGTATGTTTATCTAGTCCATCATCCGGCGAATCGCCGGATTGTGCGTATATCAGTCGTGGAAAATGTCGCCTTGGGCCATCGAGCCTTGTGTCAATTAGGTAGATATGGCAGCCTTCTCATTCAAGACCTCTCCCTTCTCCTTGTTCCTAACCCTCATGACTGCATCCTGGCTGCCCATCCGCCTATCCAAAGCCCGCTCAAGCTTCGCTCCCAAGGCCAACTTGCTCAGGTTATCGGTCTTCTCCGTGGTGGGGACGAAGCGCTGGCTCTGCAGCTTCTTGTTCTCGAGCTTCTCGAAGCCCTCCTCGATGTCCTTTATTTCTTGTTGTGCTGACGCCGAGGACAGCGATGTCTTGACGGTGTTCACGGTGGGGGCCATGCTGTAGGTGCTGAAGCGGTTGGAGGCGTGCTTGGAGGCCATCTGTGGGAGGAGGGTTGGGTTAGTCTAGGTTTGCTTTGTAGTGGCGGGAGGCGACTGCGACTGCGACTGCGACTAGCACTCCGACTATGACGCAGACGTGCAACGGCGGAACTTACGCTGGCTGCCATGATAGGGCGAGACGAGTCTAAAGCTGTCTCTTATACACATCTAGATGTGTATAAGAGACAGGTCTAGGTTTGCTTTGTAGTGGCGGGAGGCGACTGCGACTGCGACTGCGACTAGCACTCCGACTATGACGCAGACGTGCAACGGCGGAACTTACGCTGGCTGCCATGATAGGGCGAGACGAGTCTAAAGAGTTCCTCATTGTCGTCTTTGACATTTGCGTGTCTTCCCGGGAGCGATGGGCTTTCTTTGTCGTGCGACGTAAACAGGCCGAGGTGGAAATGCTGCCGGTTTGTTCACGAGGGATAAGCACGATGAGTAAGAGACGTCGTGGTAGCAGTGGGATCGCCGTGATTGGGAGGTGACGGGGTGTTTGTTGGTGTGTTCTGATAGGGGAATGTTGATGTTGGTGTTGAAGTTGAAGCTGATGGTAATGGCAATGGCAATGGGTCGAGTATCTTTTTTGGTACAGCCGGAGTAAAGGGACAGAAGAAGGCGTGTGGAGTCGCGGCGAGCGTTATTTACTTATTTAGCGTCGTGCCTTGGTAGGCTTAAGTTGGGCAAGAATGTCTCATTGCCACGCGGTGGGCGGATGGGATCATGGGCGGTGGGTTGGGCTGGGGCTGGGATGGGGCATCGGGGGATTGCTCCGTACAGTGTAGTACATGCTGGCATTTGCTGCCAACTAGGCGGGGTGGTTGGCTCGGTGTCAATCTCAAACACAGAAACAAAATAGGGACAATCAGGAGGTGCCTGGGTAACCATTGACCACTACTGACCAGCACTACGAAGCATGTACATGTATGTACATGTACCTATCGTTGCTTCATACAGAGTGCTACGTACTCCACGGGGTATCCGCTATCCTGACCACTTCGTAAGTTCGTAACTATGCCTACGGAGGGCGCCGCGAAGAGCGGGTCAAAGGGGGTCAAAGGGGG